TTTAGCATGTACTAATAAACGTAATTGAAATGTCCTAATAAGACATTAAAATTGAAAATTTTCCTAAATAATGCACCCAAGCAATAATAAACGTGGACTTTATTCATTAATCTAGGGAAACATAAGCTTCACCTAGATATGAATGCATTATAGTTTCATTCAAAAAGCTCTGAAATCAATTTCCAAGCTTTATTTTCTGTCATTGGGGCCTTTAGATCCTAGGTTGGTTGACTTTGTATGCCCCGACTGTCCGTAGTACGAGAAATAGAAGGAACCCCGCCGGTGCAGATGCTGAAAACCCAAGACACTTAGGCTTAAACCTCTTGAGGAGAAAAAAAACTTTAAAAAATTACTCGAATTTGGTGTCAAACAAACCCATATGAGAGAGAGAGAGAGAGAGAGAGAGAGAGAGAGAGTCCCATGGCTTCTTCGTCCTGCATGGCGTCCTCATGTCCTCACCCGGGTTGCCATCGCCATGGAGGCTGCTTTCCTCGCTCTGTCGTCCAACTGGATGAGACTGCGAGAGGCCAAGATTGCTTGGGGGATGAGATCACGCGAAGCCCGGGCGTAGACGCAGCGCACTGCAACAGACGCTGCGTCCCTGACCTCTGGCGGATTCGCCGGAGCCAGCAAACAGTGCCCCAAGATCCTCAGCAACGGTTGCAGAAGCTCCCCTGTCAGTGGAACCCAAAGGCCCCCTGAACCGCCGCCATCGTCCCCATCTTCGATTTCAGACCTGCCCATCTCCTCCTCGCAACCTCTGGTCTCGTCTTCTTCACCTTTGAACAGCGAAGATCCAGGCCTAGTGTTGGAACTCCGATCTAGCTGATCGAGATAGTTGGGGAAGGAGCGGCGCTGGTCGGCCCAGGAAGCAGCAAATTCGCATAGATCCAGCTTGGAGGGGGAGGGCATGAGGGAAATCTTCTTGAAGTAGCAATCTAGGGCGACGGCGGCTATGGAGGCCCTCACTGTTGCCTTAACAGCGATCTGAGGCTCCAGAGGAGGGGACAGGATCCGCACTGTCGGCTGGGGGGGCGCGGCGGCTGGCCCTTCCGGCGACCGCCCTCCTCCAATGGCGGAGCTACTGGGTGGCGACGGCTTGCTGTAGAGCGACGGCGCCGACAGATCGGGGACGCGGAACAGGAGCGGCTCGCCGCCTCGGGCCTTGGCCTCCGCCGCGTAGAGAGAGAGGAGGACGGCCTCGAAGCCGGCGAGGGAGCAGGCGGCGCCGGCGCCGGCGATGCGGGAGAGGTATATTCCGGCAACGAGGGGGACGAAGGAGAGAACGAAGAGGCGCAGGTTCGGGTCGGGGGACTGGTAGGTCTCGTAGAGCCACCGGCAGAGGGGGTCGTCGCCGGCGCCGGAGGAAGGCCCTGCGAGCGCAGCGGAGACGGCGCTGTAGCCGTCGCCGAAGCTGAGAAGGGAGCGAGCGGGGCGGTCGGAGTCGGCGACGGCGTCAAGGGTGGCGGCGGAGGGGGAGGGAGGGAGGAGGGCGGCGAGGGTTCGGATGCGGGAACGGGCCCGGGCGATGGACTCTAGCCATGACTGCATCGGGTTACAGCTGCTAGGGTTAGAGTCGGAGATGGCGGGGCTCGGCGTTTGGAGGGGGCGGTGATGGGCGGAGGAGGAGTCCGCATGGCGGCTGTTGGGGATGGAGGGCGGCGGAGACTCCATCGGCTGCCGTGGATCAGGTGAACTGTGGAATAATCCTGCGGTCTCCGTCTGCATGTCCGACGACTCAGTTTACTTTCCTCACCCACCCTCAGCTTTTTAAAGTAAAGAGGCGATGCGATAATAGATTACGTCATCCCATGCAGTTTTAGCACCACTTTCACGGACCCACCCAACATCATTATGACTCATAAAATATGATTAATCATCCAAATTATTCAAATAATTAATGGGAATATCTAAGCCAAACATCATAGTAGGTCAATTCTCTCTTTCGTTTCTTCTTGGTTTCGGTCTCTAATTCATCATAAATTGAGGTAACCTAAGAAAATTTTCTGTTATAATATATGGAAACTATTTTATAATTGATAAATAATGGGTTAAACAAGTTTTCAAACGCTTTTGCTTTTTAAGAGTATATTGAAAATTAAGTTAATGTAGAGTGGAATCTCCCCTTTATTGTTGGAAGAATCAAATAGCTAATTTTCCAAAAGGTAGTTCAAATCAATAATATACTCTTTTTATAGTCACTAAATCACCTTTTATATTTCTTTTTAGTGCTAATTTGCATTATTATAACAATTTTATTATATGGTATCTTGGTCACTTTGAGCATACTCTCTTTTTTCAAGTATTTTGCTTGCTTCATGTGATGTGAATCAACTCACTTCCTAGAAGAAAGGGAAAACTACTTTGTAAAATAATAAACCTGATTAAAGTTTAAAAATATGATAATATTAATAAGTAATGTTTATTATATTAGCAATGTGCAATTATGATTATTATATTTTTTACATGATTTCATGCTCATTATGATTGTAAAAACTATTGTTACCAAGTGAGTCTAGTCAAGAGTCAACTCACTTCTAGAAAATAGGACAAGAAAATACATAGCATAGTAAAACAATATTTTTTATTAAAAAAATTATATTGAGAGTTTATAAATATATTGAACAAATATTTTTATAGCGTTTGGAAAAGTCCTATGTGATGTTGAGGTTGACTACAAGTCCATCATTTTTATTTTGTTATTTATGAAAGGAGTTGACTCTTTTTATCAAAACTATCCACTTCCTACTAGAAATTAAAATAAAAAACCTGCAAGTAATAAAACCCAAACGAGTAAGATATTTTATTTATAATCTATTCAATACATACTTACCACGATACCATTCTGAGATATTTCACACCATGAATAGAAAAGTGATCTTAATAATTGAGTTCAATTCATGAGTTATCTCCTTTTTGTGGGAAAAAAATTGTAGTAAATCTCATAATTACATAATGTAACCTAAAGTGTGAAGGAGAAAAAGCCCAAAACTAAAGACCTAGTTGTAAATAATATAATATTAATAGAGGGTCCGAAATTTTATTGGGCCAAACTAAAGTCTGAGAAGACTAAGGCAAACTTGGTTTTCTGGAGATCATTTAATTTTTGCTTTCTATTTATCTTGTCTCAAAAACTATTTTTATTATATTTCAAGGTCTATTTCTTACTTAGGGAGTTTCCCACCTCCCTTTTAAGCTTATATAAATGCCTAAAATTATAACTCATAAGAAATCTTTGAAGTATCATGGGTTTTTGCTTATGAGAAGTTATCTCCTCTTTACTTTTAGATTCGTGTTATTTGTGTATTCATACAAAGCCATTTGATCATATAGATTAAAGGTCGCATCTCTCAACAAGTCCTTATAAATTTAAGGTGTAGAAGTTGTTCATTTGGGATTCATAATGTAATTTATTTATCAAGTTTCATACTTTATGAATTTAAAATCAGATCTTACTATCTTTTACATCAACAAGGAATCATCATATCATCCTTTTCAAGAGTTATAATTTTTCTAGTATTAAAAATATTTTATCATTCTATATATTTTGTTAACATCAAAATTAGAAAATCTCCAAAAACTAATATATTAATATATATCATTTTATTTTAAAATTTGAGTCCTAGCCAAGCTACTAACATTGAGCTATTGATGCCCATCACATAAGAACAATATGAGCCTTGTGTACTTTATAAAAACAACTATGTATCCAGATGTCCCTTAACACTCAAATTGACCTTTGTGTAAAACCCAAAATTAGCACAAGTGGGCTACTTGGGCTACCACCTCTCAGTTAATAGATGTGATGTAGCCTAGAAACTATTGTAAAATGAGAAATCGAAGGTTTTTGACTCAAGTGGAGGAACTAATAAGATTTGTGTCAAAAAGGCTAAAAAGTAATAGAATCAAATGTAATGAAGTTTTAGACCAACCCAAGTGAATCAAAGACTCAAGAGATGTGAAGACTATATTTTACCCAAATTCAACTTCAAATGACCCACTAAGAGATTTAGTCACATGTTTAATGAGTCTAAATCTAAAAATTCTCACATTTTATTCATGTAAAATAATCCTTCTATTTTGTTTAGGGTGTTCCTATTTCTTAGGGACCTTCTAACATGACCTTTCTTTTTCATAAGAAGGTTTAATTTATTTTCTTCTCCTTATTTTCTAAGAACATAATTTTTTTTTTCCCCTTTCGAGGTTAGCCATAATTAACTTTTGACCTATAAATAGTCCCCCCTTGTAGCCTTAAGAAGACATATTTTTATTAATCAATTTCAAGTTCCCTTCTTTTTTAGAGGTTCTAACCTGCTATTAGTGGATTCCAATATCCTTGTAGACTAAGGGAGCCATCTTCATTCTATGGATTCAGGGCAAGGAGTTTTTCAATTAAGACACTTTATAGATTCAAGGTCACAATTTTGCTTTCAGAGTACACAGTCAAAGCTGAAATGTGATCAAGTTATTAATTCTTCAATTTTTCACTAAGTCAAAATGTCCACCCACTCTATATAAATTGATGAATTAGAACAAAAATCAAGATATTTATTCAATAAATATGTGCAATGCATGATAAAGGCTTTTCTTGAATAAAACTTAACCCTTAGCATTTTATGAAATTTATTCTTAAATCCCTCAAAAGGTATCCTCTTATTTTTAGCATTTTGATTACATCCTAACTTAGGAGAACTGAAAGCAAGACCTTTAGTCAAATAATAGTTAAGTTGGATAATTTATTAACATATCCTCCAGAAGATATCCTCTAATCTTTTAACATTCCATTATATTGAAGATAAAGAAGCTCCCTTTGATGGCTTTTACTTAGTTAAATGGTTACTCATGTTTTATATGATTAGTCATAAATCCTCAAAAAATATCTTCTTACATTATGATCTAAAATCAAAAAACATACTCAAAGAAGTCTCGCATCATTTAACATAACACATTAGATTATTTGACTATTATTAAAAAAAACTTGGCGCTGATGTGGCCAACCAATGTTGGATGATGTTGATACAGCCTTAGTCCAGTGACCCATAGCCTTAGTCCAATGACAAACCAACGGTGGATGATGTTGATACTTGATTTGGGTAAGGTACAAAAGAGAGAGGGAGAGAGGGAGAGAGGGATGGAGGGAGGGCGGAGGGAGAGAGAGAGAGAGAGAGAGAGAGAGAGAGATTTATCTCTCACCTTCTTCAGAATATGTGGCGACTGTACATTACATAGGAGTTTGGCGAATTTGCCATAAGATGTTGGGATGAGCTGCCCATGAACTAATTTGCCATCTGTATTTTTGGTATACCAAAAAAAATGAAAAGTTCACAAATATTTATTTACCCAGGGGACGCAGAAGATTTGTGCAATCCTTAAATTCCACCGCTTTACTGCAATCCAATTAGGGCGTCAAATGGACGGACGTAGAGAGAGAGAGAGAGAGAGAGAGAGAGTGACGCCGGAGGCTCTCTTTCTCCGGTCGCTTTTGTCGTATGGGGTGAAGACGAGGAAGGCATTTTGTGGGCTCCACAGCCTCGACCGCCGCCCCCCACGGTGGGGGCAGGGCGGCCGCTGGGCGCCCCACGTCACAGGGCCGCGCCATAGGAATCCCACGTCACGTGAGCGGCTGAGCGAGAATCATGCCTAGCCATCCACCACGCTGCGAAAAAGTGTGGGTCTCCATCCCTCTCTCTCTCTCTCTCTCTCTCTCCCTCTCTCTCTCCCTCCCTCTTTCTCTCTCCCCCCTTCTCATTCTCACTCCCTTTAATCTCTTCATGTTTGTAGAATGTGGGGGAGAGAGTCGGAGTGCAAAGAAGAAGAGAGAAGAACAGCACTTTAAAGCCCAATATTTGGGGAAACTATGATTTTATAAGAAATCCAACTCTTTTACTTCATCATCACCCACTAAATTTAATGAAAAAAGCCACAAGTTCGCTATATATCCTAATTAAAAATTACGTACATAATCAACAAACAGAACTCAAATCAGATTTAGAGACCAGAAATATAAATATACGGTATTTATGACTAATAATTACTTTTAAAAATATATAAACTAAATAATTTAATTTCAAAGGATTTTAAACCAATCTTGTTTAAAAATCATCCCCCTTCCCCCATACTATATGATGTGGCTGTTAATTGAGGTGTTTAACGAGATCTATCCACCAAGGGAACAATAATAATGGCAAAAAAATGACAAGGGAAGCAAACTCCATTATTAAAATTTCCATGTTAAACCTCTATTATTATGATCCACATCGACTAACACTATTTTCCCCTAAAGTGAGGATTTTTAGTCCAATATCAACCTTTCATGAATTTAATTTTATTCATTAAAGATTATGTTTTCCATACCATTAAACTGAAAGCATGCTAACTTTGCAAAATCACTAACATTCAACATCAATGATAAGTAAACCCCAATTGATGCTTTTGACTTATGTCTTTAGTTGCAGAAAGTGGGCCACGACTTAATCAACTATAATTTGTTATGCTATAGGCTTACAAGCTATAGTGAGCATAGAAGATCTCTAGCTTACCACCCTTTGGATCTAGTGTGAAACAAGATAATTAATTTCTCATTCATAAAAAATACCGGAAAATTAAATTAAATAAAAACAGCCATATATCATACTATTAAGATCATTTATTGTGCAAAATCTTGATAGAAAGTAATTTTATTCTAAGATGTCTGACATATCAAGGATCTCAAAAAGAATCAGTATTTCTCTCTTATGAGATGTAATTCATCCATAGTTGAGTTGACATATTGCATGTACTCATTGGCATCAACATAATAATGCACACATAGGTAAATGGATCCGCCAAGGCATGACAACATGCAGCATGCAATGACATGTGATTAGGCATGCAGTGTGTGATAATGGCAAAGAGACGTTAATGGGATGTGCTCATAAACCTTTCATCAAGGCTAAAAAAACTAGCCATGAATCTCCTTGGTACATTATGTAAATTTGACATCTCAAATGATTGGTTACATTATGTCCCCTTATGCTCCACATTTTAAGCAGTCCTATCAAGGATTAGGGTGCGGCTAATCTTTAGGGGCAAGGTAGGGTCAAGCTACAAAGGTGATAGAGAGAGAGAGAGAGAGAGAGAGAGAGAGAGAGAGAGGCTGATACATGGTGGGTGTGGGCCATTCAAGTAGCAAGAAAAATGGATTTTAGGTTTCCAAATTAAATAATTTGCTTTACCCAACTCTAAATTAAGCCCAACTTTTTCGTAAATTAATTTCAGGCTCGACACTCAAGTCGGGCCAGGCTGAGCCCAACCAGAGACACGCCTGGCCCGTTGATAGCCTTGTGAGCTGCAATGGAATCCTCTCTTCAAATAAATACCATACGCAAGGGATTCATTATTAAGACATGGGGTCCATGCTTAATGACGTCACCAATTGCGCAGACACCATCTGCACGTGTACGGTGCGATATTGGATCGAATTCCACGTAATCCACCCAGATGTATCAAAAAGACCTAGGCCCATTTCCATCATCTGTTGGTCTATTGGATGAACGGTCAGATGACATCCTTGGGGTTCATCCGACGGCAGCCGACTAGATTGTGAGGTCCGTGATGGGCTTTTATCCCTCTTGTCATGTGGCTCCCGCGATGTGGGCGAGTTCCTTTCCAGGGCCCTTCCCCTTCTCGGCCTACCTGGCCTGCCACTGTGACCCCCCAAGAACAAGAGAGAGAATGAGCTAGAGAGAAGGACGTGCGGTGGGTCCCAACTGTAGAACCATTTTAAGTGGCCATGTCAGTGCCAGCGGCTAATGGGTCCATCTCTCTCCTACCCGTTAATATGCTTTACTCTCTCTCTCTCTCTCTAAAAATGTGACGGTGGGCCTGTAAAGCGACTTGCCGCCAATGGGCAAGTTGGGAGGTGCGGGCCCAGCACGGGGAGGGGCGAGGCCCGCCGTTGGTGGGCCCAGAAGCCACCCACCCCCAACACTTTTCCTTCGGTGTTAAGACCGCGTCCCCGTCAGCAGCCCACTAGAACGGGCCCAGATTGGGCGGCTGACGGGGTGGGGCTCACATTGGTCGTATTCAATGGGGGGGCATCGGTGACACACCAATCAAAGGAAGCGTCCCCGGTGTGGGCCTGGTCAGGCAGGAATCTCCACTGTGTGATTGATGGGCCGGGCCCACGTTTATAATTAAAAACAAATCGCGCCGCAACGTGGCTCCACTGCTGGCCGTTGGATGCCTGGAGATCGTCGGTGGCGGATTCCGAGTGAGCCCACAGCCGTCCGATGTGAATCGGACGCCGGCGGATGGCAAGTGGGGAGTGGAGGGGCAAGAGCCAAGTCTCCACGTCTCAGCCAGCAGCGGCGGCTCCTCAGGCACTGGGAGGTCCTTTCTGTGATGGGCAACCGGCCGCAGCCGGTTTCCGGTTCAGATGGTCCGACACGGTCCCCGACCCGGGGGTTGTACTGACAACGGGACAAAATAGTTCTAGCCACCTTATTTGAGCATAAGCGAACTGTCACCGCTGTACGTGAATAAAACCGTACTCCGATAATTGGTAACGAGCCACACGCATGTTTCCCATGAAATAAATAAATAAGGAAAATCGACTGATTAACCACCCCTGAGGTTGCGGAGGTAAGCTTACTGTTGCCTGGAAGTCAAGGGAAACCGCGGGGCGTGGGGGGGGGGGGGTAGGGGTGAGAAAAGGAGATGACGTGGAGTCGCCGGATTCCGATACTCGAACTAACGACTTGGATGCGCCGCCGTGCTATCTTATTAGTTCCTCCTCTCTCCCTCTCCCCCCTCCTCTTCTCTCCCCTCCCCCTTTCCTCTTCCTCCCCGGCTCTCCACCGCAGCCGGCGGAGCGCCGCCCAATCCACGTACCTACCCTCCTAGAGGAGCATCTCTCTCTCTCTCTCTCTCTCTCTCTGTTCTCAGAAGCCCTCCTCCTTCCTTGGCCGGGAAAGGGGGGGGGGGGTCTACGTGAAGTTCCTCCTCACTTTCCTTCTGATTCTGGGCTAGGAAGGGAAGGGGGGAGGGAGGATGCTTCTGGGGAAGAGGCCTCGCCCTCCGATGAGGAGGACCACCAGCCTGTCGGAGATCACCTTCGACGTTGGAGGGGGCGGAGAGCCGCCCCACGCTGCCGCCGGCAACCCTCCGCCGCCGAGGCATCAACGGCCGCCTCCCGCCGTGGGAGGTGCGGACGGCTACATCTGCGGTGGCTACGATAGACGGCAGCAGGCTGCGGCGGCGGCGGCGCCGCCCCCGCAGCCGCCGTATCACTGGCCGCAGCAGCAGCACCAGGATCAGGGGCCGTCGAATGGACTGGACACGAGGTATCTGGCGTCGATGGTGTCGCCGAGGAACCCGCGGAGGAACTCCGGGGACTTCGCCGTGGAGCCGGCTCCTTTTCTGAGGACTTGCGGGCTCTGCAAGCGCCGCCTCGGCCCTGGGAAGGACACCTTCATGTACAGGTGAAACCCTACGCTGGAGCCCTCCGCCATCGCGGTTTCTTCCTCTTCTACCACCGATGGTGGGAACCTCACCTGCATGCTTTGTCGGAAAATTCAGCTGATCCTTCAGGAACTGGAACTTCTGGGTTCTTGGGTTTTCTTCGTAGATTTGAACCGTTCCCTTTTATTGTCATGTTTTTGTTAGTCGCCGTATTCGTTGACCTTTCTGATGGGAATCTGTGAACGAGGATCTTCGTTGACTTTTTTGTATAGGTGTTCTCCTGATCCGATCCTTCTGGTGTAGTTCTTCCACTCATTCCTGCTGATCTCTTTATTTTCGAGATGCTGCGATTGGAATTAGTTTATTTTGTGATTTCTCTGGTTTATCATGCGGTTACCGTGAATTTATGTTCAGATTCCGATAAGAAATCTATGACATTTCCCCCGTGATTGGGAATTTTATTTCTATTTTTTTCTCATCATCCTCCCTCCTCTTCCTCAGGGGTGAGGTCGCCTTTTGCAGCATGGAGTGTAGGCAGCAGCAGATAACTCTGGACGAGAGGAGGGAGAGGAAGGAGAGGTGCTCCCTTGCTTCCATGAAGAAGGACACGCCGGAGCTTCCCCAGAGCGCCGCCGCAGCAGAAGCCGCCGCCGCCGCCGACGGCGAGACGGTCGCCGCCGCATGAGAACGAGGCGGCGGAGACCGGCGGGAGGAACCCCCTCCCTCTCAGAATCCCTCCCTCCCGAGCTAGCACTAGTAACAGTATGCTTCCTCTACCAGGTGTAACCCCTCCTCACATCTGGTACCCAGCCTCCCCCCCTCCTTCCTCCTCCCATCTTCTAGTCTTCGATCTCTGAAGAATGAATGAGAAGGAATCTGAAGATCTCCTCCCCCGCTGCATTAAATGTTCTTACGGGGCTGGCATTTTATGTGGATTCTTCGGCGTTGACTCGCTATCTGGGTCGCCGGGTGCCGGAGGTACTTGGAGGATCGATTATCCCCCGATGTCGAAGAAAGGGTAGATCCCCGTGAGGGAAGAGAGAGAAAGGGAGAACGCACATCAAGTCAACACCTTAGATCGGTCGGCCGCAAAATGCCAATTAGGCAAATTGCTCGGGAAAAAATTAGATTCTGCCATGAAAAAGGAATCTGGGTGGGGATTTATTTATTTGGGTTCTGATGATCGGGGGAATTATCGTGCGGGTTTGATTGATTGAGGTGAGTAGTCACTCGTGGGTAGTGGGAGCCTCACCTTCGCGGGCAGAGATTGGAGCTCACTGGCCTGTCTGTCTGTCCGTGTGTGTGTGGAGGCTTTCTTTTCCTTTCCTTTGAATTGTAGCGCGTGGGGCTCGTGATTTGATCCACTGAAGGAAACCACACCCTGCCCATCGTTCACCATCTTAGCTCTCTCTCTCTCGCTCTCTCGCTCGCTCGCTCCCCAAGAGGAAATCTGGCGGAAAGGAGGAGGAAGCCCCGGGGAGTACCTCTCTCCTTCGCTAGCCGACTGAGGTTGTTCACGAGGAAGGCTCGTTGTTCGAAAACTAGGGAGCTTTGGAGAGCGCACATCTCTCGCGGTCAGTGTCGAATCCTCTCCAAGCCCAATGAACGGAAGCATGCAGGATGGAGGAACAGACTGGGAATTACCCAGAATTTCAGGAGAGAGAGAGAGAGAGAGAGAGAGAGGGAGGGAGACTCTCTCCCTCCTTTCACATGCCCTGATATCTCTCTCTTTGTCTTCAGAGCTCTCTCTATCTCTCTCTCTCTCTTCTCCCAAAGCAGCATTCATCCTTCATTATTGAGCCCTCCCAATTAACAAATCAGGTTGGTCGTCATCTCTCCCTGTGCATGAGGGAGCTCAGACCACTGAAACAGACAGCTCCCCTCCATTTTTAAACTTGCCCAGAGTGGAAAAAATCATATTAAAGGGGACGAACAGTAACACCAGCGCCCCCCCGCCCCCCCCCGTTAGGTTTTCTAGGGCGTCTTCTCCAACTGGAGCTGGACTAGGGAACTGGATGACATCAAGGCTTCTAATCTGATGATGCTCCATACAGGCCCTCCATACAAAAAACAATACTGTCAAAGCTGGCTAAATTATTGGGGTTCGGCACGTGGGGAGAGCACGTGCGCGTGTATTTTTTATTCGACGTACCAACCTAGGTATTGTCAGGTTCCCACGTGCAGGGAACCTACGTCATGGGCCGAGGCCATGCAAGTGGAAGGCCCATTAACCCCCCCCCCCCACCGGCGTCATATCGTCTGGGTGGAGACCAGACCTTCCACAAACGGAAAGCAAATGGCGGAAGGAGTTGCAGAGGGCAGAAAACTGCTCCCAAAACCCCAACTTTCTCGTCAACAAGAGCCGTGATCGTCCTGAAGACAAAGGCGGAGGAAGGCCACTGTTTGATCGGAGCCCCAGGCGAAGAGCAGTCTGAGTCCACGTCATGCATCGCTGGAGGCCGGCGGCGGGGAGCTCTCAGAGGTAGAGACGCATGGCGGCGGCCGCCGCACAGGCGAGGAGCAGAAATTTGGAGGGCGGCGAGGCCACCGTCGCCGCCTGAGACGGCGGGGAGATGGATTGAGGAGAGGGAGCTGAAACAAGGCCGGGAAATGATTGAAGCGGCCGTTCACGGCATAAGTGGAGGACCCGGAAGAGAGAGAACAGAAGTACCTGGGGGACTGCCGAGACCTGGAACTGCAGAAACGTCATAGATCCATTCCCACTGATCAGCGATGGTCCAGAGAAGAAGAACGAGACGAAGAGGACAACGAGGAAGTCGGACTTAGGTTTTCTCCTTACTCTTGCAGTCGCCGAGGAAGGGGATTGAGATCCCGCAGGAGGAGGGGAGGGAGAGGGCCCTCGTCATGTTGAGGGCCACCCCGAAGTCGGCGCTGCTCTTGAAACTCTCGCAGAGGCACGATGCCTCCGTCTTGACCACCTTCTTCAGCGCCGAGCAGCAGCCTCCCGGCGGCGCCGCCACCCGGCTCCCGTTCTGAACGAAGTCGAGGCAGTCCATCAGGCCGGCGACAGCGGCGGAGCAGTCGGGGGAGGGCGCCGGCGACGCGCTTGAGGCGGCGGCGGCGCCGCCGCCGCTTTGCCCCCCCGCTACCGCCACCACGCAAACGAGGGCAAGCATCACCGGAGCATTCCGCCCGCCGCCGGCCATCGACGCCATTCGTATTCTGGAGAGCAGAGCTTCCCCCTGGTTCTGCAGAGGTGCTGATAAACCTAGAGGACGATCCGGTCGGTGTACGTGGCGGCTCAGGAGGAGGCCTCCGGAGAGGGAGAACAGGTAGCCGCCTTTCAGGTCAGGCGGGTGTCGGGTTTCTCAAGTTCAGTTACGGAATCTAGCGCACGTCGTCCAAGTTTATTAAAACTTCCATTTTTGGGAAAATACGGCCAACGGCGCAATACGAGCCGTCTAATAATGGAAACTAATACATATCAAGAAATATTCGAACCATTTTTTTTAAAAAATAATTACTTTTTTTAAGGGCCATTTGCATGAATGGCTTAGTAAATTTTATATTTCTTCATTACTTTTCTTGGTTTTTAAATTATATGAAAAATTATTATTATTTTCTCAAGTGCCCATGCATTAATTAACAGATATCCATCGAACTTGGGTCGCTATTGACTAAAAACTTACCAATTAATCGAGAAAAAATATCAGCGAAAATGATTGATAAAAATATCTATAAAATTAGATCAGCAAACTATAGAGATATTGTTCTCCATTAAAAACGAAGCCGCAAAAAATAAAAAACAACGGAATCTACGCTAAACATGGATAGATATCTCTCTCCCTCACCTCTCAGAAGTGGAAGAAAGTGGCAGCGGCCATGGCGATCGCGGCGGAGGCATAAGCAATCCGGTGAGACAGGGCGCCGGAAGCCGACGGACCAGGGGCCCAGGCTTCGGACGTTGGGGCGGTCGCCTGGGGGGGTGAGAGCCCCGCCGGAGAAGTCGCCGGAGCGGTCGCCGGTGGCACCGGAGAGGGAGACGGCGGCGGGGTGTCTGGCCCTGGCGGTCACATTGGAAGCTACATTACACACAGGATAATCGGCGCAAATCAGATCTAACTCTAGGGAAATATGAGATGAGCCATATACCAGGAGCCGGTGCAGGAGAAAGAATGCCTGAAAGATTCAGAAGAGATCAATGGAGTCGCTTGGATCAATGAGGAAGAATCCTTGGCGGAAGAGGAAAGGGGGGTACCGGTGCAGTTGTGGAGGTCAGGGATGGAGATCTTGCAGGTGGCTGGGAGGTCGATGGTTCTGGTCATGTTGAGGCCGAGGTTCATGGCGTCGCCTTCCTTGACGGCCTCGCAGAGGCAGATGGGGCTGACTTGCACCACGGATTGGACGCCATTGCAGCAGGCTTGTGTGGGCTTCGTCTGGTTGCTCCCCGAGCTCACGTAGTCGAGGCAGTCCATCATGCCGTAAACCACCGTGGTGCAGTCCACGGGGGTGGAAGGAGGCGTCGCCGGCGCTGTGGCGGCGCTCTGTGGTGCCGGTGACGGTGTGGTTGCGCCGCCGCTTACCTGCGCGCAGAAGGCCGCCGTCACGGCGAAGGAACACAGCAAAGCCCACGCGAACCTGGCCATCGTCGTTGCGCCGGCCGACGAGAGAGGAGAGAGAGAGGAATGTAGAGCCGAGGAATTGAGAGTAGGAGGGCGTCCTTGGTGCAACTAAATACACCTAGGAGAGAGGAGAGAGAATGAGAGAGAGAGATGACGATGGAAGTAGATCAACGTTGGGGAGAGAATTTCTCTCTCTCTCTCTAAACTCTCTCTTCTTCACTCTTTCTTTCTAAACTATATCTCCTAAAAAATTGGAAATTCAAACTCGAATCCACCGAGGAAATCTGAAGAACCCTCTTAAAATTACAACTGATTCATCTGTTTCAAGATCAAAACTCCAAGTTTTTTGTGGGAGAGCGAGGGAGGAGGGAAGATGAAGAAGACGAGTCAACGGACTAACAGATCATCCCGGTTGTTTCTCCTTGTTGACTGGTCCAGGGCCAGGCGAGGGAACCCACGAGAACCTCTCTACCTCGACATCGAAATCTATGTTGATCCATTATTGGGCCCACAACTCCTTACCTATCACACGCACAATGCTGAGTAAGATGGGCCGATCCAATTCAAACTTGAGGCCCGGATCTTACTGAGGCCCAAACCTGACTCAGAAAAGAATGAGTTTGAAGACTGGTCATCTTCATGATTTATGTATACCTCTACTACTGCATACCGGTTTGGGCTTTTGGCCCAATGACTTACTCGTTAAGTTGGGTTGGACTCTCTCTCTCTCTCGCTCTCTCGCTCTTCTCTCTCTCGCTCTCTCTCTCTCTCTCCAACTTTATTCTCTCTCTCTCAAAATTGTGGATAATGATCAACCAAGAGTCGTCCTCAGTGATTGAAAGCTTAAATAGGATAATATGAGCTTCTCACTCCACTGGTCTGTGAAGAGCTGGTTTATATCTCCACATCTCATCTCTTAGTCAGCATTTTTATTGCTAGATATGACATATTTTTATTAGTTTATTACAGCTTTTTAAGACAAAGTTGAACGTTATCTATCATATTAAATGCATTTATACCCATTATCTTCTTCTAGAACAACAATCGGTATTAGTTAACAAAACGGTTATAATGAAAAAATATGATTAATTAAGAAAATGACTGCAGAAGGTGCCCATTGTTGTAGACTTTTGTGGGTCATTGACATCTTTATTGGAACTATATGAATAATTTAAAGCAATTCATTTATCTTCAAGGAGTCAAACATTGAGATGGAAACCTACAGAATTCTGATCCAGTTATTTTTTCAACGTACTCTCTCTCTCTCTCTCTCTTTCTCTCTCTCTCTTCTTTCTCTCTCTCTCTCTCTCTCTCTCTCTCTCTCTCTCTCTCATTTTTCTAACCTGTTTCTTCAAAAGGAGGGTCTTTGAGCAGAAGGCCTCTTAGGGTCGATATAGCGCCATGAGGGGGTGATGTGGTGGTGGCTCTCCTACAGAACACCCAGGCTGCGTTGGGCATCTACACCTGGCCTAACCTGATTCAAAAACAAGGGAGGAAACCTCTGGATTGGATCCTGAAACTGTAAAAAAATGGATATGTTGATGTGTTTCAGGGAGAGGTGGTGTGTAGGTGGGGTTGGTTGTCTGCGCTCTGCCTACTGGTCCCTCAGAGCAGTACGTGGAAGCGCGGCTCTCCACGGAGCTCCTACTGCTTCGTTACCCGTCCATTCGAGAGAACGTCCGAGAAAAACCCACGCGCCCAGGTTGGTAGGTACCGATCACCCCACCGATGGCCGTCCGGTGAATCATCGACGGACCGTAGAGAGCGGAGATCCCTCGCCCAGCCGACAGATCTTCCTGCGTTTAATGGGGGACCCATGATGGTAATGTGACTTTTTGATCAAATCATCTCTCTCTCTCTCCCTCTCTGTGCATCGGCGTCTCTCTCTTCTTCTAAGGGCATGGATTAGGATGAAAACGATGGCGGCTCCCTCGGTGACACGGCTGTCCCTCCGCATTAAGGAGGACGGCGAATTGGGGGGATGGAGGAGGGGTTGTTCAACGGAACCACCTCGCAACCCCCGGTCAATATAGGAGAAGAGCACGTTATCCAGAGCAGCCACCTGCTGGGGAAGGGGACGTCGTCGTTTTCCTCTCCTGGGTTTCATGTGAATCATGCGAATATTAGCATGGTCTGATCGATCGGAGGCGTGGAATTACAGATGGGGTTTAGGGCCGGAGAGAAGGGGACGATGTTGTTAATGTGGTTGAAAATAAATAGACGCGGGTAGGTGGGAAGGACTGCTACTCCAGCAGCCTCCGCCGCTGCTGGAGGAGAGATTGGGGAAGATGGAGAGGAAGGTAGGAGAGGAGGGGTTGGGCGGGTATCACGTGGCCACTGCCCTCTTCTCATTTAAAGCCGTTACACCATCCGAACCTCCCCACCGATCGCCGTCCACTTCATTCTCCTCTTCTTCCCTCTCCCTCCTCCCCGCCTCTCCCTCTCTCTCTCTTCCTGAAGTTGCCTCCCAGTCGTATGAAAGGAACGAAGAAGGAATAGGTATCTGATCCGGGTCTTTTCTCCTCTGTTCTTTTACAATTTCTTAGCTCCACGCCTGTCTCCCACTTCGAATGCGGCTTCCACCTCCCCCTCAACTCCATCTAAATTACCCATCTCCTCTTCTCTCTGTGATCCCGCTGGATTTCAAGCCTCTTTGGTTTCTGGGTTGATCATTCTTCCTGCTCGAACGAGTCTCAGGTAGATGGGGGGAACCGGCCCGCTGTGAAGGCACCCGCCCTCCTCACTGGATTCCAAAACATGAGCTATGCTCAACGCGGCAGGTCCCCTTTGGCCTGCGTTTGAATTAGAATCTCTTCCCTCTTCTCCTCCCTCCTCTGCCATGATCAATTCTATTCCTACCTCCTCTCGAGTTGAACTTCCATCTGTTTGAGTGCACCACTGACCACTGTGACTAAAGATCACCCTTCTAAGCTTCTGATGTGGGTGGGTTCTCTCGACCAGACATCCTAGTGACTGGCATAGGTAGACAGACTCCTTGGTTGCGGAGAAGCACTCACAGATCACGTTGGGGCTGAGTTTATTCCCACCTACTTGAACAAAAAAATTTATATATACTCTTAATTATTTCAGCAATTTATCAGCAATTTACTGGCTTTTCCCCCAAAATTCGCCCCCTGAGGCCTGGCTATTGCCGTTGATTACACTCTTTTATAGTAAAGCTTATGCGCTGTCATGATCCGTCTGAATTATTTCACCGACCAGAAAACTTCTATGCGAAGAAGTAATCAATTTCCCTCCTAAGATTTTTTTGAATAATCCGCATATTTTACTGCAGGGATCTACAACCCAGATTTCCTGAAACCCAGAAAGGAGCAGCCATGGGGGAGATTTCGCCCACGAATGGATCTGCAAACGGGAATATCTCTGTCAGGCATCCGGCAGCATTGCCAGAGGTTGATAATTTCTGCAAGGCGCTTGGAGGGAAAGCGCCAGTCCACAGCATCTTGATCGCTAATAATGGGATGGCAGCAGTCAAGTTCATGCGCAGCATCAGGACATGGGCCTATGAGACCTTCGGCACAGAGAAGGCGATTCTTTTGGTCGCCATGGCGACCCCTGAAGATATGAGGATCAATGCAGAGCACATCAGGATCGCCGATCAGTTTGTGGAGGTACCTGGAGGGACGAACAATAACAATTATGCTAATGTTCAGCTCATCGTGGAGGTGGGTTCCTCGTTGCAGGCTTCCAAATTTACTTTGTTGATCCTATGAAAAAAAAAAGTAGTGAATTATTTCTGTTATGATTAAGTCTGCAAGATAATTTATATTTCAGCTGTTCACTTAATTGCAGGTCGCAGAGATTACGCGGGTTTCTGCTGTTTGGCCTGGTTGGGGCCATGCATCAGAGAATCCGGAGCTCCCAGATGCATTAGGCGCAAAGAAGATAATCTTTCTTGGACCTCCAGCTTCATCAATGGCGTCTCTGGGGGATAAAATTGGTTCTTCCCTGATAGCTCAGGCAGCAGGAGTGCCGACCCTCCCATGGAGTGGTTCACATGTGAGTCCTTTATGAGTTAACTACGATTTTTCTCATCAAATTCTGCATCTTTTATTTATTACCAATTCTTGATCTTGCAGGTTCAGATTCCGCCAGACAGTTGCTTGGATTCCATCCCAGAAGAAATATATCGTCAGGCTTGTGTTTATACGACAGAGGAGGCTGTTGCCAGCTGTCAGGTTGTGGGATACCCGGCGATGATCAAGGCTTCCTGGGGTGGAGGTGGCAAAGGAATAAGAAAGGTCTGGACATATGTGTGCCTTGTTTCCAATTTATTTATTAATTAAAAAAATCACATTTTCCCTTAATTTTTCCTGTCCCTGGATTTTTTATGATCTTAAATTTAAATTGATCGAAATAGTTTATTTAGTTTTTTTAATTAAATTCCCCCGTTCTGTCAATAACTAGGTTCATAATGACGAAGAAGTTAGAGCTCTGTTTAAGCAAGTACAGGGTGAAGTCCCTGGCTCTCCAATCTTCATCATGAAGGTTGCTTCCCAGGTAAGGCCTTGCATTAATCTACTCATGCTTTTCGCTTATGATCTCCTCGTGCGAGAAACATAGAAAGGTTTTTGGCTTAATTTTGATGCCTGATTGGGTAGAGAAAATCTGTGTACGCCTCCGCAAGGACATTAATAATGTATATTCTTTGTTTTATTTTCAGAGCCGACATTTAGAAGTCCAGCTTCTGTGTGATCAGTATGGTAATGTAGCTGCTTTGCATAGCCGTGACTGCAGTGTCCAAAGACGTCACCAGAAGGTGAGACTGTTCTTGAATTCCTTCTTTCTCTCGTGCTCAGAAATATATATACATAGATATATGCATGGATGTATTTAGGTATGTATGTCTGTATGTATGTCTGCATGTATGTATTTAGGTATGTATGCATGTATGTGTCTATGTATGTCTGCATGTATGTATGTATTTAGGTATGCATGCATGTATGTATCTATGTATGGGTCTACGAATGGTACTTATTTTGGAATTTCCTCAGCAGTTTTTTATAGTTCGTCTATCTCCTCCATTTTTAATTATCATTCATCATCGTCAACATCTTAGGTTTGAAAATATCTCTGGAAAGGTGATGGTTTGTTTTTCTTCTAATTAAGTACCATTTTATCCTGTCTAGTAGATCATTGAGGAGGGTCCAATCACTAGTTCTCATTCATCATCATTGTCACCAAACTCGCAGTTTTGACTAATACTTTTGAATGTATGATGACTTTTCTTCTAATTACGTGGCATCTTCCCATGTCTGATAGATCATTGAGGAGGGCCCAATTACTATTGCACCCTATGAGACTGTGAAAGAGCTAGAGCAGGGAGCAAGGAGACTTGCTAAGTGTGTTGGATACGTTGGTGCTGCGACTGTTGAGTACCTGTACAGTATGGACACTGGTGAATATTATTTCCTGGAGCTGAACCCTAGACTGCAGGTCTGCCCTGTGCTTATGATCTGACTCAGAGTGGGGTTCATGCTTTCTGTCTCTAAAAAAATGTCTCTTCCAGGTTGAGCATCCGGTCACTGAGTGGATTGCTGAAATAAATCTTCCAGCAGCCCAAGTTGCAGTGGGAATGGGGATTCCGCTTTGGAAAATCCCAGGTATCTGCTTAATTTCGATATCAGTGATCAAGAAATGCTTGCTTTGATCGTTAATTTGATGCTGACTTCACAGTATATCTTGACATTAGAAATCAGACGCTTCTATGGAATGGACAATGCTGGGGGTTATGATGCCTGGAGAAAGATATCACACGCTGCAACTCAATTTGATTTTGATCAAGCAGTGTCTGTGAGACCAAAGGGCCATTGTGTAGCTGTCCGGGTGACAAGTGAAGATCCTGATGATGGCTTCAAGCCCACTAGTGGCAAAGTACAGGTAGGATCTGGGGAGATGATCAAATCCCTCACTTGATTGGAACAATTTTTCTTTCCTTTACTTAGTTTTCTGTTCTTTGATTGGAACATCTTTTCTATTTCAGGAGTTGAGTTTTAAGAGCAAGCCAAATGTATGGGCATACTTTTCTGTTAAGGTACTCACGCTTGCTCATTGCAGCTTTCCAAATAGGGAACATTTTCAGTAGTCATGATTCAATTGGGCACACTTTTCGTTGTCTTAAATGGAATGGTATTTGATTTGCACACATTACCAAATATGATCTTTCTCCTATTCGGGAAGCTTCTTTTGGCGCTGCCAGCTTTCTTACATTATCCATGTTTGCCTGATATGCAGTCAGGAGGAGGCATTCATGAGTTCTCAGACTCTCAATTCGGTAGGAAATTGCAGTTCTTTGAGACGGCTTGTTCCTGTGATTTCTTCAACTTGTGGGAGCATTGCTAACGTTGCAGCACATTCTACCAGGACATGTCTTTGCGTTTGGGGAATCTAGAGCTTTAGCAATAGCTAACATGGTCTTGGGGCTGAAGGAAATCCAAATAAGAGGAGAAATCCGTACTAATGTTGACTACACCATAGATCTCTTGCATGTAAGTGCCAAACATTTTCCCCCAAAATTAGCTTCAAGTTTCTTACATTTTATCCTCCATTTTTCTGACATCTTAGAATTTAGATTGATGAGAAATCCTTTTTTTTTTTTTTCTTGGACTCTGTTAGTATATATATTAATTTAAGAAAATTTCCCATCATTTCAGGCTTCTGAATACAGAGACAATAAGATACACACAGGATGGTTGGACAGCAGAATTGCTATGCGTGTTAGAGCTGAGAGGCCCCCTTGGTACCTTTCGGTTGTCGGAGGAGCCCTCTATGTATGGAACACTGACTTAAATCGCAAATACTTTCATTATTGCTTAGCAGAAAAAAATTATTTCCTTTTTTGGTTCCATTCTTTCCCCAGAAAGCGTCAACTAGTAGTGCAGCAATGATTTCTGACTATATCGGTTATCTAGAGAAAGGCCAAATCCCACCCAAGGTATGTAAAAGATTCATGCATATGGATATTTACTTCAGAACAGTGCCATCCTTCATTCTTTTCTGAAACCATTAATCAATGGGAATAAACTGCTTGCAGCATCTATCACTTATCAACTGCCAAGTGTCTTTAAACATTGAGGGAAGCAAATACACGGTAAATTTTGTTCTCACAGATTCAAGACTTTTTGATTGCTACGGAAGATGTTTAGCCTTGACAATAGCCTCATATACATTATGATTTATACTCAGATTGACATGGTAAGAGGTGGGCCTCGTAGCTACAAACTCAGAATGAATGGTTCAGGCATTGAAGCAGAAATTCATACCCTGCGGGATGGTGGCCTCCTGATGCAGGCAAGCATTAATTTTTTTTCGTGTTCTTCGTAATGAAATTATCTCCTTGGAAGTTTTATGGTTTGATGCATAAGGTTTTAGGATAGGTTGATTAAGCACTATGTGGGAAAAAAAAATTGGATTTTAAGAGCCTGTTCTGATAATCTACCATTATTGACACCTAAGACAGTGAAAACTCTCCTCTAGATCTTTAATGAGTTCTGTCTTTTGTATTTCTGGTTTAAGACCCTCAGTTTTGGCTTGAGGTGTCTCTTCATGACTACTTTCCGAAATAAGACATAAGGAAATCCACGTCGTGCCCTTCCATGGCCTTCTGGACGGTTCATCTTTGAAAAAACTTGTATGAATGATCTCATATTAACCTTCTTCCTCTTTCTGCTCTTTTCAAATTCACCTGCAGCAACATGTGGGAGAGTTTCAGAGCCTTCTTCTGTTACAATCGAATGCCTGAATTCGAAAGCATGGGATACTTATTTTCTCTTCTATATCCGTCAATGAGCTTTCTAAAGTTAGAATTTGTTATGCCTACAAATTGAAATAGTTATAGTTTTAGCTCTCATAACCTTTACACGATCACTCATCTTTGACTGGTATTTTATGCAGCTGGATGGAAATAGTCATGTGATATATGCAGAAGAGGAGGCTGCAGGTACTCGCCTTCTTATCGATGGAAGAACCTGCTTGTTACAGGTAATACTGAGTTTCTTGCCACTGGTTTTCAAGGACATGACGCTGTAATAAGCCAATAATCATGTTTCATTTCTCTAAAAGTAGCTATGGCTAGGCATTATTTTCGTTTGTGATCTGTCATTTGGTCAACTTCGTTCCATTTCATGAAAGCATCTGTTGCCCTCTGATTGGCTGGGTATAACTGAGAGCATCTTCTGTTCACAGAATGACCATGATCCATCTAAGCTGATGGCTGAGACGCCATGCAAGCTTCTTCGCTACTTGGTTTCTGACGGCAGCCATGTCGATGCCGATACTGCCTATGCAGAAGTCGAGGTTATGAAAATGTGCATGCCGCTTCTTTTGCCGGCTTCTGGTGTCATTCACTTTGTGATGTCCGAGGGGCAGGCAATGCAGGCAAGTTATTCTCTCTTGAGCAAAATTTACGTAGGTCGTGATTGAATTTCATGCAGAAAAAGGAGGCTTGACATATTTATTTATTTATTTATTTATGTATTTAGGCTGGAGACTTGATTGGGAGACTTGATTTAGATGACTTATCTGCTGTAAGAAAAGCAGAACCATACACGGGGTGCTTTCCATCATTGGGGCCTCCCACTGCAGTTTCTGGCAAAGTTCATCAACGATTCACGGCAAGCTTGAATGCTGCGCGGATGATTTTGGCCGGCTATGAGCATGGGATAGAGGAGGTGCGTACTGATGATGATGGTATATTCACTCTGGAATTAGAAAAACGATGAAATTATGCCTAATTATGACGTGGTTGAATCATAACATGCTTCTGTTAATAGTTCGACTTTAATGAATCATAACTTGCTACATTAAAAAAAAATAAAAAAAATAAAATACTTGCTACATTGCTATTATTTTGAGCTTCTAGGATTAGAATTTCTCCGTTCTATGTTAGTGATGAGGCTATTTTTTAGGTTGTGGACGTTCTACTTAAAGCTCTGGACAGCCCTGACCTCCCGTTCCTGCAATGGCAAGAAAGCATGTCTGTGCTATCAACTCGCCTGCCAAAAGAACTCAGGAACGAGGCAAGTGCAGAGTTTTGCTTGCTTTTTTTTTTATATTCTTCTTCTTACTGTTCTCTACGGAAATTCTTGCTCGAGGAATCCTGTCCTCAGATTTTAACCATTCGCTCAGATTCTTTCATCTGTCTAACCTTTCAGCTTGATGCTAAATATGGAGAATATGAGGTGCTCTCTTCCTCCCAGAAGAATGCTGACTTCCCAGCCAAGCTATTGAAGGGTGTTCTTGAGGTCTGTGTACACACTTTCTTGTTCATCTTCTGGTTTCATCTCCTCAATTCTTCCCTTTTATCAGCTCGATCATCCGTCCCTGTTTCAGGCACATCTCTTGTCCTGCCCTGAGAAGGAAAAACCCACCCAGGAGAGGCTTGTTGAGCCTCTGATGAGCCTTGTGAAATCATATGAAGGCGGCAGAGAAGGCCATGCTCGGGTCATCATTCAATCCCTCTTTGAGGAATACCTATCTGTCGAAGAACTATTCAATGAGACCATTCAGGTTGCTTCTGCCCAAAAATTGTATGCCATTTAGTTTCCTAGAGAGGTTCTAGAATTCCTTCTTTCAGTAATCCTAGGCCTGCAAGCATGAATTGATCCCATGTTTTTATCTTATCTCATGCATCGAAAATTTTCTGCAGAGCTAATTTCTTCCCAGGGCCTTATTTTCTTGATCTTGCTCTCTACAGGCTGACGTGATCGAACGCCTTAGACAGCAGTACAAGAAGGATCTCCTGAGGGTGGTGGATATTGTTATCTCCCATCAGGTAAGTTTCCTGTGATTATATCACCTTTATTAATGTTTTATATATATATATAAGTCTGATTTGCAGTAATATCTACTTATATTTATATTATCCGACGAACAGGGTGTGAAGAACAAGAACAAGCTGATACTGCGGCTCATGGAAGCTCTGGTCTATCCGAATCCTGCAGCTTACAGAGACCAACTTATTCGATTTGCTGCCTTCAATCATACGAGCTATTCCGAGGTCACATCATCTTCCTGCAAAAATTATGCTAAGTAAAAACGCCATGCTCTTGCGTGGTCCTGAACCTCTGCTTCCGCCTTTTGTCTCTCAGTTGGCTCTGAAGGCGAGCCAGTTGCTTGAGCAGACCAAGCTGAGTGAGCTCCGTTCGTACATTGCCCGACACCTGTCCGAGTTGGAGATGTTCACCGAGGACGGTGAGCACGATTGCACTCCGAGGAGGAGGAACGCCATTGATGAACGGATTGAGGACCTCATTGGCGCCCCCCTGGCCGTCGAAGATGCCCTGGTGGCCCTGTTCGATCATAGCGACCACACCCTCCAGAGACGGGTCGTCGAGACGTATATCCGGAGACTCTACCAGGTCCAGCTGAGACCTGCCATTTGTGGAAAGCTTCGTCTTTACCTTGGCCCGTCTCCCAGTCTCACCATCGTCTTCCTCCTGTGCATGTCTTCCTTCTTCAGCCTTACCTCGTCAAGGGGAGCGTGCGGATGCAGTGGCATCGGTCCGGCCTGATTGCTTCATGGGAGTTCTCCGAAGAGCATATAGAGAGGAGGAATGGGTCGGAGGACCCCATAGCCGATGAGCCAGTGGTCGAGAAGCATTGCGAGAAGAGATGGGGCGCCATGGTCATCACCAAGTCTCTCCAGTTCCTGTCAGCGGCCATCAACGCAGCTCTGAAGGAGACCACCCATTCCTCGAACTCTTCACCAGACCAGGAAAAGCCGACAAATGAGCATCCAAATCCCACTGGTCCGGGGAACATGCTGCATGTGGCATTGGTTGGCAATCCCATGAGCCTACTTCAGGACAGGTATGTTCACTGTTCTATTTTTATTTATTTATTTATTTTTCTAATTTCTAGCCCAGAAATTTATTTCTTACTCTGAATTTCTACCATGCGGGCCCTCTTTATACACCGTTATTTTTATTTTTATTTAAATTCCAATCCTGCAGACCCTTTTCCGTATTCCCCCTCTGATAATCCTTTTATTCTCCTGAATTCTCATTGTTGTATTTTTTATATATATAATTTATCCATTTTAATTGCCTCTATTTTGCCTCTCATTTCTGATGAGTTCTTGCTCACAGTGGCGACGAGGATCAGGCCCAGGAGAGAATTAACAAGCTGGCAAAGGGGCTTAAGGAGCGGACCATGTGCTCCAGCCTCTGTGACGCAGGTGTGAGCGTCATCAGCTGCATCATACAGAGGGACGAAGGGCGAGCGCCCATCCGCCACTCCTTCCACTGGTCGGCCGATCTGCTCCAGTACGCCGAGGAGCCCCTGCTCCGCCACCTGGAGCCACCCCTCTCCACCTTCCTCGAGCTGGTTCGTGATCTCGCTGCTTCTTCTTCTTCTTCTTCTTCTTCTTCTGCATGCTCACGGTGGGCTGTCGTATGTGCCTCAGGGGAAGCTCAAGGGCTATGGAAACATGCAATACACGCCATCGCGAGACCGGCAGTGGCATCTGTACACGGTCTCCGACCCTAAGTCCCGCACGCAGAGGATGTTCCTGCGCACGCTCGTCCGGCAGCCCAACACGCTGGACGGCTTCACTCTGGGCCAGGCCCTCGACAAGGAGGTGGACGAGCTCCAACTCTCCCTCTCCTTCACCTCCCTCAGCTTGCTCAGGTCGCTCATGGCGGCCCTGGACGAGCTCGAGCTCCGCACCCACAACGCCATCATCAAGGCCGAGCACGCCCACATGTACCTCTGCATCCTGCGGGAGCAGCGTCTCGATGATCTCGAACCCCATCTTGGGTAAGCACTCGGAGATGAGAGAAAAGAATAAAGATCCTGCCTTTATGATCATTCTTCGCCATGATTTACCATTTTTGGTCCGTTTTAATCTGTCAGGAGTGAGGATGTGCCGGCTGGGCAGGAGGAGGCGGTGGTGGCCATGATCTTGGAGGGGCTGGCGACGAAGATCCACGAGCTGGTGGGCGTGCGGATGCATCGCCTGGCTGTCTGCGAGTGGGAGGTGAAGCTCTGGTTGGACTCTGTGGGCCTCGCCAGCGGCGCTTGGCGTATCGCCGTCACCAACGTCACCGGCCATACTTGCACCGTAAATGTAAGTTCTTTACGTTCACATGCACCTGCAACTAGAGAGAGAAAGGGAGAGATAAATAGAGAGAGAGAGAGAGAGAGTGACAAAGCTTTCTTCTCTATGCGGTTGGCAGATTTACAGAGAGGTAGAAGACGGGAAGACTCATCTGATGGTGTACCACTCGGCCGGAGCCGCTGCGTCTGGTCATCTACACGGCGTGTCGCTCACCGCCCAGTATCCCCCCCTCGCTGCCATCGATCACAGGCGCCTTTCGGCGAGGAGGAGCAGCACGACCTACTGCTACGACTTCCCCCTGGTTAGAAAGAAGGCCCTCTCTCTCTCTCTCTCCCCCCTTTCTCTCTCTCTGCCTCTCTGCCTCTCTCTCTCTCTCTCGATGAATCACCTTAATACGGGAATTCCATAAAGTCATGATCTTTAATCATAACATTTCATGAATTGCAGGCGTTCAGGACGGCGCTGAGGAAGATGTGGTCGGATTCTGGCAGCAAGAAGATCCCTGGGGAGGTCCTCAAGGTGACAGAGCTGGTGTTCGCCGACAAGAGCGGCGCCTGGGGTACCCCGCTGGTGGCGGTGGAGAGAAAGCCGGCGGCGAACGACGTTGGCATGGTGGCGTGGACCATGGAGATGCTCACGCCGGAGTTCCCCTCCGGGAGAACCATCGTCGTGGTTGCCAACGACGTGACGTTCCGCGCAGGCTCCTTTGGGCCCCGCGAGGATGCCTTCTTCCAGGCCGCCACAGAGCTCGCCTGCGGGAGAAAGCTCCCTCTGATCTACCTCGCGGCGAACTCCGGCGCCAGGATCGGCGCGGCGGAGGAGGTGAAGTCCTGCTTCCGCGTGGGCTGGTCGGAGGAGGCGACGCCGGAGAAGGGCTTCCAGTACATCTACCTCTCCGGCGAGGACTACGCTCGCGTGGGCTCCTCCGTCATCGCCCGCGAGCGCAAGTTGCAGAGCGGCGAGACCCGGTGGGTCGTCGACACCATCGTCGGCAAGGACGACGATCTCGGCGTGGAGAACCTCTCCGGCAGCGGCGCCATCGCCGGCGCTTATTCGAGGGCTTACAGGGAGACCTTCACGCTCACGTACGTCACCGGCAGGACGGTGGGCATCGGCGCGTACCTGGCGCGACTGGGGATGAGGTGCATACAGCGGCTGGACCAGCCGATCATCCTCACCGGGTTCTCTGCTCTGAACAAGCTCCTGGGGAGGGAGGTCTACAGCTCCCACATGCAGCTCGGAGGCCCCAAGGTCATGGCCACCAATGGCGTCGTCCACCTCACCGTCTCCGACGACCTGGAGGGCGTCACCGCCATTCTCCAGTGGCTGAGCTTCGTCCCCCCTCACGTTGACGGGCCGCTTCCAGTGTCTCCTTCCCTCGCCGACCCGCCGGAGAGGGCGGTGGAGTACCTCCCGGAGACCTCCTGCGACCCCCGCGCGGCCATCGCCGGCGTCGACGGGGGCGCCGCCGGTGCATGGCTAGGAGGCATCTTCGACAAAGGCACCTTCGTGGAAACCCTGGAAGGGTGGGCGAAGACGGTGGTCACCGGAAGAGCGAAGCTCGGAGGAATCCCGGTGGGCATCGTCGCCGTCGAGACACAGACGGTGATGCAGGTGATTCCGGCGGACCCTGGCCAGTTGGATTCCCATGAGCGGGTGGTGCCACAAGCTGGGCAGGTTTGGTTTCCGGACTCCGCCACCAAGACGGCGCAGGCGATCTTGGACTTCAACAGGGAGCAGCTTCCCCTGTTCATCCTCGCCAACTGGAGGGGCTTCTCCGGCGGGCAGAGGGACCTCTTCGAGGGCATATTGCAGGCCGGTTCCACCATCGTCGAGAACCTGAGAACGTACAACCAGCCGGTCTTCGTCTACATCCCCATGGCCGGGGAGCTCCGCGGCGGCGCGTGGGTTGTGGTGGACAGCAAGATCAACCCGGAGCAGATCGAGATGTACGCGGAGAAGACAGCAAAGGGGAACGTGCTGGAGCCGGAGGGGATGATCGAGATCAAGTTCAGGGCCAGGGAGCTGCTCGACTGCATGGGGCGGCTCGACGGGGAGCTCGCCGGCGTGAAGGCGCAGCTCCGGCTGGCGGAGGCGAGGAGCGCCTCCGCGGAGGTGGAGGCGCTCCGGCAGCGGGTGAGAGCTCGGGAGAAGCTGCTGCTGCCGCTGTACACGCAGGTCGCCACAAAGTTCGCGGAGCTCCATGACACCTCCTTCAGGATGGCCGCGAAGGGGATCATCCGGCGGGTGGTGGAGTGGCGGAGCTGCCGGTCTTTCTTCTACAGGAGGCTGCGGAGGAGGGTGGCGGAGGCCTCGCTGGTGAGGACGGTCGTCGGCGCCGCCGGCGACCATCTCTCGCACGGCGCCGCGAAGGGGATGATCAAGCAGTGGTTCTTGGCCTCCAAGTCCGGTGGGGAGATGGCGGAGGCGCTGTGGGAGGATGACGAGGCCTTCTTCGCCTGGAAGGAGGATCCGGCGAACTACGAGGAGCATCTGGCGGAGCTGAGGGTTCAGAAGGCGCTGCACTGGCTGTCGGGGATCTGCAAGTCGGCGGCGGATCTGAAAGCTCTGCCTGGGGGCCTCGCCGCCCTGCTCGCCGAGGTGGGAGAACTAACTCTACATCTCCTCTGGCCATTTTTCCCGGCTCTGCATTCGCTGACGAAGAATTCCTGCTTCTGCAACCTGAAACAGGTCGAGCCTTCCGCGAAAGCTCAGCTGGTGGAGGAGCTCAGACGGGCAATCGGTTGATCCAACGCCGGCGTCGGCGGCGGAGCGGGAACCATTGCCCGATCGTAGACTAATAATGCTCTCTCTCTTTGGCAAAGTCGGAGCGGAGGATGTCAGTAGGATTCCACGGGGCTTCTTCCCGGCAGATTCTGACGTTTAATGGTGCCATGAATTGAAGTATTTGAGAGTCTCTGGATGAAAAGAACGGGTTTTGAGATGATGACTCCGCTCAGATATATCTGTCAAGTTCTGTGATTTGATTGACGGGCAGTCTTAATCGAAGGTTTGTCAAGAAGGGTAGATCTTAGTTCTTAGTCTGTCCATCTGGGCACTTCCCCATCTGACTAGATCTTGCTCAGCCCATTAAGAACCCTAGTCGCTTCTGAACTGGTTTTTCAAAGAACTTCTTCGTCGTAGATATTTTAATTAAATGGGGTAGAAAACTTATCCTAATAGGAGCGATTTTCTTTGAGTTAATCCATTAGTTTCAAATAATTTAAATAAACATTTTAAATAATCTTTCACACGGCGGGAATATAAAATGCGGTATAAACCTTCAGTGATTTTATGCAAAAAAACATCAGCTTGGTGCTATAATGGGGGGAAAAATGCTAATAATAGTTACTAGTGACGACAACATCAAGCTTTAATAGATTTCAGCACGGCCTTCTTTCCTTGCAGATGTCACGCGTTGACTTCTGATCACATTGAGTTGTCCACTACCAGTAAGTACTTGGCAACTGAGAATCAAAAAAGCTTGTTCCATACAGAAACAAATAGGAAATACAGAGAGACTTCACATCACCGGGGGCAGAAGGGGCGGGGCGTTGACTCCATGCCGCCCAGCAGTTCACAGAAACTCACCTACGTGACCTGGGAGAAGAAGGAAGAAAACCCAGAAGAGAACAACAAAAATATGGGCGTTCTACGAAATAAGAATAGTCTCCAGAAGTTGAAATCATCGAAGAAGGAGATGAAGGGGAGGAGATTTATTTTTTTTGGTAGGCCCAGTTGACTTCCACTTCCATCTAGGAAGAGACCTTGGCTTCATCCGCAGGAGGGGCTTCTACAGCAGCTTTGGTATCAGCTTCGGCAGCAGCTTCGAATGTCTCACCGGGCACAAGATCTGGGACGTCGTCGTCGTCCTCCTGGCCGGATGCGGCGGTGGCACCAGAAGCCTTCTTTTGGAAGTGCTCCGCCAGCTTCCTCAGGTTTTCAAGATTATCAGGGCCTGAAAACGCAGAAAATTGGGGGAGAGGGATTCACATCTGACAGCAAAAGGCGATGATATGACCATTACAAATGAAAGAAAGCAGAGACCAGGAGAGTTTACCCAGTTGGTTGATGATGCCAGGAAGCATGTCCTGAAGCTCTGGGACAAAAAGAAGATATAAAATATAAGTGGATGAAACTATGCAATCATTTGGCAAGGTTTCTACGCGTCAGAAGTCAACCAGCAAGGCTCAACAACCATAATTAACCAGAATTCTGCCCATTATTGATTGAGAAATAAAAATCAAGTCCTCTGGTCTGATGATACATCTTAAGTTCTAATTACATCATAAGAACAATAAAGGCTAGTAAACGACCATAACAGATTCAGAAAAGATAAAAAATTACAATTTACCCCACCATTAATTGGAAAAAAAACTGTCAAAATAATCTCGAAAGGATATATTGGTTCTAGACATCATACCCCGACCAATAACGCTTAACCACTAGAAGAGTAAATAATAGTCAACCACCACATAACAGATTCGTTGATTGGCCTTATAAATTTGGCAGTAATAAATGAATGTAATGAAATCAGTGATAGTATTTGGACAGATAAAAAGAAGAGATATGAGGAAAATACTTTTGGTCTGAGGAGAACCGCTGACTACCCACGTGTTGGCGGCAATGGAGGCTTGCACTGGATAACAAATAAGCAAGGAATTTATCAGGTGAAAACGTAGATAAAGACTAAGATTTCCACACAGGGAGCTGTTATATTGCTATCTGATCGGAAGAGTCATTTACCTTTAGGGTTTAGGAACTGGATCACGATATCATCCTTGAAAATGTTCACTTCTTCTATTGATGGGATCGTGTTGACGCCTATTCTTTTCAACGTGCTTTGAAGCCTCTTGTCATCTGTTGTCGTTGTCTTGTGGACAGCCTTCTTCTTCCTGGCGAAATACACAAGGAACCCACGAAAATACCTAAGTTAGCCACCTGGATTACCAAATTCATAAAAAAATCAATTATCACCAGAAAGGAATATATGGCATGTAAAGTAACCCGACTGGAAGTTTTACGGTGGATTACCAATAGACATGAATTTCAGTTCATAAAACACATTTTTCAATGTACCAGTTATTAGAAATTTAAGATAATCTGAAAATGGGAAATAAAATAATGGCAATCCACGTTAATTTATCATCTTATGACCTCGGCTGATCATCCCATCTCATATCTATAAAAAGAAAGAACTAAAATGAGGGTACTTCGTATTTGGCCAGAAAATATTTACAGAGGAATCTAACAGGCAATTTCAAGGAGCTAGTCTCTTCACAACACTGGATATGTTATAGAAATTTCCAATATTCAGTCTCTTGAGTAATACATTCCCTCAGAAAGACGAGACCGGTGATCTACTTAATCAAAAAGGAAACTTATGAAGCAATGAAAAAAACCTTCTCACACTCCCCTTCCCACCAGTGCGAACAGAGCCGGCCATCTTCATAAGCTTATCCCGATTCATCTATGAACAAAAGAAAAAAGAGAGAAAATTATGAAGAGATGAGTAAGCAGAAAACCGAAATCAACAAAAACTTCACGGCAACGTGGTTTTTTTATTCTATATTATGTTGAAATTCCACCACATCAAGTGTTTTTTATGCAACCAAATCTTTAAGGAGATAGATTTTAATCTCCTGCCAAAAAAATGCATTGTCAATATAGTATATAGTACATGATCTATCAATTTTATTCTGATCTATCCCTTGAAGAACCAATATTGACAACAATCCCTAAGTTCAGGTGGAAATAGACAGAACGTTCAATACGAATTTTGAACAAGCATAAGAAATGAAGAACAATTACGACATGATAAACAATGATCCTCGGAATTATGTGACAAAGTACATAATACGTACATAAACTCTTGACACTATCCACAAAGAAAAAGGACGTCCCTTGCAAGACACAGAAAGAAATTAAAATATCGTTGTTAAAACTCGACTTCTGGAAACGTAAGAATGCTCACAAAAATGAATTTGAAGATGTGACGGACCATAAATTATAGATCCTGAGAGATTCTCAGGTGCCCGAAAAAATGGGGGACAAAAAGAACTCACATTTGGTCCCAGATTATGCTCAAAACTCCCGTAGAGTTTTCGTAAACAGAACCTGTGTTTTCTAACACAGCTGCCAGTTTCTATTCGAGCATAGCTATTACCTAAATTCGTAGGCGTGCAAATACAAAAGAGGCCCTGATGGTAAAAAATGTTAAACTACTCCTGTTAGTCACTAATCCATCTGCAAACTCGTGCAATGAACTATCCAGCTTCATAAATGTAACCAGACATGATGAAACAACTCATCACCCAACGCAGAAAGAAATTGATTCAATATCAAAATGAATCTTTAACACAAACACTTCAATCTCCACCACTTGGAGAAACCCTATCGTACAGATGTGTGCTCACTGAAATCTGTTCAATGTGAACTAGTAGAAACAAATACTAAGAGGAAACATTCTCAAAATGCCATTAAATCATTTGGATGTTTTCAAAGCTTTCATTTCCGGATTATTATTTTCTACATGCCTTTGAAAGAAACTACTTCGAAGAAAAACATAGGGAAATCATTCCTAATAATCCTAGCAGGAATCAGGAATGTTCCCAGAGTTCGGAATATATAAAAAAAGAAAAATTCCTTTACGAATCAGAATGTAGTCGACGAGCAAAACCCTCGTGTTGTCGAAACCCGACGTTTCCTTCGGGCACCGAGGGAGTGTCGGAGAGAAGCTACGAAGAAAGAGAAAACAATGCCCCCGTCATCTTCACCCTTTCCAAACATGTAGCAAAACCACCTGAAGTTCTCCAGAACAACTAGGTTTCCGGCGACCACCGTCAAAACGGGGAACAGAAAGGAAAAGTTAGAAACCTTGTCGCGCCGGAAGACGGCCGGCAGTCCCCCCGGCGCAGCGGCAGCAGCCGAGTTCAGTCACGGCGAGAGTGGATGAGGGAGGAGACCGAGGAAGGAGACGAACGGACGGCGGAGCAAGAGGGGGAGACAATAAAAGCCCTAAAGCCCTAGGGGCATTTCCGAGATTTCATCACCCACCAGACCATCCACGCCCTTTATCTCACCTTCCTAGTTTAAGATTTCCATCTCATTATTTAATAATAATCAACCCATCTCATTAATTAGAGAAAATAGCAAAAAAAATCAAACGCAATAATATAAATGCGATAATATGGTTTACCTCATTTTTATACCATAAATTAAATATTAATTTTATTAGGCTGAAATCATGTACTTGTACATTTCCATAAGTTTAAAGAGGGTTCATAAAATTCCACATATTACATAAAATTGTCATAAAAATTATAGAGTAGATGTTATTAGGCTAACAATAAGAAAATTTAAAAATATTTTAAAAAATCCAACATAAGAAATTTAAAATAAATATATTGAAAAAGAATATTAAAATGTACATGTACATTCCCATGAGTTTATTATAATTTCCACATATTATACTCAACGCCGCACAAAATATTGGTCCTAAAAATTATAAAGCAGATGTTCTTATGATAAAAATAAGAAAAATTATAAATATTTACAATAATCCAACATAAACAAATTTAAAATAAATAACTTGATGAAAATATCAAAATGTTAATACAATTAAGCATCAGCTAAACCCCATGTTATGGAGTAAGTTACAAGAGCTAATGGGGGACATTAAGCTAGAAAAAAGAAAAAAATAGTTGACTTTTTAAAGTGTAACTTTGTTCTACATTTCCTCTCTCTCTCTCTCTAATTAGGATGAAAAAAGGAAAATTATCTAACAAAAGCTATGAAATTTCCATAATGATATTATATAAGTATATTATGAAAACAAATGATCAATTGACATAATTTATGTAATATTTTCTGATCAGTCCTTTGGTATTGTGACCGATTACACTGTAATGCAAAGGCTTTACCCGTTGAAATCCCAAATTAAAAATCAGGACTTCCTCCTGTTATATCCAACACATTAGGGAGGGGAAAGAGAGAGAGAGAGAGAGAGAGAGAGAGAGAGAGAAGTATGGGGTCAATCTAAGAACGTAGAATTAGACAAGATGAGGAGGATAAATCTGATCAAATCTAAGACCATAGAATTATACAAGATGATGATGATACATGTGACCAATCTAAGACCATATGATAGCATTAGAAGTAGACTGCGAGGGGGAACCATCATTTGCCGATGCAGAACTTGCTGAAGATATTGGACAGCACCTCTTCGGAGATGTCAGAGCCGCTGATCTGTCCAAGGGCCAGGGCTGCCTCCCTCAAGTCAACTGTCCAGAAGTCCAGGGGAAGCTCCTCATCTATGGACTGCCTCAGTCTCGACAGGGCATCCCTTGTTCTAACCAGCTGCTCACACTGCCTCTGGAAATGATGATGATGATAATGGCAATAATAATAGAGCAAATATCAGTATTATTAATAATGATGATAATAAATAAAAAAACCAGACAAATTGATCCATGCTCACACTGCCTCTGAAAATGATGATGATGATGATGATGATGATAATAATAACAGAGAAAATATCAGTAATAATAATAATAATAATGATAATAAAATCAGACAAATTGATCCATGCATGAGAAATCTACCCACCAATGATATAAAAACCATGGGATTAATCTTGGCGCATCCAGTTTCCAAAAAATAGAAATAATATGAGAAATACTGAGGAACAGTTGGTTGCGTAATTAGGAAAGTAGCACCTACCTGATTTGTTGCCCATTTCCGACCGCCGGATGGGATTGGTTCAATGCCAATGACGTCAAGTATCGCCTCCTCCAACTCCCCCACACCTTGCCCCGTCACGGCGCATGTGAGGACATGCTTCTTGAAGTAGTTCCCTTCAAGCTGAGTGGGTCTGGCAGAGATGGGAGCTGACACCAGGCTATCAATTTTGTTCGTGACAAGAATCATCGGCGTGGCGGAACCCGTCGATCTCTGTCCAAACAGAAAGCATATAAAGTAAATAAGATCATGCTACCAGCATTTAAGAGAAATTTAATATCCTTGGATGCAGAAATCACTAGAAGGATTAAGAAATTTTATGAAATTCATAAAATTTCAGTATGCTAAAATAACAATGCCGATATTCTAAGTTGAAAGCTTCTACTAATTTCATCCTTTTTGGGTAAAGAAAGATTAAGAAATTTTAAGACTAATCTTGTCAAGATTTTGTCCTGAAAACAAGGCGGTGGATTGGGGGCAGGCCTGGATGTGCTGAACAAGTTTCTCATCATCGGAAGTCCAGCCTTCTACAGCACTGATTGTCATGATGATGACATCCGCACCCACAGCAGCTGCTTCAGATCTCTGAACCCCTGACCAAGGAAATAATTTTTCAAAATCAGTTTTGAGTCAAATTTATTGAAGCAAACTTGATGGGCAACTGTTAACATAAAATTAAAATTAAATAAAAATCGCTATCAACTATGGGTCACAATTCATAAATATCAACTTACCAATCCTTTCCACCACATCATCTGTTTCTCTGATGCCAGCAGTATCCAGGAGAGTGACAGGAATCCCGCGAACAGAGACATTGGCTTCGACAACATCCCTTGTGGTTCCAGCGATTTCAGTAACGATTGCTCTATCACTCTGCATACTAGTTCAAAATAATGAACTCAATGAGGCAGGGTATGGATACTAATTCACTGATAATCAAGTATGAACCGAAATGAATTCATTCCCCAGGATTTCAAGTCCAACAAATTGAAATTGCCCATGCCTCCTCGTATCCCATCAAAAATATCTATTTCAGAAGTTTCAATTTTTTTAAAATCATACCTAGTTTGTAAATTCTTTTTTTTTATATAAAAAAATATTAAATAAGTATCTTACGAAACCAATTTCAGAAGATGTAATGGCTCCCCATCAAGGAGAAGCCACTATAATCGTACCATTATAAGACGGCCAGTGATGATGATGATGATAAAGAAAACTAAGTTTTATTGAGCTCAAGGCAATGAAAGCGGCAAAAGAAGAGAGAATAAATTATAAATAGGAATATATTACGCTTAGAAAACCTACTTTGCTCCAGGCATTGAGGAGACTTGACTTTCCAACATTGGGTCGGCCAATTATTGTTACCTGAGAAATTCGAAATAAGTATCAAGTCAAAATTAGTTCAGAACACAAATGAACAGGCTTCTGCTGTTGTCATGAGGAGAGAACAACACAGAAGCAGCATGAAAAAGTTGATTTATAATTATGATTGACGGGCAGCTGAAGAAGAAATCACCATGGGTACTGTGAAATACAACCTAGGAGATCAGGTCGGATATCTGAAAACGTTAGGGCCATAGACCCATGGATCAAGATACGAATGGCCAAATATTTTGGTTCACAGTTCTAGAAAATTAAAGTCGTAGGTTCTTTTTCATACATCTAAATACACATGAAATAAAATATATAACTGATATTAAGTTTTAAAAGTGGGGGAACGGAGTCTACAGGCAGTGGCAGAAGTCAATTATCGGCATTCAGTTGCATTTGCTCCATATCATTCATCTCCCCCTCCCGCTGTCTTTCTCTTCATCAATAGTCTCTCTTCCTTCTCTTCCCCAATCCGGCTGGGAAAGGCCATCCCAACTGTCATCAGCAGATTTTCTGGATGATTATATATATTTATATTTTTTAGTAAATTTTAAGAGAGGATAGGAAACCCTTTCTTCTTATTAGATCATATATTGCTGACCATGATCATAGCACCTACATTCTCCTATTCAAATTGTAACTGACCTGTGTCAACCTATTTTCAAGGGAAACATATACTCTTACCGCTTTCCATGTATACAATTTATGTATACATACAATATGTGCAGACCACAGTTGAAAGGCAAAATAACCTGATTCTTGGGTTATTTGGTCCTGATCAAGCTCACATTGTGCCCAGACAATCCAAACCATCCTAAAAATGGCAACTTGAAGGATGCTCAATGAAAGAGGATGAGTCCTTTGTATGAAGGGCAAAATGAAGAAAACTGTTGTTGAAAGAAGATAACTGGTATTCCTATTGCATCAGATGTACAATGGATGATCTAAAGTGCACTGCAGATGGGTAGATGATCAAGAATAAAGGTCATCATAAAAATAAAAATCTGAGTTCATACCAAAACTCAGTTTTTTGTCTCCAAATATTTATTTTCTCTTCATAATATAGCCTACCTACTTGGTACAACAACAAAAATTAAACTACATATTACCCCTGAGAGACAGTTTATATGGCAATTCGGCCATTTGCTCTTGCAACCGCTTAAGTTGCTACCACATTAGGGGATCGGCCTGATGAGGGCGCACTGCTAGCCCTGGGTAATGAACAACTTGTAATTCTTAATTCGTGGATTCAGGAATTCTTATATAACTCAAGTGACACAATAAAAGCCTTTTCTATTCTTTTAGTCACTGATTTATGGATTGGATTCCACTCTCCATGATATTTGTATGCAAAAATTTGCAACTAAATCCCCATCAGAGTAATACCTGAAGTCCAGATTGAAGAAGTCTGCCATAACTTGCAGTATCCAATGCCTGCTGCACATCTTTCCACATTCCATCTATAGTGCGGATAACATGGCCTGTGTCTAAGGCAGGCATTTCATCATCAAAATCCAAGCGGGCTTCAATATCTACAAGCAACTCGATGCATTGCCGTCGCAATGATTGGACCACAGAAGAAAACCCACCCTATATTGAGAGAAGGAAAATACAATGACTAATTATCAGACATTTTATGAAGATATGAACCGTCATTGACCAACAGACCAAGCAGCAAAAAGCTATTCCAAGGAAGAAGGTATCGATTAGCCTTCATTTCCGCAATGAAAAACCACAAGGTTGGGAGATATTGATGAAACAACGTGCATACCTGGATCCCAGCCAATGCAGAGTCCGCTGCAGCTATAGACTTGGACGATACAAGTTTTCCAACATTTTCTGCTTGTGAAAGGTCCAAGCGTCCATTTAGAAATGCCCGGAGAGTGAACTCACCTGATTCATGAACATCATCACTTTAAGAAAACATGCAATAAAAGTCCAAAATGGTGATAAATAAGACCCGCATTTAGACCTTCATTAAAAGCAATATCCCAAATGTATGAACTGAACATTTTGTTTCAATCTGAATTACATACACGGCGCTTTAACACAGCTTTTGGTTGAAAAGTAGTAAAAATACACGAAAAATGAAGCAATCCCTTCCACAGCACGCGCATGCACCATAGACATGAATTGATTCCCTTGATGGCTGACCACGGATTCATGTTGACTTCAACCAAAGAGCACTACCAGAGCTGTAGTTGAACAGAGGGATGGAAATGACGTATGATTGGAACAAAAACTTGGGGATTATGAGAGTTTCTTGAGCCTGGTGGCAGCCGGGGACGGGTTCAAACTCTAAGAAATGAAAAAACTAAAACTAAATCTGAATAAGATTAGCTTATGCGTTATGATAGAGAACGAAAATAGTACATATCCTAAACATTAAGGGTCTAAGGTTCCGAGAGTTTTCCACACTAGGAAAAAAGTCACTCAGGAAGCATAAACACCTACCCTTTCCTTTGGGAAGATTGAAAATGTTGAATGTTAGATGTGTATCTATACAAATGAGCTACAGAGATTGTTGATGCAAGATTGATATTAATATTTCTTACAACCAGATCAATTCCCATGTACTAGACGCAGGAAAATAATTAAAAGTATTCACATATCATTAGAAATCATAATGACATGGATTTATTTTATTCTTTAACCAAATTTTGATTACCTTCTGCCAAGTTGGATGCCAGATCCTTATCAAATATCAGATCAACACCAGATTTTTTTTCTTTTTGAATTTTCAACATAAAAATCATGATTCTAGCCAAATGGGCCTTAGAATGATCAATTTGGATATGCACTCGTGACCAAACTGCATTAACACCACATGATTCTACCACTCATTACAGTTAACACTTTCTTCACTATGTGAATCACTATTTCGGTAGAAGGTGCAATCGTGACATTGTCTTACCAGAAAGGACAATAGATCCAAGTGGAACCTGAATATCCGACAGGGGATAAAACAAGAATCACATTCAGTACATCTATTTTCTGCCATGTCCACTTCAGTGAAAAGTCTATTCAAACAAAGTAAGGAATATCTGATTAAAATAGATAACCTGGTTCAGCAAGTCTAGCGCCAGCCTCCAAGCAAGCTCTTAACACACGGTGCAAGCATATATCATTTCCATGACATTGGAGCTCCACAACATCTTCCCTAGTGTAAGACCTTGGTGCCAACATAGGAATCGCTAAGACCTGTGCACGTGGAAGAGAGAGGAGTCAACAAGAAAAACATAGAATAATCTAGATCCTAATGATAAAAAAAAAGATCATTTATTTGCGTTGGTTAATAGTCCCTGCTTGATCAAATCCATCATCAAAACTGATCAAAATAACCTGCCATGAATGCCAAGGCAACATCCCTCCCTTCGAAACGCTCAGGCAAATCAAACAGGATAACAAAATTCTGTGTACCAACTGTAATAACTATCCTCTGGACTACCCTACATTGTTTAGAGACCTAACGCTTCAATTGAAGTATCCCCAGAAAATTATTGAAAGAAAATAAGATGGACTAAAACATTTATGTTTCACTCTGTTCAAGCAAAGTCATTCCCATTTGATTGCGGAGATAAAGAAACAGAAAGTAAGGGGGAAATGAGCAATAAGTAGGTACCAGTCTCCTGAAGTCAAATGGTAAAAGAAATGGAGTTTTAAAACCGGTCAGGCAATCGAGTCATTTTCATTCTAGAAGATCAAAAAATCTCACTAGTACAAAGAATGTAAATAAACATGCAAAAAAGTGATGCTGTAGATGTTAGAGACGTAGAAAGCCTTTGACTATTAGGTGTCAATCTATCTCCTTTCAGCCATATTCTAAACAAATGCCCCCCCACAGGAATGCCTTTCAAAACATTTACGTCATTTTCATGATATCTAAGGAGCATGACGTCAATGGAATGTTGAAGTAAGCACAGAGAAATATAATTGTCAACATTTAATGCATTGGATTTTGATCAATTGGATATTAAAAGGCACAAACAGTAGACATTCACCATTAGTATTAGACCAAATAAGGAAAGTACAATAAGTTCAGAAAGTTTTCCTCAGAAAACCAATCTGGAAAAGAGCTTGACAGGTGGTCGTCATAATGTATATTATTATTCTATTGTGACATTCAACTGGGTCCATGAAATGATGTAAATAAAAAAGGTTCATGCAGTAGTTCTTTTAAATGATTACAAGTCAATTTGATAAAGGCATCTTTCCTTCAGAGAAAATTACTTCATAAACAAGACTTAATAAGTGAAAGCAATTATAATGCAAATAGTTTTCCAAACTCTCAGATGAACTTAGAACATTGGCAATCTAAGTCGAACATAAATAAAATATATGTGCTTCTTGGTGAACATGATGACCTTAATGGTAAAAGTTGAACCCCAGAAACTATCTATGCTTTATGTTTTTTGCAGTGATTTTAGATGGATTCAAGGGAATACATAGATCAACAGGGGAAGTAAACGTTATCGTGCATTAGCAAACATAAGAGATTTGTTTTGTATTATTTTCTCCCCTATGTTTTTTCGTATTCTTTCTCTTTCATTTATGATATCCTAATAGCACCTTATATCCCAAGTACTTCACTTCAAGGCAGCTGGGACTCTATAATATTAAGTGTAAATGAATTAATCCATGGTATTCTACATCTTCATCCCCTAAAGGCCTCCATTGGCCCCCCTAGCCAAATAAATAAATAAAATTAATATAAAATTTAAAAAAGGAGAGAAGGAAATACACTAGATTACAATAGGAAATAGTAAGAAACTGAGGGTCGAAGCCTTGACACCCACTCCCACATGACATGAGCCCTAAAAAGAGCAATCCAGAGCCAAAATGTACCCAAAATCCAGGGCCTTAGATTATCCCAGATCTCTTCTATATATAGATACCCAAACATATCATGCAATACCCACTGCAAAATCTTTTCAATGGGAGATACTGATGCAGCACCTTGAACTATGAGAAAAGTAGGACTCCAAAATTGCAGCTTCGTTCAAAGTAATCGAATTAGAGGTTGGTGAAAAATAGCCCATTTATCGCATGTTGGATAGAACCGAGTGTAAAAAATGTGTAAGTAAATAAAGGTTTAAATGTGCCAATTGGAACCCATCAAAACTATTCATAGCTACATAATGACGCGCACTGGTAATAATTTGTTGAAAAAATAGCAAGACATATAGGATTTAAGTAAAAAATAAAATATTAATTCATTATCTGATGATGGCTGCCAATGAATAAAAGTTCTTGATAAAAAAATCAACACACTTCTGAAATGATACTTTGAAAACTATGTTGATTAAAAAACTCACGTGATGTACAGATTCGAAGCCAAGAAGCTCTTCAATGCAAAAAAGCTCTGGACTAAACGCAACCAAGAAATGGAAACCAGATGTAAAACGCAAACGCCTCGTCCGAAATTCACAGAACAAGAACTCACCTCGTCGATGACGTTCCCCTGAAGGTCCAAGGCCACACCGTATTCCACGAAGTGGCTCGTGGGCCTCCAGCAGGCGATCCCATTGTCGTCGGACTTCCTAACCCTCGCCGGGCGAAACACCTGGCCGGCAATAGACACTGCCGCTGGTCCAGAGAGCCGCACAATTCCCACCGCAGCGGGACCTCCGCCCAGCGATGTCACGATGGCGGCGATGGTACTGGAACTGTCCACCAGGTAGTCCCCCTCCTCCTCACCCTCCCCACTCCGGGTCCCCAAAGATGCCGAGCGTTCATCCTTGGTGAGAACTAACCGGTCACCTGTAAGAACAGTCTCAGCTGAAAGACAGAGAGAGAAAGATCAATGGGTTATCATCCTGAGATCCCCGGGGTGAACAGAGGATGATTTCACGATGGAACCCCGTACCTCCGTCAGCAAGGTGGGAGATGGAAGCCCAGCAACAGGGTATTCGCGACACATGGCGAGAGGGGGAGGCGAGAACACGATGATGTGGAAGGCCGCGTGGGAGGGGAGGAGGGGGTCTGGCCCTGCAGCAGAAACCCAGAAGGTGACCGAAGCGGAAGGCAGCGGCCATCGCTCCCCTCTTCAGCGTCCCAGGACACAATGCGACCGTTGGCGAGGATCGACGTACCCAAGATAACTTCGGCGAAAATTCGATCTATATAGTATTTTCTTCATTTATTCTCATATTTAACTAGTTATAATAGCGTCACATTTCTAGATTACCACATGAAAGATTCAGTGGCTCAACTCAATCCCGAATAAATTTAGTAGTAAAGGGTAGAAAATAAGATCTGAAGTAATTTTGCTCATAATTCAGAGTTTTAAAAATACAGAAAATCAGCAAATAAACTTGGCGCAGAGAACTAGATATTATGTTACTACGATGTAAAGGTATGATTTGCTTGACATTCATATACATTGAGAGGGATTGTTCTTTACAAGGATTTAACTAGCTTAGAGGTTATGGATTCATAAAGCTTACCTTTCACTTGTTAACACATATTAGTGTCCTATACAAGTGAGATATAATTTAAGTAGAAATAATAATTAATCAAGAGAAAATAAAGTTTAAGAGCCACTAAAGTTAGACATTAGTTGTTAGATATTGATTTGTGCGGTATCATCCCTCAGGTAGCCTTTTCTCATTAATTTTGATGAACTTATTATACAAAGTCCAAAAGAAAGACAGAAATAAAGCTTTAATGCAAAGCTAGTCATCTAACTTTTAGGAGCTTATAATTTTTAAGCTGTTAGAATATAATTATTAGATAATAATTTATTTCTGAATGTAATATGCCTCATCAATCTAAGAGTGAGAACTATCCAAAGTTTTATGGGTAATATGTCTCACTTAGTGATTTAGCTAGACTTTATTCATCTAGTTTGTCTGCCTTGGGAGCTTTAACAATTTTGATGACAAAAAAAGTGAAGGGTGCTATGACGATCCTTGAATGACAAAATAATATTTCTCTCAATTAAACATAAATCACAATAGATGAAAGCATACATAAAATTAAGGAACAAGTACTTATTGGCAAAGTAGTCACTTTATATCTCAAAATAGTCACATTCGACATATATTTTTTGTAACATATATAATCATATATGCACTCATTGAAAACAAATTTTAAAGAAAGCCACCATGCAACAAACAACACGATAAAATTCGAATATTTGATTTGCTATGATTTTGAAGGAATAAAAAACATTTATGAAGCTTGAATTCATGCAATGATGTGACACCCAATTTACTTGATTTCTACTCATTGTAAATAACTGCTAAATAGGTCTACAACTCGACTGATAAAAAGTAAACTTTGGCTCACTTTAAAAGAAGAGAATAGATAGAGAGAGAGAGCCATAATGTTCATATGCTCAATCTACAAAATTGGCAAAGGCTAACAACTTAATTGAACACAAAAAAGAAAAGAAAATCAATTGATACTCACAAGTTGCTCTCACAAGTTGCTTCTGTATCTCTATGCAAAAGAATTGACACTAGTAGAAGCTATGTGCTAAACTTATAAGAACATTACCTTATTCTTAACTTATAATTAGATACTTTTATTACTTAGAATTTGTAAAGCCTCAATCACCAAAGGAGATTAATTTTATGCTAATCAAGTTGGTTCCTTAGAGTCATAAATATATCCAAAGTGTTTGCATGAAACATTTTGATGAGTTAAACTTGTGAAATCCAGTGAATGCTAGTTGAAGCCTTTGTGCTCATTCTATTTCACAAAAGATTTGGTTGAACTTAAGGACATGATCCTTAGAAAGAGTGGAGTAGACCAACTGGGCTAAACCATTATAATCTATGAGGTGATTGTATCAAAATGATGAATGTCAATTCACCTCTTCTATGTCTTTGTTCATTGTATTGCCTCAGTATGACCAACATAGTTGAATCCCATACATATAATATAGTAGATTATCTAAAATACCATATATCAGATTTTAATTATAAACTATTTATGTTTTTATATCATAACTAAGAAATATTTCAAGATGATTCTTAATAATATTTTATTATTTACATAAACTATTGATATTTTAATTGATAATTTAAGTCTACTAAGCTTAAATCTGAGGTATATTCTTTCTAATTATGAACTTTTATTTACATGAAGTTTCATATTTTTGACACTAGTACTAAAGAAACTTTTTATTGAAATGTTATAATTGAGGTGTCAGTATGCTTAGTTCTCTCTTTTTGTCTACTAACTAAACTAACATATGGCTAGAATCTATATGATCCAACTAAATGCCTATTTTTCAAATAATTTTTTAGACCCTATTTTTATGCAAGAGATTTTTTCAAAAACTAGATTTCAAAAGGCACACATTTTTTTTACTATAGAAATTCCCGATGATAGAGAAAGAAGCTAATTATTTTATGAATATAATGATTTATATTATCACATAAATAGTTGTACATTAAATGATGCTTACTAATATGTTTGATTTGAGGCCTCAATTAGATCAACAAAGAGGGGGATGGTTCAAATAATCTGATCCTAATTGTTCAACCTAGGTCAACTATTTCCAATATCTTTTACCTCATTTCTTTGATTATAATCCTAAGACTTTATGGGTAATGTGTCTCAAATACTGATTTTTTAAGTAGTTCAACTGCTTGTCCACATCCACTCTCTTAAAACACTCTAATTCTTAAGTTATATTCGACCAATTATTCTACACTCATAGTTAATAATTAACAAATTCAACTCCCACATAATTTTACCTCAAAATTATCTTCTTGACTCAAAATTCTAAGAGGTCAACAATTGATTATCAGGTCCATCTCTCTTGAATAATCAAATAAAAAAATAATCACTAGTTTTCTCCACCAAGATGGGGAAGAATTTCACAATAAGTTGTTTTGGATGAAGTCCGTATGAAAATTTGGCGAAGAAGATGATGATAAATACTCATTTTTCATTATCCTCATCTTATAGGGAAACTAGTTGAATTTATATGATATTGACTCTTTGATCTAGTCGAGGAAGATATCATGTCACTTGAATTTAGTTCCTCCACTCGTTCACTTCTTGTTGTTTAACTTGTTAGAAAAATTGTTCAAATTCATTTAAATTTCTCTATAAAAAATGTCTACAATAATATTGAGACAGTGGAGAGGTTCAAGGTGATAATTCATAATTAATTAGCCACTGGATAAGAGTTGAATTTATAAAAAATTAAATTCAAAATCTTCCTCTATCTTGTAATTTCTCTCAATATTTAAATCATAAAATTAGTTAAAATTTTGAATGATCAGTTAGTAATAAAAATATGGTTTTAAGGATTTAGATATCCTCTATGAGAAATTAATACATGTTGTCACTAAAGATAAATACGTATATTCAAAGATTATCTATTTGACCAAGTTTGATAAGGATATGTTATCATGGAAACATAATTGATAATATATCTCGAAATAAAGTAATAACTTTTTGTTCAAATTTTGTCCAAATCACGTCAAGAAATTACAATCATCAAGTAGACACTTGAATCATGATCTTAACTCTTAAGATAAAATTTTAACTCTTAAGATAAAAAAATATTTAATTATTTTATAAATAATATTTATTAATATTCAGAAAATCTTTAGTAGTACAAAAGGTATGAATTAAATCAATTGAGTCAATATCAAAAAAAATTAAAGTAATAATTTGTCATAGGTGCCATATACTGAACTATCTTTAGTACTCGTATTTTATGTCATAAATTATTGCTGATTTTGAAGGGCCAACCATTATTTTTCCTTATTGGTAGATTTTTTAAATATCGTTAGTTCCCCTAGAAATATACAATTTATAATTTTTATCAATAAAATCCACCAAATTTAGGAATTCAATATTATGGGATTCAGATGTATTCCTGAAATTTTATTTAAATATTTTTCATTTTATTTTCAATACTTTTTGAATTAATATTGAATTAAATTCAAGTTCATGAATAAACTAACATTTATTCATACTGAATTTCATAAATAATGAACATAAATCACTGTGAATATCATCAAAATATTATATATTAAATGCTCCAAATAGTGAGCTTGAGAAAATCTCCACAAAAGGGGATAGGAAGAATTGTATTATTGCATAAAATAAAAAATTTCATAGAGAGACAAATCAATGCATGAAATTATTATATTATAATAATTAATTTGTGTTTATACTCAGGCCTAGTTTATTCTACAACACTCTGAATTTCTATTCACTAGGCATCATGTAACATTTTTAAAGTTTGTTCTCTCAAAGTCCTAATTCGACATCTTGTACAACATCACAAGCATTAATAAACAACAAATTTTATCCTACAATTAAAAAAAGCTAAACAAACTTGCCAAATACCTCATAGAATGAACAGACAAGCTTGAGTGGTGCACTTAAATGTTGTTGAGAAAACTTGTAAGCTCTCTAAATTTTATAGAGCTTTACCATTTTAAAAGTTGATTAAATCTTAACCTCCATACATTTGAGTGGGTGAGCTTGTAGCTTATATGTGCACTTTTTTAGTGGAAAACCCACTTTAATGAATAGAAAATGACTAATTTTGAACTTTGTTAGTGAATGTTCCTGGCAAAGTAGTCATTGTAACTTCACGTGTTAACAAAGTATGGGCATCAACCCATGTAGTTTCCACTTGTATTTTACTTGTGAGTATTAACATGTAGAGTTTACACTCACATTGCACGTAATATTTATTTCTGCTTAAATAAAGTATGTTCACACAATTTCATGTAATAGCTTTGAGGCAGCAGTAACTGTCCTATTGCATCCATTTTTTGGGCTATATTTGTGGTAAAGATGACATCTTTTTTATAAAAAAAAAACACATTCAAACTATCCACAGATATTATTACATGAAATGGGGCATGTAATCATCAAAATCAGTTCATTAGGTTTTATATTTGGGATTAAATAAATTGCATTTAAAATTAGCACGATGGTGATCACTAGATTTGCCCACTATCAACCCTCATGTGTTATTAAGTTCAATATTCGGTAGTCTTTCTCGATTCATCATGGTCCCTCAAGATGCGGCAAGGTAAACTGAAGCCAACGACGCAAAAGCGGTATGTACGCACCAGAAAGGAAGGGAGGGGGGAAAAGGAGGGTTCCTCGGTGGAGTAACGGAGATGGTTCACGTCTCTCTCTCTCTCCCTGTATTCATCTATCTATCTATATATATACATATATGCATATACATATATATATGTAGGCCAATCTATCAGAGATCGTTAGGTAGATTACGGTGTTCTGCGTGGAAACAAAAGGATGACTGATCCGTGATATCGGGGAGGTTTCAGCGAAAGTATAAACGAGCTGCAGAAGGGGATGGCGAAGTGACAGGAGGAAACCTCCTCCATATTTCGTCTGGTCCACCTCAGGATTTCTATATCTCTCTTTCCCTCCTCTGCCTCTCTCTCTCTGCCTCTCTCTCTCTCTCTCTGTGCGTCTGTGTCCAACAGAGACCTTCACCATTATTGTTACCTTGTCGCAGCCATCGTAAGATTTAAATAATTCAATATATAAGAAGATGGAACCAAGCAACGTGAACGCGACAAAAGAATAATAAAAGATGTAATAGTAAATAATTGGGCTAGCGGTAATTGGCCTCAGTCTAACGAACCCCGCCGCTGTCGTAGCCTTAAACTACGACTCAGAAACCGCGTGGCCCTACTTTGACCGATCCAGATTTTGACTGGTCGTGATGGCATTATCAATACGCGTCCTCTCCCTCACGCGTCCTCTCCTTCCCGGGGAAATCTAATCTTCCACGGAGCAGAATGCCATTGACTTGAACCCAATGTCTATGGACTCCTCCGCATGAGGACAAATGGTAGACGACGTCATTTGTTCTCTTTCGAGGAGATTGACTTCGATCCATATCCGGTCCTTTGAGAATTTAAAGCCGCACATGGATTTTTTGAGCTTCGAAGTCTAAAAGAGTTTAAACCCTTTTACTATGGTTTATTTTTATATATTTTTATTCTAAAATTTTCTAAAATTTTGGTTTTCGCTACCATAAGCACGACAAGTACCAAGACTCGAGGCTATTTATGAAATTTAATATTAATCTTTGGTTGGAAACTTACTCCTAATAAATAGTTAACGACAGATCCCTCTTGGCCATATATCAAATGTCAGTGAATATATGTAGGAAACTAAACACATTGGGTGGCCTTTAAACCATTTTCTATTTTCTAATTTTTACCTCATGAACTTAATAGTTAAAAATAATCCACCAATTTACGGAATTGTGATATTTAGATATCTTACTGTTGATCCTATCAAAAAGCACATCTTATCATGATAAAAGGTGAAACTAATTCACGAGAGAATGCCCGCAGCCCTGAATTTAAAGATGGTCATTTTAACAGGACTCAGTATCACCATTGTTTTGACAAACTGAGCATATTTCTAAGACGGAATTTCAAAAAAATCATTTTTTGATTATATGACTTACTTGAGACCACGCTTTTTTTGATGATGTAAGAACTAATGCATGTTCTTTGTTGTGTGCACACATCGGAAATCCTTTCCGCGTAACGGGCTTGCTCGCTCTCTCTCTCTCTCTCTCTCCGTTGAACAAGGATGATTGACCCGTAATGTCGGAGAGGTTTCCGCGTAATGGGTTTTCTCTCTCTCTCTCTCTCTGTCCCTGTCTCTATCTTCTCAACAGAGACCTTGGGTGTTATTTACTCCTTGCTCGTCAGCTTATGATAAAATAATCCAAGAGGCAGTAAGAGAAGACCACGCAACATAAATGCATCAAAAGAATAGTAAAACATAATATTAAATCATTACGATAATTTGGCCTAAATCCCTGCTTATAGTTTAATTCAAAGATCAGTTCTCAACTGTTTTATATTAATCTGAATTTAGTGGTGTGCCGCCATTGTCAGTACGCGTCCTCTCCTACTCTCTCTTCTCTTCGCTCCTGTCTTTCTAGCTACCTTCCCTGGACAATCTAGTCTTCCTTGAAGCAAAGCATGTGCGGCGGACTTGATACCAACATTTGTGGTCTCTTCCGCGTGAGCATAAATATTAGACATCGTCGTTTGCTCCCGTTCAAGAGGAATTGATTTCGATCTTTGCGATATTAATGCTGCACATGGGTTTTTCTGAGTGTATCATTCTCAAGAAGGGGCTTAAATCATTTACTATGGTTTATTTTTTTATATGCTTATTGTCATTGTTTTATAAAATTTGTCCTTATCTAACATCAACTTGGCAGATAATAAGGATGGAGGCCATTTCTGAAATTTAATCTTAATGTTATATTGAAAACTTACCTTAAATAGTTAATGACGATTCCTAGTCGACCCTATTTTTATTGGTGGCGATTAGTGTAGAAATGACAACACAATGGGTTGCGTTTAAACCATTTTCCATTTTTATTTTTTTTGTAAAAGTAGTAGCTATAAATAATCCACCAATTTTTGCTATCTCGATATTTAGCTATCTCACACTATATCGTATAGAAAACACATATTATCATGATAAATGATGAAGGTAAATAATCAGTGAATGCCCGTAGCCCTCTACTAAAAGATGGTGATTTTAATATGGTCAATACCAACAATGTTTTGAAAAACTTTTAACATTTTCCATTTTCTTTTTAAAAAAAACATATTTTGATCATATATCGTACTTGAGACTAAGATATGTGTAATTCATTTTCTTTGTCTGAGCTTTCGGTCAAACAAACTCTTTTCCGTGAAGCTTCCTCCCTCGCGCTGAGAAAGAGAGAGAGAGGGAGAGGGAGAGAGAGAAGATAAAAGACGTTCGGCCACCATTAGCTCTTCCCGCCCATCTCCTCCGAAAAAAAGACAAACAGAGAGAATAGGGCGGCGGGAAAGATGGAGGGGTGCAGAGCGCCTCTTCTCAACGGCTGGATTACACCATTTATAATGGGTTTCCTCCTCTGCATGTCCATTCCACTGGCATCGGCGAAGGTGCGGCGGTACCGGTGGGAGGTAACCTACGAGCTGCAATCCCCCGATTGCCTGGAGAAGCTGGTGATTGCCATCAATGGGAGGACTCCCGGCCCGACCATCATGGCTCAGCAGGGAGACACGGTCATCGTCGAGGTCAAGAACGGCCTCCTCACAGAGAACACCGCCATTCACTGGCACGGCATCCGCCAGGTTAAACCGCGAGAGCCCCCCCTTCCCCTTTCTTGCTCATCTCCGGCGACCTTACAGTCCGCTGACGGCCTCCTTCGCCGGTGACTTCGCCGCCAATTTTTCCAGATTGGGACGCCATGGAGCGACGGCACGGAAGGCGTGACGCAGTGCCCCATCCTCCCCGGCGAGACCTTCGTCTACAAGTTCGTCGTCGATAGGGTAAGAAGCTGCCCCTCCCTCACATTTTTCGCCTTCCAATCTCCTGTTCACGGAGTCATACCTTCATCGTTGACTTTTACTTCTTCCTATTCTGCACTCTTCCCTGAAATATTCTTTGAACGCCGTCATCTTAAGAGACTGTCTCCTCAGGCCGTGGGCCTGAACTTAGCGGTGTTTTTGTCGTCTCGCAAGGACCCCCGCCCCCCACTAGCCACAGGGTCCGTCGGCGTTGGCCCCGATTTTACTCTAGTCAGAATCCAACCCAATATAATTATCGCTTTCCTTTTAAAAAAAAAATCAACGGTCGACGGCGGTCAGTTGAATAATATTAAAAAATATTGCATAAAATATTGAATTAATAGAATTTAATAAAAGTGGGCCCTTTTCGATAACCATGGTGGTGGATGGATCATCCTCAGCCGTTGTTATCTTCGTGATTCCCTCGGTGAGTTGACTGTAAATGTCAAAAGGATTGCTCATCTCCCAAATAGTCAAATGCGTATCACTTTGCGAAACTAGATATTTCATAGCTACTATGAGAACTGATCGTCCTCGACAATCACTCTAAAGTGACTCCCTTCAGCAAATAACCTGTCCATGTATAAGAGCCAATGAGGTCCTAATTTCTTAAATATTTAGTCCCCTTAAATCTGCAAAATTATGCCCTTTAGTGCTACTATGACAACGGATCGTCTTAATTTAGCAAGTTCACCGTTGACCATCAAGAATCAACTTTTCAACTCATTGTGATGGTTTCAGCAAACACTTGATCAGTGAGCTCATTGGTTACGAAATGCTTATAACCTTGGAAAAATAAGCTTTTTACTTACCATGGTGATCGATCATGTCAGCCTCTGGTTTCACGCGACTCCTATGTCCAGTAGGTCGTTGACCAGTATGAATCATCTAGTTTCTAACCTCGAAAAACACTAGACGCCATAAATTTTTCAAAACCTTTCGCCTGGTATCCAAAAAACCATGCAAACGTTTCGTTAGCTGAAAAAAAAATAACCTTGTTGACCATCAAGAATCAACTTTTGAACTCACTGTGATTCTTTCAGAAACACTGTTGACCAGCGAGCTCATTGGTGATTCAACCCTTCTGCATAAAAACCAAAACCCCTTTAGAGTCGAACACCTTGCTAATCTCCGAAATCATTAACTGTTGATTAATTTGCAAATATGAGCCCAAACCCTTACGAACAGAGATCAGTCGTCTTCAACCTCTCGTCTCACTGTGATTCCTTCGTCGAAAATGGCGGCAGCCCGGGACCTACATCTACCACGCTCATTACGGGATGCAGAGGTCTGCCGGCCTCTATGGGTCCATCCACGTCTCCCTCCCCGACGGCATTTCGGAGCCCTTCGCGTACGACTACGACCGGAACATCGTCCTCAACGACTGGTGGCACAAGACCACCCACGAGCAGGCCGCCGGCCTATCCTCCATCCCTTTCGTCTGGGTCAAGGAGCCTCAGGTGCCTATTCTCTCTAAACCTTTCCATTGTTCCTCTGTTTTTGAGATGGATGTCCTGTTCAACTCCTAGCGTTTGCCTTGCAGTCACTTCTGATCAATGGGAGGGGATGGTTCAACTGCTCACAAGCCGGGACTGCCGTCTGCAACTCTACCAACCCGCAGTGCTCCCCCTTCGTGCTCACGGTGGTGCCAGGGAAGACCTACCGCCTAAGGATCTCCAGCCTTGCTTCTCTCTCGGCGTTCAACTTTGAGATAGAGGTGAGGAGGGGAGGGAACGGTCCCAGCAGACGAAGAAGACGGCCACTTAGGTCGCAGGAAAATAAGCACTGACCTTGGGGGTTCTTTTGCAGGGTCACAACATGACCGTCGTAGAAACCGACGGCCACTACGTCGAGCCATTCGTCGTGAAGAACCTCAACATCTACTCCGGCGAGACCTATTCCGTCCTGGTGGTCGCCGACCAGGAACCTTCCCGCAACTACTGGGCGGCCTTGAACGTCGTCAGCAGGAAGCCCGACACCCCCACCGGTCTCGCCATCTTCAACTACTACCCCAACCACCCCCGCCGCCGTCCCCCGACGGCGCCGCCTGCCGGGCCCCTCTGGAACGACACCGAGTACCGCCTGAACCAGAGCCTAAAGATTAGGGCTCGCCGGGGATACGTCTACCCCCCGCCGACCACCACAGACCGGGTGATCACCCTTCTGAACACCCAGAACAGGATTGACGGCCACACCCGGTGGGCCGTCAACAACATCTCCTTCACCCTCCCCCACACCCCTTACCTGATCGCCCTCAAGCACAAGCTGCACCACACCTTCAGCCAGTCGGCGCCGCCGGAGACCTACGACCGCGCAAACTACGACATCTTTAAGCAGGCGGCGAACCCCAACGCCACCTACAGCGACGCCGTGTATCGGCTGAAGTTCAACTCCACGGTGGACATCATCCTCCAGAACGCGAACAGCATGGTCCCCAACAACAGCGAGACCCATCCCTGGCACCTCCATGGCCATGACTTCTGGGTCCTCGGTCATGGGCCGGGGGTCTTCGATCCGGTCAACGATCCCCTGAGGAAGTACAACCTAGTGGACCCCATCATGAAGAACACTGTGGCGGTTCACCCTTATGGCTGGACGGCGATCAGATTCGTGGCCGACAACCCAGGCGTGTGGGCGTTCCACTGCCACATCGAGTCACACTTCTTCATGGGAATGGGAATTGTCTTCGAGGAGGGTGTGGAGAGGGTCGGCCGGCTGCCGGCAGCCATCATGGGCTGTGGCGACTCTCACCGCCTCCCCCGTCATTGATTGTTCAAGAGGAAGAAGAAGAAGAAGAAGAAGAAAGGGGGAGGCTCTGGCGGCTTACTTGGTGGATGCCATGGGAGTGGTGAGAGTCAGTTCCATCGGAACCGCCGCTGCCACCGCCATCAGTCGTTCGCTGTCCAGCGAGTGACCGCCCGCCGCCAGCGTCGTTCGTCATTCGCCGTCCGCCAACTCCTATCACCATCCTCACCCCATCCCCCGCCATCCATCACCCTCCATCCACCATCTATCACCGCCGGCATCTGCTATCGCCATCTCTAGTAGCCATCATCCGTCGCCACCGCATCAATCCAGCATCCTCCAGCCACCTAAAAGATAATAGGTAGGAGAAGATTGAGAGAGAAGAGAGGGAAAGGAATGAATGTGTAAAAAGTTGCAAAGCGTTGATGGTATATTATGTACTTATTATAGAGATTCCGGTTTTCAAGAATCGGAAACTTTCCAAGAATTGGAGGTTTCAGTTGAGTGCTATTTGAGGTTACCGTTGAAACAACAATGTCTCTCAATGATTGAGCTGGACGATCCTTTCCTGTTGGTTGGTGAGCTGACTAGTCTTGCTGAGCTGTTGAATGCCTTGTGCTTTCACACTCCCCCACAAACACAACTTTGGCGCCGTTGGTGGAGATGGGAAAGACATTGAGCTTGTTCCGTAACCAATGGAACCGTTGTTGTGGGAGGGGTTTTGTAAGGACATCGGCCATTTGATCTCTGCCGGATATGAAAGCTATTTGGAGGCATTTTGACGTGACTTATTCACAAACTAAATGGTAGGCAATATCGATGTACTTTTTTTTGGTGTGAAACACTGAATTATTGGCAATATATATTACTCCGGTATTGTTGCACCACAAGGTAGGTGCAGTAGTGAGTTGGATCCATAATTCATGAAGTAGAGATGTGAGCTAGATGATTTCATCAGTAGCATTTGCAATTGCCTTATATTTGGCCTTCGTGCTTGATCGTACCCAAGATTGCTTCTTGGAGCTCTATGACCCAAGATTGGTACTGAGATAAATCAAGTACCCTCTAGTGGAATGGCGATCTGTAGATGATCTAGCCCAGTCAACATCACTAAAAGTACGAAGAGAGATGATAGAGTTTTTAGATAATAGAGCAGATGTTTTAGTTGGGTCCAGTCTTCAACATCCGAGTTGTGCATCTTCTGACATGCTCTATTGACAATGAATGAGATATTGAGTTGAGTGATTGTAAGGTATTGAAGGCCCCCTACAATGCTGCAATACATAGTTATGGTCTAGTGTTGCTGTTAAAGAGCACAATTGAGAAGAATCTGAGCACGGCGTCAAGGCCGGTTAGCATGTTTTCATATGTAATTTTCTCAAAAGTTGTGAAATATATTTTGATTGCGATAGTAAATAGTTGGAGGCTTGACTAGTGAGTTTGATATCTAAAAAATAGATGGCTGGCCCAGGATCTCAAAGCATGAAGACATACAAGTGATGTGATAAGATATTTAATACCGTGAGGGTCGAGACTTAAGATTAAAATATCATCAACATATACAAAAAGAAAATACAGTATATGATGGTTGTATTTATAAAATAGTGATTTCTCAATTTTTGAGTCACAGAAACTGATGGATTGTAGATATGAAGATAATTTCTTAAACCATTCACGTGGTGATTATTTTAAATTGTAAAGCGATTTCACAATACAGACACGATGTGGGAAATGAGAATTAGAAAACTTAGTGGTTGTTTCATATAAATTATTTCAATAAGATCACCATTCAAGAAAGCATTAGATATATCTAATTGATCAATGTGCTAGTTTTGGCAAACAGCTAGAGAAAGTAAAACTTGTACAGTTGTAATTTTAGTAATCGGGCTAAAAGTTTCAAAATAATCGATGCCGACTTGATGGTTAAATCCTTGAGCCACTAACCTGGCTTTATAGTAATCAATTGTTTCATCATAATGAGATTTGAGTTGATATACCCATTTGCCGTCAAAAATATACATGTGTGGATGTTTGGGTACCAAGGACCAGGTTTGATTACAAATGAGGGCATTATACTTCTCCGTCATTGCCTTGACCTAAAGTGGATTTTGGAAGGCTTTAATCAAACTTGTGGATTCGGTGATGGCAAAGGTTGACGTGCAAAGAGGTAGTGGATATTTTGTACAATAACTTGTTTGGCATTGGGATGTCTTGTGCTTAGCAAGAATTAGATGAGTTTTATTTGGAACTTGAACATCTAATTCTTGATAATTTATTGTAATGATTGGGTTTTTGGCAGGGGGGCGAAGGTAGATTGATTAGTCTATGCCATAGGTAAAGGGGGGGTTTTACTGGCTTCATCCTTTGAAGAACTAAGTATCTTGAGTCATTCGTCTGTTTTGTTTTGTGGATTTGGAGCTGCAGGTTGGTCTGAGCTAATGGGGGTTAAAGGGGTTATGTAGAGAGATATAGTGTCTAGAATTCCATCACCATTTCCAGTTGATGATGGCTCCTACATTTGAGTTGTTATATCCTAGAATGAAAAATATGATTCATTGAATAAAATTTCTCAAGAGATAAACAACTTAATTGAGTTCAAGGAGAGACATCAATAGCCCAAATGATGTGAGCTATAGTCAAGAAAAGCACATTGTTTTGATCAAGACATCAATTTATTTACATCGAATGATCGCAAGTTGAGATAACGAAGGCAGCCAAAAAAATTAAAGGAGTAATCTGGTGATGAGTTAAATAAAATTTCATAAGGTGAACGCATTTGAAAAACTAGTGTAATCATTTAGTTAGTGAGATAGGTTGTTGCTGATATTGCTTCATCCTAGTATTTTTGCGACGTTGAACTATGATGAAACATTGATAGAGTAGTCTTGATGCTAATTTTATGTTTGTGATGAAAGGTTCTAAGTACTTTGATGATGAAAAGTGTTGTTATAAATAATTGAATGACATTTTTATGATGTCAGTGATGTGTGAAATGTCATATTTAAATCAACTGAAATTTATAAAAGTACATAATTGTCATTACTTTTGAGATCTACTATGCTTTTACATTGGTAAAATTATCTAAATTTCTAATCTAGTTGATTAAAATAATTTTTAGCTCATAGAATATGTTACATCTATGCACTTCCAAAATTAGGAAGCTTAATCAGAGTGGAACCTAAGATAAAAAATCACACATAAAAATTCAAAGTATTAAAATAGTTATGAATTTTATATCATTTATGATTATAATTTGTTTGTCTTTCAATCTCATGTGTGGCCTCATTCGAGGTTAACTCAGTTAGGTGTTCAGTTGATTGTCTAACCCAATAAGTCAACATAAAGGAGGGCTTTCACCCAAATTAGCACATGATGACAAGAAATGAATGGGAACACAAGAAAAAACTCATGAGAGACTTCAAGCCCCATATTCCACCTCCAAAGGTTTTCAAAACATCTCACTTATCCTCCTAAAAGCTTAGCTGTATTCCACACCTCTGAGAGCTTGCAACACTAGAAGATTAGCTATTGCTTGACCCATTTAGGAGCTTCACCACGTCTTCTTTCACGGCAAGTTTCTCCATCCCACAAGAAGAGGACAATAAAATTGAGCAAAATATCTTTTGAGTATCTATTTTTTACTTGAATAGAGATGTGAAGGAACTCTTAAGGTACTTATCACATGCGATGGAGAGTGGCTAGAACTAAAATCTGTTAGATAAATACATGGAGTCTTTACAAGAGTGGCTTCTAAAACTAGGAGGAAATGATAGACTCACGGAGTTTATACTATAATAAACTGTTGGAGAGTTTAGAAAATTAGTTGAAAAGAATAGATTTGTGAAGTCTATGCTGAGATAGGTTGTTAGAGAGCCAAGGAAACAGGAAAGAATAAACTTGTAGAGTCTATGGTGTAATGTGTTGCTAGAGACTCATAAAGTCTTGTAATAGGTTGCTGGAGTCTTGAAATCTAATGGGTGATATAGACTCATGTAATCCATGTTATAATAGGTTGCTAGAGGGTCTTGAAATCTAAGGTGATATAGACTCATAGATTTTATATTGTAATGAGTTGCTAGAGAGTCTTGAAATCTAATGGGTGATATAGACTCATGTAATCCATGTTATAATAGGTTGCTAGAGGGTCTTGAAATCTAAGGTGATATAGACTCATAGATTTTATATCGTAATGAGTTGCTAGCGAGTTTTGAAATCTAATGGGTGATCCTATAAAGGGTGTTGATCTTATAATATCAGCATTATTCTTGAGACAAGAATAATGAAATCAGAATTGGGATTTTAAAGTTTCATGCAGACCAAAGGGATTTGGCCAAACCACTATAAAATCTTTTTTTTTTCTTTCTCATCCCCCTTCTCTCTCTCTTTCTCTTTCGTCATTGAATTTAATTTAAGAAATGATACATAAAGACTTGAAAGTAATTTAACAAATAATCTACAGACTTGAAAATAACCAAAAAATGATACATAAAGAATAAATTCAGTCACGCTCTTGATTCGTGCAACCAGCTATCTTTCTATTTCGGACTGTAAGATGATGAAGAATCAATGACGTCGGAGGTGGTGAGAGTCGCCACAGCCCATGATGGCTGCCGGCAGCCGGCCGACCCTCTCCACACCCTCCTCGAAGACAATTCCCATTCCCATGAAGAAGTGTGACTCGATGTGGCAGTGGAACGCCCACACGCCTGGGTTGTCGGCCACGAATCTGATCGCCGTCCAGCCATAAGGGTGAACCGCCACAGTGTTCTTCATGATGGGGTCCACTAGGTTGTACTTCCTCAGGGGATCGTTGACCGGATCGAAGACCCCCGGCCCATGACCGAGGACCCAGAAGTCATGGCCATGGAGGTGCCAGGGATGGGTCTCGCTGTTGTTGGGGACCATGCTGTTCGCGTTCTGGAGGATGATGTCCACCGTGGAGTTGAACTTCAGCCGATACACGGCGTCGCTGTAGGTGGCGTTGGGGTTCGCCGCCTGCTTAAAGATGTCGTAGTTTGCGCGGTCGTAGGTCTCCGGCGGCGCCGACTGGCTGAAGGTGTGGTGCAGCTTGTGCTTGAGGGCGATCAGGTAAGGGGTGTGGGGGAGGGTGAAGGAGATGTTGTTGACGGCCCACCGGGTGTGGCCGTCAATCCTGTTCTGGGTGTTCAGAAGGGTGATCACCCGGTCTGTGGTGGTCGGCGGGGGGTAGACGTATCCCCGGCGAGCCCTAATCTTTAGGCTCTGGTTCAGGCGGTACTCGGTGTCGTTCCAGAGGGGCCCGGCAGGCGGCGCCGTCGGGGGACGGCGGCGGGGGTGGTTGGGGTAGTAGTTGAAGATGGCGAGACCGGTGGGGGTGTCGGGCTTCCTGCTGACGACGTTCAAGGCCGCCCAGTAGTTGCGGGAAGGTTCCTGGTCGGCGACCACCAGGACGGAATAGGTCTCGCCGGAGTAGATGTTGAGGTTCTTCACGACGAATGGCTCGACGTAGTGGCCGTCGGTTTCTACGACGGTCATGTTGTGACCCTGCAAAAGAACCCCCAAGGTCAGTGCTTATTTTCCTGCGACCTAAGTGGCCGTCTTCTTCGTCTGCTGGGACCGTTCCCTCCCCTCCTCACCTCTATCTCAAAGTTGAACGCCGAGAGAGAAGCAAGGCTGGAGATCCTTAGGCGGTAGGTCTTCCCTGGCACCACCGTGAGCACGAAGGGGGAGCACTGCGGGTTGGTAGAGTTGCAGACGGCAGTCCCGGCTTGTGAGCAGTTGAACCATCCCCTCCCATTGATCAGAAGTGACTGCAAGGCAAACGCTAGGAGTTGAACAGGACATCCATCTCAAAAACAGAGGAACAATGGAAAGGTTTAGAGAGAATAGGCACCTGAGGCTCCTTGACCCAGACGAAAGGGATGGAGGATAGGCCGGCGGCCTGCTCGTGGGTGGTCTTGTGCCACCAGTCGTTGAGGACGATGTTCCGGTCGTAGTCGTACGCGAAGGGCTCCGAAATGCCGTCGGGGAGGGAGACGTGGATGGACCCATAGAGGCCGGCAGACCTCTGCATCCCGTAATGAGCGTGGTAGATGTAGGTCCCGGGCTGCCGCCATTTTCGACGAAGGAATCACAGTGAGACGAGAGGTTGAAGACGACTGATCTCTGTTCGTAAGGGTTTGGGCTCATATTTGCAAATTAATCAGCAGTTAATGATTTCGGAGATTAGCAAGGTGTTCGACTCTAAAGGGGTTTTGGTTTTTGTGCAGAAGGGTTGAATCACCAATGAGATCGCTGGTCAACAGTGTTTCTGAAAGAATCATAACGGGTTCAAAAATTGACTCTTGGGTAATTCTTTGGATACCAGGCTAAAGGGTTTGTTTTTGAGAAATTTATGGCGTCTGGTGTTTGTCGGGGTTAGAAACTTTCTGATTCTCACTGGTCAACGACCTACTTGCAATAGGAGTCGCGTCAAATCAGAGGATGAGCACGATCAACTTACTTAAAGATCATATTTTTCCAAGTTTATAAGCATTTGTAACCAATAAGCTCACTGGTCAACAGTGTTTGCTGAAAGCATCACAATTTCCAAAGTTGATTCTGATGGACAGCCGTCAACTTGCCAAATGAACTCACGTTGAAACCAAGACGATCCTTTGGCATGGGGTCTTAGTATTTTAGAAAACAGGACCTCATTGACTATTATCCATGGATAGTTTCTTTGCCGATGGAGACACATAGAGTGAACGTGAGGACGATCAATTTGTATAGTAGCAATGAAATATCTAGTTTTAAAAGCGATACAAATTATGACTATTTTGACTTAACTCATGGAGGGAATCACGAAGAAGTCAATGGTTGAGGATGATCCATCCACCACCATGGTTATCAAAAAGGGTCCACTCTTACAAATTCAATATTCTATTCAAAAAAAAAAAAAATTATGAAAATTCCTTGCCCACATGGATATATGATCAACTGACCGCCGTTCATGTTATATATTTTTGTTTTGAAAGAGGTGATGGTCACGTGGAAACCAGACCACTGAAATTTCTAAAAGAGGAAAGAGAAATATATTGGATTGGATACGGACTCGAGGAAAACCGGGGCTAGTGCCGACGGAACCAGTGGCTCGTGGGGTTCGGCGGCAGGGCCTGGGAGACGACAAGGCCACCGCCAAGTCGGGGCGCCGCGACCCGATGAGTTAATTGTTTAAAGCGCTTATGCAATATTTGGTTTGAGAGCAGCGAAGAAGTAGAAGTTAACGATAAAAGTATGACTCCATGACCAAGAGATTGGGCGGCGAGAAACGAGGGAGGGGCAGCTTCTTACCCTATCGACGACGAACTTGTAGATGAAGGTCTCGCCGGGGAGGATGGGGCACTGCGTCACGCCTTCCGTGCCGTCGCTCCATGGCGTCCCAATCTGGAAAAATTGACGGCGAAGTCACCGGCGAAGGAGGCCGTCAGCGGACTGTAAGGTCGCCGGAGATGAGCAAGAAAGGGGAAGGGGGGGCTCTCGCGGTTTAACCTGGCGGATGCCGTGCCAGTGAATGGCGGTGTTCTCTGTGAGGAGGCCGTTCTTGACCTCGACGATGACCGTGTCTCCCTGCTGAGCCATGATGGTCGGGCCGGGAGTCCTCCCATTGATGGCGATCACCAGCTTCTCCAGGCAATCGGGGGATTGCAGCTCGTAGGTTACCTCCCACCGGTACCGCCGCACCTTCGCCGATGCCAATGGAATGGACATGCAGAGGAGGAAACCCATTATAAATGGTGTAATCCAGCCGCTGAGAAGAGGCACCCTACACCGCGCCATCTTTCCCGATTCCCTATTCTCTCTCTCTCTCTCTGTTTCTTCCTGCGGAGGGGGAGGGGGAGGGCGGGAAGGGCTGATGGTGGCTAAGCGTTTCTCACCATCAACAAAACATATATACCTCATCTCCCTCTCTCTCCCGCTTCCCTTCTTTGAAGGATTCCGATGACATGGTCAAGTCTTGCACGTAACATGGAGGAGAATAGTTCTCAGGCACTCTATATTGTTCTCAGGCACTCTATATTGACCATAGAATAGTTCTTATATCTTTTTCTTGCAAAGACGCGTGATTACACCAAAGGTCAGTCTCAATTAGGTTGTATAACCAAAATATGATTATCAAGAAATTCAGTCCAAGAAATATGCTGAAAGTTTTTCAAAATATTGATGTTACTGACCGGTGTTAAAATCACCAGCTTTAAATTCAGGGCTATGGGCATTCTCTCATGAATTAGTTACGCCATTTATCATGATAAGCTGTAAGATTAAGACTAGGTTACCCAACATGGGAAGGAGAGGAGAGAGAGAGAGAGAGAGAGAGAGAGAGAGAGAGAGAGAGAGAGAGAGAGAGAGAGTCCTTATGCGGGCTGACGAAAGATGGAAGTTTCCTACTTTCGCTGCTTCATACGCTACTCCAATCTCAAGGAGGTTTCCTGCTTTCTTGCGCGGAAATCTCCTCGATATCACTGGTCAAATCATCCTTCTGGTTCCCATGTAGAACACCTACGTAAATATATGTACAGAGAGATGGGGGGACCCTTCTACGTTTGAGTTACTCCAGAGAGGAACCCTCCTTTTCACCTTTACCGCGAAGGGAGGGATTGCAGTGTAACGAGAAAGTCGACCGAATAGTTAATGGAAGAACATTGTGAGTGCTAACATTGGGCATATCTTGATAGTTTTGTAGCGTCCCTTCTATCATGTCCTTCTCCTTAATATTGAGCATTTTGTTTACCTTTTTATAAGAACGAAAGTCATTTATTGATATCTTATGTACTAATATTGAGAAGTCATTTTTATATTACCTTTTCATTGACTCTGTAAAATGTACCCCTTGTCCTATTGCTACTTGGTTAACGTGTAATAGGGTTCCGTAGGTAAATGTCTTCTTGATTATTTAATAATTCCTATCATTAAAGAAAATGATAATCTAGGTTGTTGAACCATATTTTGTTTGTAGCAACTCAACTTTTAGATGAAGTTTATATAATCATAAAGACCAAACATAATGATCTGATTTTGATGATTACATACCCCATTTTCATGGATATTTTTTTATGGATTTTTAATAAAATAAATGGATATCATATTTTATAAATAAAGCATTAAAATGTATATAATAGGAAAATATTTGATGTCCCAAAGATATAATATGAAACTATATGAATAGAGGCTTTATGTATCCATAAATAAATCTTAAATTGAATAGAAGTGTAAACTATGTGTTAATGCTTACAAGTAAAATAGAAGTGGAAACTACCTCAGTTGATGCCTACACTGTGTGTTGACATGTGAAGCTGAAGCCAAGAACATTCACTAAAGAATGTGATGATTAGTCATTTTATATTCAGGGGGATATTTTTTCAATTTATAATTATATATCAAATTAATTGATATTGAGAACGAGAGATGGGGGGAAGAAGAAGACAAACAAATTAAATGTGGTATGTAGAGGTTTTTACAACACCTGATCACCAAACAAAAAAACAAGTTTCACTATTAGTGAGGAGGAAAAGAATCATAATAAATGGAGGATACTTTAACCAAAGCCACCAAAATGGGAGAGTAGTTAGAACCATGTTTGTTCCTACCAAAGAGAAAGGGCTTTAATATATAATTTCTCTCTCCTTTTTCTCTCTAACCCAAGGCCCTCTTTTAATATGTTACTTTCAAAACATGGGGGATCACTTTTATACCCTCAACAAGTCCTTAAAATGAAATAAAGGGAGAGGGAGAAATCTAAGTTGACCTATGATGACAAGTTGTTAACATGATCAAGAGTTGAAGAATTTTGAAATGCAAGATCTATAATTGAGATCTCTCAAGTTTCTATAGCTTACATGCTTTCGATGCATCACTATGTACAAATAATTTTGATGATGAAAAATACTTTTAAGATCAATTAAGTAATCCAATTATGCTTTATTTTTTAATAAACTTGATAAATGATAAAATAAGATATTATTTTATAGATAATTTGAAAGAATATTTTAATATATCCTAGTGTGAATTCATTGAGTGTATTCTTACTCATTATGTTAAATTCGTATTTTTGGTTGACTTCACAACATAATACTATTAGTTTGTATATTGATGTGAAAATTATCAATATTTATGGAGACTACCATTGTGAGAAAAGAAATGATTAGGAAATTCAAATCAATGAGAACTTGTGAAGTAAAAATGGTTATTAAATTTACTTTGTCTATTATGTACCCATAATGTTATATTACTATTTTTAATGGCTTTGAAACCAAAAAATAATAATTTATTTTTCCATGAAGGTATTTTTGAAAATCAATGAGTGTCTCATAGAAAATAGTTATAAATATTATGAACCATCAAAGTGTTTATTTTACATATTGAAATCTTGATTCAAAGTGTCTACTTGATGATCATATTTTATTTGGTACAGTCTCAATTAGTTGTGATTATTAAATGATTAAATTTTAATAAATATATTATTTGTTCTCAATTCATGATCTTGGATCCCTATTAGATTGATTTGAACGGATATATTTCACCTTAATGGTAATTATCAGAACTATAAGGCTAGGTGAAATGTCATGAGAGGGGGTGAATTGAGGTTTCTAGGATTTCTGACGATTTTTCAATTTAACCTATATCAATGTATAAGTATTGCTAGACGTGTTCACACACGTGTTCTCAACTCTTTCTCACCAAGAACACTAAGAGTTTTATACTTGTTCGCCCCTCCCCCAACTACGTCCAGTGTTAGAGGGAACTACTCTCTAGTATTTACAAATTCCTTCAAGAATTACACATTAGTATTCACAAGTTGAGCCACAAAAATATTTCAAGTTCATCTCATTTGAAACTCAACACCTCCTAAATCAAATACAGCTACCATCACCTCATACCTTGACCCAAATCACTCTCCCCTCATCACCCAAAAAATTCACGATAATTATCTTATATATTGATTATTTATTTCTTTAGCAATATTATGTAGTACCTTATATTTTAAAATAATGATAGACATGTTCTCTAAGATCTCTTGTGGATCAAATCATCAAAATAATGAATAAGAGATATTCATCCTTCAAACACACCATCTCAACAATGATATGTCAGCTACTTACATGGACAAAAAGTAAAAAATTAGTCACTCAATAACTTAGCCATGTGTCAACTATTTAGACCTGCCCATCAACCGCATAAGTTTCTCAGGCCTTGTCCAATGATTCCCGTTTTAAATAATAGGCAATTAAACTATAATTGACACATTTTATTTTTTAAAATTATTTAGCAAAATCAGTTTCTCCAAAAATCCAATCCCTTCACTGTTTGATCAGACGAGTAGATTGTACAAGTGGGCGTCAAAGGCCCCTCTTTCTCTGGGGAGATCGTCTTCCCATTTGCTGTCTACTTACATCGTCTCTCTCTCCCTCTCTCTGACCTACGTGAAGCCCAGAGGTCAACCCTTCTCCCGCCGTCATTGAACGTTGACCTCGCCCACCGCCGCCAAGCCGCTGTCGCAGGCCACGCTCTCCCCATTCGGCCCCGGCATGATCGGGTGAGAGTAGCTCGGCCCACTCTCCGCCTTCTGCTCCGGCGACATCATAGGACCGAAGTTGGCGGCGCCGCCGCCGCCGCCCGTCAACGGGTGCTGCCACCAACAACCATCAGTCACCGACCATCTGGCCGGGTTCTACAGCCGCGGTCAACTAGGACAAACCTGCAGCAGAGGCAGGAAGGGCGTTGGGGGGAGGAGAGAAGAGAGAAGCTCGGTCGACGTGTACGCCTGGTGCCATGGTGGGAGAACCCCGTCACCTTGTTCGCTGAGCTGGCAGTCGCCAAGGTGGTACGAGGGTTCCACGTGGAGCCCGCCCGTGCCCTTCTGAAGAGAGTCGTACAACGCGGACTCCCTACAGCCCTCATAGGAGTCAAATGTCAGCCGTCCGAACAGTTGACTCAACGAAACCGCAGCCTCACCTCAAGGACATAAAGGGCTCAGATGTTGACACGAACATCTGCCCGGGGTGGTGGTCGCCATCGGCGACCCAGCTCGCCACCTCGCTCTCGTACGTGGCAGGAAAAACACCCTCCTGGGAGTCGAGGAGCATCTGCGCACGTGCCTCCGACGAGTTTATTAACCGATATCAGGCCCTTAATGACGCGACTAGAGGTTAAATAATTTCGGGGGACTCGCCTGGAGAGTGGAGTCATCGTACGGCAGGAGATTGCCACCACCCATCAAGGATTTCTGCCACGGAGAAGGTAAAGTCAACGTCGCATGGGGAAGTAAAAGGAACCCATGCATGATGTCCACGTGAGGCTACCTTTCTCTGTGTCACACGTGCGAGGGCGTCGAGGACGAACCTCTCGCTTGCCTCCAAGTCGCTCGGGGAGGACATGCTCAGGTGTTCCGGCTCGAAGAAACTGGTCAGAGAGCCCAAGGTTTGTCAGCTGAAGAATTTAGCGCTCCAACCGTGTTCACAGAGGGAAAGAGTTACCGTAGGCGCTCTTCTGCAAGCTGTAGTTGGTGCTGGAAGCTGTTGATCTCCTGCTGGAGCTCCTGCGGTATTGAAATTCGGAGAAGTAATTAGGGTTCAAAGGGTCGTGATGGTTAGATGGAACTTGCATGCTTCTCTCTCTCTCTCTCTCTCTCTCTCTCTCTCTCTCTCTCTCTCTCTCTCTCTCTCTCTCTCTCTAGTGTAGAAGATCACCTCCATGTTGCTGTTCACAGTCCCCGAGCTGGATTCCAAGCACAGGCAGGCAGAGACGATAGATAATAGTTAAGGACCATGTTTCGCGAAGAGAGAGAAACTTATTCTCAGGAACAGAAGATCTGAGAGCGAGAGAAGGTACTTGTCTATCTGGACGGCCAAGTCGCTCTCGCACTTTAGCTTCTTCAGGGTTCTAATCAGATACTGCATGGGAAAAACAAGAGCTGGAGGTAATAAGTACGTTTTCGAATCAAACGGGGGAAATCCAGGCTCTGGTGATCGACGGGTACCTCCATATTCTGGATAGAGCTGCGCCGAGATCAAACAAAATGGACGAAATGAATCAAAACCCAGATCAGAGAATTCAATAAAATAAGACGTAATTGAATCAAATTTAGAGCGAGAGTCAATATCCGAGGGCCATTAGAGACTACTCTTCTCCTCGTTAGATGTGTAGGTGCAATTCTTTCGAGTGAAGCTCTTACCCTCCTCTGTCATGCTCCGGCAGATTTATGTATCGCGTCAACACGTCTTCAATCCTAGAAAGAGACCAAGAACCCCAGTCAGCCCCAATCATCAATCGTTATAGTCTCTCTCTCTCTCTCTCTCTCTCTCTCTCTCTCTCTCTCTCTCTCTCCCTCTCGCGCGCGCACGCGCTCGCTCGCTCGCTCCCCCCCCCCCCCCCCCCCCCCCCCCCCCCCCCCCCCCCCCCCCCCCCCCCCCCCACCATCTATCTACCTATCTTATCTACCTATCTATTAATTTATTTTTGTGGCAACCTTCGTCGGCCGGAGAAGTGGCTGAGCCTGCCGGAGGGAGAGAACATGATGAGGGCGATGTCGATGTCGCAGAGGACGGATAGCTCGTAGGCCTTCTTGATGAGCCCATTGCGCCGCTTGGAGAAGGTGACCTGCCTGTTGGTGTTGTTCTCTATCCTCTTTATCTGCAGCTTCACCCTCCCCATCTCATCCCCCGCCCCCCCCTCCCCTCCCAGAAAATCCAGACGAAAGAAAGGAAGGGGAAACGACGGAGGTGGATGATGATCCTAGAGAGAGGTGAGAAAGATGAAACGATTCCTCCACGGGTCTCTGTGCCTAGAGAGAGAAAGAGAGAGAGAGAGAGAGAGGAGTGAGAGGGGAGGGGAGGAGGGCTATGAAGGGGCACCGGGGGGCTGATCCGGCCGCCGGGAGAAGTGGGGATTCTGTTCGAAAATGGCGAACGTCCGAAATTGTCTCTGCGAGGGAAAGGAGGCCGCTTGTCGCTTCTAACAGGATGGGGCCCACCGCCCTGGCTACAACGCCTCTTCAGACCCAGCCCCCGGACTTATCGGAATCCGACATGTGTAGCCGACGCACCCTCCGCCGGACTCGGATAAACTAAACCATCTCCTCCGCGCCTGATGGATCCGTGGGTCCGTGGAATATATACATATCGTCTGACGGATTACGTTTATTTATCTATCTCATCGAGAGCATTGCACCGATTCTGCCGCTCCTTCGCATCGTGGAAATCCACCTCACTTCGGAGTTGGTTAAGGTAAAATGTGCTGTGAGTGTATCACACCGACCCACCCTCCACGTTCTTCCTCTCCGCCACTTCTGTGGCCTCAGTCAGTTGGGGATGAGAGCATCCATCCATGGCGGCCTCGGCTCTTCCTCCTGCCGCCGCCCTGAATCCCCGCTTCCTCCCTCTGCAATCCCGTAGGCTCTCAATTGCCGTCGGTTATGGCGGGAGACCGCACTCGCCCTCATTACCTTCATCCTGCGGGGTCTGTACTTGTTCCGGCCGGAATGGGGAGGAAGGAGGGGAGGGGTCCCGTTCACGGAGTATGGAGATAGACATTAGGACGAGGAGGGGTGTGATCGGAGCTGGATTGAGCCTCCTTCTGACCTCTCCATTGGCGGCACCCGAGGCGGGAGCCACGAGGATCCAGTACTACGCCACGGTGGGGGAGCGGCTCTGCGACCTCAACTTCGTCAAGTCTGGACTCGGCTACTGCGACGTGGAGGTGGGATCCGGGGTGAAGCCTCCTCCGGGAGAGCTCATCAATGTAAGTTCGGGGGAGATGCTGTCCTACGATTGTTATCTATCTCCCTAAGACTGACCTACGACCTACGACTAGTTATCTATCTAACTTAATTTTCGGACTGTCTGATTGAGCTTTGAATACTAATTCTTGCGCAAATCATTAAGAGATCGATTCCTATTGCGTACTTGCATCTTAATCTGGTTTATTTTAGGATCGGAACTGCTGACTTTGATGTTAGAAACCGAAATTAGAGGAAAAATAAATTCTGACAGTAATCAGTATGTCAAAAAAATCGTCTTACAACGAAAATAATTTGATGTTTCTATGTATTATCCATTAAATTTACCATGCTGTGCTGATGTTTTTCATGTAGTCATGCATGTGCATTTTCTTTTCCAGATTTATACTTGAAAGGAGAGAATTCATAACCATAAGGTACAGATTGATATAATCCAGAAACCATCCCATATGTGGATAATGGCTAGGAAGATGATATGAAAAGGGTAGGAAGTTCGAGTGGGGCAAAAGTTTCATCATTTAATAACACTTCCTTGGTGGGCGTAGTATTTCTTTATCATGATCAGTGTATAGGAGAACCATGAAGAGAGAAAGAATGAGGGAGAGTTGAAAATCCAAGTGAGCCATTTCTGAGAAGCTTTGTTGAGTTTCGGTCATATTTTTTGACTGTCAATCCGATTCCTTGTTTCCAGATCCATTATACTGCAAGATTCGAGGATGGCACGGTTTTTGATAGCAGCTACAAGCGAGCAAGGCCATTGACCCTCCGTATCGGTGTTGGAAAGGTATGATCATGACAAAAACATGAAGTAATCTCACCTCCCCATGTCATTTTTCTAATGTACTTATATCTATTATTAGCGAATGTATGACCCCTGCTAACTTCAAATTATTTGAAAAGTCATAAATTGTTTTTCTTATTTGGCAGTCCAGTTTACAGTGGCCATCATCTGCAGAGCTAAGTCTTCATGATTTTAGATAAACTGACTGTGGAAAGCCATGAGAGAGAGAGAGAGAACACCACCATCATTTACGTGGGAAAAGCCCAACCCTTCCACCTTACAATGTAGAGGTTTATTCCATCTGTGAACCACAAGGAGAACACTTCTCCAATAAAAATCCTGCTCTTCTGCTATCTTAGATCCCCTCTATCGGTTTATTCTCAATCCATATTAAAGATTCCATATCATTTAATTATTTGGCAGGTCCTACCAGGACTAGACCAGGGGATTCTTGGAGGCGGCGGTGTGCCGCCCATGCTTGTTGGTAAGGATTGAACTACGTTACCTAATCAAATCATGGGATATTAATGCGCATATTTATGAGCTATGTCATGTTCTATGAAACAGGTGGAAAAAGAAAGCTTCGCATTCCCCCAGCACTAGCCTATGGCCCGGAACCTGCAGGGTGCTTTTCAGGTGATTTTTTATTTATTTATCAAAAGTTTTCCTCTTGTTAGTTACGCTTGTGTGATCTGAAACTCTGGTAAAACCTGCCCTTAGTTGACTTTTTTTGCCTTTCTCTAAGCTATCATGCAAAGAAATTCTTCCCCGCATACTACTCACTGGGTGATTGACCAGCCTTAATCTTTTAGTCTGGTGCATGAACAGAACGATGGCAGGATATCAACCATTTTTCAGACATTTTTCAGGAGAATCGATGAGATTAGTTCACTTTTCCTCCACCAACTGGCACAAAAATGTTGTTCTTCTTCTTTCAAGATAAGTTTGGAATTTAAATTATGTGATAAAACATGTAAAATAATATCATCAACAAGGTGAGATGGAGAGAGAAATTAAACCACAAAATCAAACAAATGGGTCTTGAGGAGGACAGACAAGAAGATTCTCTCTCTAGCAGCAGCATCAGAGACATGATTCTGAAAATTTCTTCCTGTGACAGCAGAATCTTCATCTCCCCATTTGACCCACCTCACCCGTTTGACTCGTGACCAGGCGACTGCAACATCCCCGGCAATGCGACTCTCCTCTACGACATCCTCTTCGTCGGAGTCTACAAATGAGCCCCAGAGACCATCGACCAGAGCCCGGGCAGAGCTTTTGAGACTGGCGGCTCAGCAGCTTTCACCATTCTGAGGAAGAAGAAGGAGAAGCGACTGAAGCTGTGGGTTCAATCTCATTCTTTGACCCTTGTCTATATGCAAGCCCTCCATCTGCCTGCCTGAGAGAAGACCTGGCTGAGCTGCTTCGCTCTGGGAGTTGACTTTTTATTGGTCCAGCTGAGTGATGCGCTTCCAAAGACTTTCTTTACGGAGCAGGTGGGCCCGAGTCAGCCCCTGGTTTCCCCTGCCCAGTCTGTCCTCTCACGTGACTCCCCCCCTCCGGCCACCACGTCCCCCGGGCAGAACCGCCATCAGACCAGCTGACCTATGCTTACATTTTTAGAAAAACTATATGTGATGGGATTACACTCACTGAAAAAAAATATGGAGGCAATAATCTTACCTGTCGAAAATTGAAAAAATATTAATAATAATTAATTATAATTAATAATAATTTTATGAAGAGAAGGGGCACATTACATGGGATAGGATCGGCGGTCAGAATCAGGATTATATTTTACGTGGATAATATTTTACTCCGATAAGTATGAGCAATTGTATAGTATTTTCCTTGGGAAAAAATCTTAGCCCGGCCCGGTTCGGAAGCCCAGAGAGCGGGGCGTTTATCCCAATATGCCGTCGGACGATCGTCTCGCCCCCTAAGCCAACAGTTTCCATTGAAAGTCAAACAAGGAATCTTCGGAAGGAGGAGAGAGCTAGCTCATCTCCCCGAGAAGAGAGAGAACGAGTGGCAGGGAGAGAAAGGAACCTCAGCTTAGGCAAATGTACATTTTTTACAAGGTGGGAAGCTGCACCAACACCAGCAACAGCAACGCTGTTCTAAGAGAGATGGAGAGAGAGAGAGAGAGAGAGAGGGGGGGCGCGGGGAGGCTCTTTTCAACCCCTAAGGACTGCTTCTTGTATCTTGTCTCAGAATGGAAAATGAAGCTCATCCAGCATGATCAAAGGACCAAGGGACCTTGGAGAAGAGGAGGGATGAAGGAAGAGAGAGCGAGAGAGAGAGAGAGAGAGAGAGAGAGAGAGAGTGAAGCTCCTGCAACATGAACAAGGGGCCTACTTTGGGATGTTTACATGATGGAGCAGGCGTTGGGGTTTTCGTCGCTGAAGGCGGCGGAGATAGCCTGGCTTTGCTTGTAGACGGGGCCGGGGAGGAAGGCGGCGTTGGTGTTGCGCACGAAGCCGGGGGGGGCCTTGCGGTCGTAGGCGCCGGGGGCGTAGGGGTAGGGGACGAGATTGGCGGGGACGAAGGGCCAGATCTCCGCCTTCTTCCCGGAGAACTTCAATTTCCTCAACACCTCCTCTGCCTCCACGTATCCCGTCACCTCCGCCCACTGACCCTTCCGGTTCACGACCACCGAGTGGACTCCTGTGGAAAACCCCGCTACCCAGTTCAGAGAGAGATAGAGATAGATAGATAGATAGATAGATAGAGAGAGAGAGAGAGAGAGAGGAGGAAGGCTGCAGGTGAGAAGATTATGAACGGGTATGGCAGCGAAAGAAGAGAGGGAGGGAGGGGGAGAGAGAGAGCTGAGAAGGAGCGAACCTTTAATGGAAATTGAGCACCCTATACACCTTTTTCTCACAGCCTTCACAGTCCATCTTAACCCTCACCTTCACAGTGTTCAGCGTGGTGCACTTCTCCTTAAAGCCCAGTGCATCCACGATGTTTCCCAGCACACCCATGGCTTTTCTTCTTCCTCAGAGAGAGAGAGAGAGATCACAAGCACAGCACAGCCTTCTCTCCGACAACCAGAGGACTTTTATAGAGAGAGAGAGAATCTCTGGCGGATTTCTCTCTCAAGAAATGGCAGGGAAACCACCCATCCAGGGCAACATTTTGACATTCAAAATTGGTTAATAAAAATATAATGTGGACGGTGGTATTAAAAATAAATTTACGACTTACTCTGCCGTATTGACTACATTTCGTTCACCAATGCTCACGTAAGACTAATTATTTCCCTATTAGAATATTTGCGAAAAATCGGCAGCAGATTAAGCTGATATTAAAATAATAATAATATTCAGCCGAAGGTGAACAAGTTGTCCCCCCCCCCCGCCCTCCCACATTGGATGACGACGAAGGAAAGATGAGCGTTGACCCTGAGAAAAACCCAGAGGAAAGCACCACTGTGGGTTCGGTCGAGGAGAACACGTTCTATTCAAACGCGACCATATAGAAATCTCTCTCTCTCTCTCTCTCTCTCTCTCTCTCTCTCTCACTCACTCTCAAACCATTAGACTAAGACGACAAGGGGCCAAAGAAGTGAAAGTCAACTACAACTGAATCGGTTGATCCATCAACTTGGAGTGGGGAATAAAAAAGGCTTCTTGCAAACTTGGCCGCTAAGATTACATTGTCTAGCTTACCCCTCTCTCTCTCTCTCTCTCTCTCTCTCTCTCTCTCTCTCTCTCTCTTTCTCTTGCCATCTACCTATCTATCTATCTCTATCTCACAAAGCTGATGGGTTTGACTTGGCTTCCCCATGCCACGTCAAGACAGATGAAACAAATATCATAACCAGGTATGACAATTTTCATGAATTAAAATTGCTCCAGCCTTTTAAGGTTAACATTAAAATTTAGAAATGGCGCGGAAATACGCGGGAGATTAATTGATGAAAAACCAACATGATATTTAAGCTGCCGAACAGAAAATTACGGTACTGATTATTATATTACACAGGTCGTAAATCGTCTCATAATCGCCTCTGAGCCTCCGTCCTCTGGGCCCAATCGCTAGCGACAGAGAGAGAGAGATGGAGGGCAAGATTAATATATACATATATATCTAGAGAGACAGAGAAAGATGGGACGGGGTGCCCAAAAGTCTCCATGTAAGGACCACGTGGCAAAGACGTCACGTCATGTTTAGTGACCTCACCATCGCTGACGTGTGTGAGCGTTGAGATTAGACTGGCAGTCGGCCGGTACCGGATCACGGTCGCTCCCCCATTATTGGGCTTCAGTGGGGGGTTGGGGACAACGGGCCGGGCCTCGGCCCGAATAGGCGCCAAAGGGCTCGTCAGCCCGCTCCAGTCGAAGGAAGAGAGAGAGGGAGGCAAGATAAAGATAGAGAGAGAAGATATATAGAAAGATATACAGGAGACTGGATATAATATTAGATGTCTGAGAGAGCACGGGGGGGCTAGCCAGCGAAGACGACGGCGAAGGCGAGCAGGAGGAGCAGGAGGGAAAGGGAGCCGAGCCTCAGCGAGTGGGGCGGTGGAGGCGCCGAGGAGGTCGTGGGAGCGCGCCCGGCGACGGCGGGGTTGACGGCGGCGCCACCGGGGGGGCCCCGGGCCTCATCCGTCGGCAGCGGGTTCTCCGGCCGGTCGCGCGGCGGCGGGGTCCGCGGCACCCGCCGGCTGCTCGCCGGATCGCCACCTGCGAGCAAATAGAATATAGCTGATGAAGTTTCTGCGTTATGCGACATTATGAACCCTGTCTTACAGAGAGATGGGCGGGGCTCACAGTGGGAAGAGGGCGACCATGCTAGCCTCATGAGCTCCCTGTCGAACACCACTTTGTATCCGGTCATAAAGTTCTCTGGGTAGAGAGAGAGAGAGTCAGCAGGGGAGAGCAGAATAGGAAAAGAGAGAGGAGGGGGGGGGGGGGAAGAGAGGGAGAACTCACGGCCGATCGTAACATGAGGATCATCGGATGGTTGCAGGGCCAGGCAGAAGGCTTCGCGTTGACCCTTGAAAGGAGAAGAAGAGAGATCATGGGATCAGCGGAGAAGAGCGATGCTGCAGAATCTATCTACGATGTGGAACGGGGGACAACAACGCTTTTTCGGTGAATTTCCTCCGTTGAGTTGGTGATAATCTATCCATATAAATAGGGTAAAGGTGCCGACCATTTTTGTGAAGATTTTAGGAGGAAATGAGACATTTTTCGGTGATTATCTGCAACTGGGTGGTTCCTGATAATCCATGGATAAACAGGGCGAAATGGAAGATCAGAGGAAGGGAAATCTGGGAGTAGAAAGAGTTACCTGCTTTCCGTAAAAAAGAAACAGAGGGTTGTTGACGACGAAGCTCTGGTTGACGGCAAGCGTCAAGGCTACCCGGGGTATCGTGGGCATCTCGAGGGAACTGCCGAGTCAGAAAAATAAATAATTACAAAAATATGAAGTGCTGCGGATCATTTCTCGGAAATATTTAGGCTTCCAATTCAGAGGATATGACGAGTTACCTGGCCCTGTAACAATATTGAAACGGAGATTCTTCATACGTGATGCTTGAGCGGTTCATCTGCCTGTCAAACTAGGAGAGAGAGAGACAGAGAGAGAGAAGGAAAAGAAGTATGAGAGAATAGAGAGAGAGAGAGATAGACGAAAGAAGAGAGAGAAGAATTGGCCCAGTGCTTGGGCAGTCACCTGAGAAGGCGCTCACCTCAGCAACGACGACCTTAAACACACTGCTGGGGAGGTAAGTGAAGGATGAGCCACAGTCGACCAGAGCTCTAGTCGCAGTCTGCCTCAGGCACTGAGATCCGATGCACCAACCCTCTACCTCGATAATGTAGGTGGGGCTAATCCAAGAAGACAATCAAGCGAATGAATGATGATGGTCAACGCAGGGTTCATCAAATAAAGTTCACAAATTTTCGACCCAAAAAAAAAAGGACAGATTCCAATTAAAAAACAGTGCATGGTGCAGATTATTGGGGTAAATAGGAATGAACAGTGGATTACTCTTTCAAGGAAAATGAATCTGGTTCTAAGACTACTACTACCCACAGTTTCAGCCTGATTATTTTTCACCAACTCATCTTTAGCCTTTTCTTTCATTAAACCATTTTATTGCCTCCGATATGCATCTCAATTACGAGAAAAATAATTTATGAAAATGAAAGCATGTAGAAATCATAAAAGTCAACTGGGAATGGCCATCCAGATGAACAGTGACTATTAATGTACATCGACTAGTAGCCAAAACTGTAGCGTACCACCAGATTAACCATGCCTAACTAATAAACAGCGGGCTATGCATTCATTGGAGAACTACCGATTGATGACCAATAATCAAGAAAAAGAAATAAAACATGGTCATCACGATGACGCACTATTTTCCTTCCACAGAGACGAAAGGGGTAGACCGTTGACCGGAGATTCCTTGGTCCCCAAACAATATTCTCCCGGAGTCATCTTCCTGAAAGCACAAGGAGAAAGAATCCCGCACCAGGCCTTCCTTGGCGAGAATGGTTGGGACTGAAACATCACCAAGTCCTAGCCCAAGGAGCCCATCAGGCGCAATGCCATCCAAATATCCACCACTTTGTCTGCTTCCACATCTGTCCCAAGCATGCAACTTTCTCAGGCCAAAGGGATCTCTTCAAAAAAAATGAAATATGCAGAACATTGCGAGATAGGTAGATAGATATTAAGCAATAAATGTTGGATATACCCTATGATTACAGATGCTCCCATGAATGCATTCTCATCACTAGAAGCTAAGTACAGGGTATCCTCCACCAACAATCCTGAACTCGATGTATTTTCCGAGTAGTAGTCAACAAAGTAGGGGCATGGTTGCTTGGGGCTTTTGCAGCTGGTTGACACTGAGGTGCAAAGCTCGTGGCTGCAAGGTAGGTGCTTACTTGTACTTGATGCTGCTGGGCGATACATACTCAGATCTCTATCCTGCATAATAGATGCCCCAAATTCCAAGGAGCACCTAACGATCAATCATTTGAACATAAGAAATAAACCTGTTACCAAGTGTTGTAATCAGAGAAGCTCCATCCATTGTTAAATAATGGCACACGCAAGATAACTTTAAATGTACTGCTACACTGCGATTGCAGCAATTCAAAACAAAGAAGAAAAAAAGGTCCAGATTCGGGATTTTGTTGATTTCGAAAGCCTGAGTGTATTTTTTGGGAAGGATTATTCATAAAATGTTACGAGTGCTCTTTAACAGAGGAATTCTCGCATGCAACTTTCGTTTCAAATTTTCTCATATCCAGACAAGATCAGTTCCAAATTTTCTACCCAACTATGTTGCAAAACATGGGGTAGCTCGGCAACCATTGCTCAGCAATGGATTAAAAACAAAATGGGATCCTCTCAACCATTGCTAATGAATTTTCACTCAATTTCCTGAGAAAGAAATATAAAAGCGTAGCCAGTGCCCCTTTTCGTTTTGACATTCGCAGCTATAGCAAACATTGATCTTGACTTCTATTTAAAGCTCAAATGCATCTAGTTGTAAAGTCATCTTCTTTAACGAGAAAAAAAAGATGGTTCTGCATTTGAAAGAAACATGGAACTCTTGTTTACTGACTTGGTCTGACTTGGGCAGTCGCCAACAGGTCAGAACTTTCGAATTCAAAAGTCGCAATTAACATGAGAATTGACCAAACCCTTTCCTTTGCCGACTAGCCACCAATCAAGGTTGTGGCAGCAGTTGCTCCACCGTTGGTGGTGAGTGCAGCCTGGACAGATACCACCCGGTTGGCTTGATTTTGACGTTTTCAAGTAAGTCGACCATGCACAGAATAGTTTAAAAGTAATTGAAAGTAAAAGGCAAAACATTTTTGTTTTCCGCACACCATCCCATAGTAGCCAAAGTGGTGCGGTCTGATGATCCCCAAAATGCTTTCAGGGCACCCAAAATGGACCAAGGTCCAACTCAGTCAATACTACAGAAATTGATTAAGTTGCTCAGAGTTAAAAAAAAAAAAACTGAAAGAATCCACCCCACCCCCCACCCCCCCCTTCCTTCAATTTTATTGCTAAGTTGAATACTAGAAAAGCTAGTACATACTACCTTGAGCATATTGACACAATAGGCCGAACACATTGGATTTTTTGAAAATATTGTATCGATGGTTTTGAAAAAAGACAGTATAAAACAACTACATAAGGAAACCAAAAATGTAAGATACATCATCCTCCATGCTACCTTTTGGGCCCTTTGGAACGAGCAGAGCGATTGCACATTTGGACCCATCAATTGGCTGAGTAGAGTTTTTCTCTAAGACTATCCAATAATTAGAGTGTGTATGGGCAAGATTGTTTCGTAAATATGGATCGACTACATTACCTGCATCAGGTCATACATCAACGGGTCTGTATCATCTTTATGTATTCCATCGCCCATGTTTTACTTTCTTGAGAAACTACTTTCATATCTTACGTTATTTCTTTAGTCGTACATACAGATGAACAATACAAGCAAGAATCTGCCAATGGTTCGCAGCTAGTACATAAGGCTCAACAGCATTAAAAAATAAAAGAAGTGAACGCAATCAACATCACAACACTGTCCAGAATAAGTGACGTCAGCAGTTAATTAGGCTGCCACCATTTATATAACGAAAGAAGAAATCAAATTATGTCATGAATCTAGACACCCACAGTGCAAAACAACACAATCCATCACACAAACAGAGATGTACACATGCAGAAAGATAAAGAAGGAAAAAATGATAATCTGCAGCATATGAAAATTAGAAATATCAGAAAAGAAATTTAGCCTACCAAACCGTTTCGTCCACCAGACAAAGCTGCACACTGAATGCAATCACATGGAACCCAAAATAAATCACTCCCAGCATCCAATGCAACAAGAAAAGAGACATTGGGAGTCCCAATATCAACCCATGTATAGTGTAGCCTGTCGATTTAAAAAATTATAGCTCGTCAGTGATCTTATTGATCCATATTCCACAAGGGATAACTGTTTAAATGAGAAGGGGGAGCAAATTATATTCAGAATAGACAAGATCAGGATATATCGAACAGGGAGTGAAAAAAAAATTAAGAAAAAAAACCAAATCGTTGCCTTAATGAACATATTACCAACACTCTCAGACAACTAGGTACCACAAGAAAACCAATCTACAAGAGCATCAACAAACGAGCAAAAAGCGTGGGCTTACATGAGCTTCATACGGCCGATGTATGAAGAAGCAGACATAAATATCTATTTTTGATTACAACTCATCTCAATTAAAAGAGTGTTCGACATTCTTTAACATATACTATCTCACATTCCAACATCAGAAAGTCCATTCCGGAAGAAAAACAACTGTAAAGGTCTTCAACAACCGTCCTCTGAAAAAAGAAATGATAATTTCATATTTTTCATCTATATATTTCGTTTATTCCTTTAATGGGCCTTTCATACAAAAGGCTGGGCTTCGAAGAAATGAAAGTCGTATGATGCAAAACTTCAAACTACTAAGCCAGACAGCATACAAAAATCTTTTAACTTTCAGAGGTTTTGAAATTAACAAGAACCATATCTAACTCACCAACAGCAACACGATCAAATAATTAGGGAAATTCTTCTTTTTCTTCTGTTGGGATTAACGAGTAATCACACTCCTGATAGACATGCGAGCTCACTAGCAAACATCACAAAAAACCTCCTCATAACACTTAAATGTACATGTTTACTTCTAATTACAACAATGAACATTTTATATTTTCTGGAAGACGTATTTGTGAGTGACATGGACAAATGCAAACCTTCTTCCCGGAGATGGACTCAAAAAGATCGTATTGTGAATTAGTTCCGGTGCTAGTACAGAGAATCTGGATCAGAACCGATCTTGTCTCGATTGGATCGGCCAAGCTAAACAGCCCGGGGGGAGGGAAGGAAGGAAAGGTGGCCCAGAGACAAAGCAAGTTGTTAGTCGAAGGGAGAGTATGCAGAAGTAGCTTCTTCTATCAACCCTGACGAGCTGAAGTACAAAATGGAGACAGGGAAAATTTCTCATCAATTCAACATATTCCACTCTCTAAGTAAGAGTTCTAATCAGGTTGTTAAATCCATTCGCAACCCCAGCTTCGACATGCTCATATAAATTTTTGCATTGGATGAACCTCAACAAAGCTTCTTAGCAGTGATAATCATGACACCGACACAACATGCATCTCTATTTTACCAGAAAAATATTCAAGATGACATTATAATAGATCTCAGCTCTTCGACAACTACAATGTAACACTACTAGCTTTTCCGGAAAAACGCCAGATACAGTGCTCAACTACTAGCTTTTCTGTCACACTGTAATCAGTCGAACAATTTGCTTAGCTGACATCGTCATCATGTGATCCATGTATTTGCATTAAGATTAAACCCTGCCCAATGTTGCACTTGCGACACAATGCCATCAGTCACCAGCACTCTTCCACAGTTGTTATTCAGCAATGAGACATTCATCCACCTTAATACCTTATGAAAAATGTCCACAGCAAATACCACAAAAGCCAAAGACTACAGTATCGAAGTCACACCGTACAACTTTGATAACGTTCGGGAACAGCAGAAACCCAGAAAAACAAGCAATGAAATCAGCGACAATAGCATTAATTGATGATTCAAACGAAAAAAAATTACTCAAAACTAGAACTCTGGCATGCGAAAGAAAATGCGGCGCCAAAAAAAAAAAGGCAAAATTTGCTGCAGCTCAACTCACCAGCCGAAGTCGTTCCCGAGACCCACAGCTCCGCCGCCCTCCGACGGAAACACTACCTGGTACCTGACCCCGAGCTTGTTCTTCTGCCGCAAGAGGTCCCTCCCAACCAGCGCCCGGTAATAATCCTCACTCCCACGGCTGAGCCACCCGACGGCACCTTCCCCACTCCTGGCACTCCAGATCTCCCTCGCCTCCTCAGAGAACCGATGGATGAGCCTCGAGGACAGCGTCAGAGACTCCGATCCCCAAGCCAGTAGAAGGAGCCCAACAAACACCAACCCCGGCCGCAGCAGCTCCATCCCGGCCCGACCGAGGGGGCACAACGGGGGCGATCCCAGAGAACTGAGCCCACGGCGTTCCGCCGGGAAGACAATGTGGGCCGAAGACTTAGGGTTTCGAACTGCGGGGGAGGAGGTGAGGGCGGGGGAGGGAGAGATCTGGGGTTTCCAGAAGCTGAGGCCTTTTCTGCAGTACCCTGCAGCTCCGCCGAGGGGCCTTCATCTATCGCGTCCTCCCGCTCGGCCTTCTTGCTTTTTCGATATTTTATATTTTTCTTGTGGATATAAACATTTAAATACGATTGTATGATAAATAAATCAGAGTTTCCAATGGGCCGGTGAGCTCAAAACAGGCCCGGTCCAGATTTTTTCTTATGGGCCTACGGATATGAAAACTGTCACCCTAGTAAGTCTCTGGGCCTTTTTTGGAATAGGGTTAACTGCCTTTAGCTGCGCAGCATCACCAAAGGGTGTGTAGAGAGAGAGAGAGGGAGAGAGGGAGAGAGAGAGACGACTAGGGCTTCCATATGGGGGGCCCAACCCAGACTTATGCTAGGTCACCACCCATTTCTCAAGAGAGTCAAAAATTAAAAAATCTGAATTTTTTTAAATATTTATTAAAGTTTACTTATAAATAAATGAAATAAGATGATTTATAATATTTAGTGCTAATAAATTTTACTTATGCTCAAAACAAACTTTTACGAGGCCCATGTTGTTGGCCTCAAAATAATGGCATCATATCAAGAGGGGATAAATTAATCACTTTTTTTTTCTTTATGAATTTTAAACTCTGACAATTCTATTCTAAAATGAAAATTACCAACACGATTACACCATAAAATTTATAGTGGTTCAATCATCTAAGCCCACATTTACTCTCCAAGGATTTCATCCGTAGGTTACACTATTTCTGTAGTATTTACACATTGACTTTCAAGTGCAGCAACATATTGGATTTTACAACTCTTATAGGTTGAGATTTCCCATAATCTCCTCCTAAATTGCTCAGCTCTAGTTAGTTTAAATCCATATAGGTCTACCTTTTCTTTTCTTAGATGTTAGGATCTAAGAGCATCAAACTTCTTGAAACTTATTAAAGCAAAATGAAGAACTATTACCAAAAAATATGGAGTCACCCTTAGAAGCTTTATCTTCTTGTATGATCAAACACTTTGTAGCAAGACCAAGTCAACTTGAAATTGAGTTGATCACAATCGATTCAAAGGCATATGTATCTTTCCTCTTCTTCTAAAGTTTTGGATTGATCAGAGTGTTGCATGTGAATCTTTCTTGATGATCTCCTTGTTTACAGCAAGCATACCCAACTGAGAGAAGCAATGCATGGATGGAGTTCAAGTTGTTTTTCTTTTTTTTCTTGATTCATTTGTTTCATATCCATGCATGGATAGATTTCTTTTGATGATCTCACTTTTTACTTGGTGTAGACCCAATTGACAAAAATAATGCATGGATTAAGTCTAAATTATTTTTCTTCTTCGTCTTCAGACCATAGACTTAGATCAATCACAACCCTTTTCTTGATCTGACCATAGTCTGAAATCTAATAAATTTGAGATTTTACTTAGATAAGATAGTAGTAGCACCATGATGCTCATCATTCAGATAATGTGTGTAATTGAGTGCTCAATAGTCTATGTAACATTGTCGATTGTTGTTCCTTTTCTTCACTAGCAAAATTAGGCTGAAGAAAGAACCAAATCATATCGAATGATGCTAGCGAACATCCTTGGCATGAGGTGCTTGATCTCATTCTTCTAATAGTGGGGGTGTTTATATGGTTAGACATTGATGGGGTGGCTCCCAATTGTAAGTATAGGATGTGCTAACTTACCAAAGGTAAAGCCCATAGCTTCATTGAACATGGTATGGCACTTATCAAGGCCCATGTCAAGGCGAATTCGAAGTCCGATCACAAAACCGAATCACTTGCACTCGGAAAACCACACATCTTCTGGTACAAAGGAAGAAGGCCACGGGGATTGGGAAATCCCTCAGAACAAACGCGGGAAAGAGGAGGTGGGGGGGAGGGGAGGGGAAAAAATAAAGAATAGCTGGTCGTCATCGACAGGCAGAGGAGGAAACCGTGGGAAAAAGCTTGGTTTACAGCCGCCGAGGAGGGCGCAAGGTGCCCGGCGGATTATATACAGCAACATCATGCAAGCAGGCGGAGAGGGTTAAGAAGACGGACCTCAGGATTTCCTTATTAAGTTACAGTCGCAGGGAGGTTGATGGCCGGAGGAGCGGCGGCGGCGGCGGCGGCGCCCGGTTTATTTGTTCGACCACACGAACTCGATCTCCAGATTACGGGGGCCGCTCTTGCTGGCGGGGAGGAGGGTGTACTCGCCGGCGACCGAACCGAGCATGACGACCCGGTCGATCTGGATCGTCACCTTGCCGAAGGAGCTCTGCGCGAGATGATAAGTCCCATCAGATTCTCAGGGACAAGACGAGAGATAATCAAGAAAAAATTCCGATGGATGGATGGATGGATGATGAAGGGTTTACCTTGCCGAGCTTGCTCTTGTTCTTGCAGGAGATGTGGAGCTTCTGGCCCTTTGGTGGGCTGTCGAAGGCCCACGCAAACGGCTCGTTCCACTCTGGGGTGGGCCCGGTGGAGACGATCTAGGGTTTCAGATGGCACAACCACCACAGCCCGTCGTCATCATCGATGAGCAAGGAGGGAAAAAGTTGCAGAGAGAGAGAGAGAGAGAGAGAGTAATCGCCATGAAAAAAGAAAGAGGAGCTGGGTGGGTACCTGGGTTTGACGAGGGGGGTTGCTGCCGAGGGTGAGCTTGCAGAAGACGCTAGGGTTCCCCACGGACTGCTTGAGGTTGTTCGCACGCTTGATGTTGACTGTGAGCACCCCCGGGAGGCACTGCAGGAGGAGCTCCGCCTTCTCCTGGAAGCGCGGGGGGCCGGACTGGATCAGGTACTGGAGGAGGGGGATGGCTTCGGAGGCGGCGACGGCCTGCGTCTTGGAGACCTCTGGGGGGCAGGCCGACCAGGCCTGCCGGAGGAGGTTCAGGGCCTCCAGCGCCGCCTCCTGGGTCGCCTCCGACCCCGTCTTGAGGGAGGTCACCAAATGGGGAATGCTCAGCGTGGCCGGCTCCGACGCCCTCAGTCGCGGGAAGTTCCCCAGCAGCGCGTTGAGAGCCCTCAGGTACTCCTCATTGACGCTCCCGCTGGCCCACAGATCCTTCTCCACGGCCGCTGCAAGGAGTCAAAAAAAGTCAGCGGCGGTGGAAAAAAAAAACGGGAGGGAGAGGATCGATGGATGTGGGAGAGAATGTACCAAGAAGTTGGAAAAAGTCAACGATGGTGGGAAAAAAACGGGAGGAGAATCGATGGGTGTTAGGGGCGAATGTATCAAGAAGTGGAAAAAAGTCGATGGCGGTGAAAAAAAGAAAACCGGGAGAAATAGGATCGATGGGTGTGGGGCGAATGTATCAAGAAGTTGAAAAAGGTCAACGGCGGTGACCAAAAAAACAGGAGGAAGAGGATCGATGACTGTGGGGGCGAATGTACCAAGAAGCGGAAAAAAGTCGACGACGGTGGAAGAAAAAAAAAAACCGGGGGGAAGAGGATCAATGGATAATATATCATACCGGTGATGGCTCGGACGGTCTCGCTGGAGGCGTATTCTTGGATGGAGAGGCCGGAGAAGAGGAGCTTGATGAACATGGCGGCCTGGACGGAGGTGTCGGGGTCGCTGGAGCTTATGAGGTCGAGGACGACCTGGACGCCGCCGGCCTCGGCGACGGCCCTCTTGTTGGACCGGTTGCACATGACGAGGTTCTGCAGGGCGCAGATGGCCACCACCTTCATCTCCTCCGTGGGCTGGTCCTCAAGCAGGTTGACCAGCGCGCGGCAGGCGGAGACGGCGTCGGGCGTGCGGGCGAGGGCCTCGTTCTGGAAGAGGTCCCCTAGGGCGAGGGCAGAGAGCAGCCTCCCCTGCTGGGATTGTGTCTGGGGGTCCAAAAGGTAGAGCGAGAGCGGCGAGATCGCCGCCCTCGCCGCCTTGGTCTCCCGGATCTTCATGTTGTTCAGCAGCGCCTCCAGCAGGCGAGCGGCGGTCTCCTCGCACTGGTGGCTCCTTAGCAGGTCCAAGAGAGCTTCGATGGCGCCGCTCTCAGCCATGGCCTCGGCGCTGGTGGAGTCGTCGCTCTCCAGCACGAGGAGCGCGTTCAGCGCGCCGACGACGGTGCCCTCCGTGCCGGAGCGCAGCAGCTTGACCAGAACCGCCACGGGGACCTCCAGGTAGAACTCGGAGCTGAACTGCAGGATGCTGGAGAGTACCGAGGAGGCTGACTCCCACAGCGCCTGAGGTAGCGGCGGGTCGACCTGCATGATCACCTTGGAGAGCTCGTAGACCCCGCCTTCCTTAGCGATGGCGCTGGGCCAGGAGAGGGCGACGTTGACCAGCGCCTTGATGGCCCTCTGCTGTACGATGGGCACGCCGGAGCCGAGGGCCTGCACCAGGGGGCCGATGGCCTGCTGGGTGATGGAGTCCTTCTGCAGGTGCTCCTCCAGCAGCAGGTGGGACAGGAGCTCGGCCGCCAGCTGCTGCACCGCCAGCGTGGGGGAATCCAGCAGGGCGATGACGGGCTCCACGGCCTGCTGGGAGCTCAGGTTGTACTCGGCCCTGCACTGCGGGTGCTCCAGGATGTTGACGAGGACCTGCAACGCGTTGTGCTGGCCCTCCGTCCCAATCTCCGGGCGGGTCAGGAGGGAGAAGAGCGGATCCACCACCTTGCCGGCGGCCGATCCCTTGGCGATGCTGGCGTTGTTGGTGAGTATGCGGAGCAGCTCCGCCATGGCCACGCAGAGGAAGTCGGGGGCCTCGGGGAGGACGCCGAGCACACTCTCGATCACCCCCGCCTTCACCATGTCGATCTTACAGGCGGGCCTGTCCTTGCCGATCTTCACCAGCGCTCTGCAGACGGCCTCATGGAGGGCGTAGTTGCGGCCGAAGAGGAGCCCCACGAGGGGGACGATGGTGCCGTACTGCGCGACGAGCTCCGCGAGCTGGTCGTCCTCCAGCAGCCTGTCCAGTGCACGGACGACGGAGAGCTGGGCGGGTCCTGCCTCGGCTACCAGAAGGGCGACGAGCGGCTCCACGCAGCGTGCCGCCGCAGCCGACGAGCGGATCCTGGTGTTGCCGAAGAGGACGTAGCAGAGCTCGGCGGCGGCGCCCTTGAGCTCCGGCGAGCAGTTGGAGGAGAGGATCCGGCAGAGGACGTCGACGGCGCTCATCTCCACCTCCGCCACCGCGAGGGCTCTGGAGGGGCTGCCGGAGAGGAGGGCGACGAGGGCGGCGACGGCGGCGTGCTGCTCCCTCTCCGGGCCGCTGCTGAGGATCTCCACTAGGGGCTGGATGGCTTGCCGTGCGGCCTCCCCATTCCTTATTTGCTCCGCAAAGAAGAGGCTCTCCAGGGCTCTGGCGGCGCTGTAGCGGGAGTTCCTCCCGCCGAGGCGGAGGACGGCAACGAGCTGGCTGACGGCGCCGGAGGCGGACTCGTGCCGGGTTATCTCGGCGCTGCTGAAGAGGATCCCCAGGAGATCGGTCGTGGCTTCCTCGGTGGCGTCCTGTGGGCCTAGGGACAGGTACTTGGTCAACGCCTCGAGGGCCCCGGCCTCGACCATCAGTCCCATGTTGGTGGGGCAGTCAATAGCCAGCTGAGTCAACAGGCCCAGGGCCAGGAACGGCGCGCCGGGCCTGTCCGGGATCGGCTTGAGCAGGTCAACGAGCGCAGGAATCGCCTTGCGGGAGGTGGCGCCGACCCGGATATCGTCAACGGTGAACAGCCGCTGGAGAGAGGTCAACTCCGGGGTGGGCACCAGAGAGAACTCCCGCGCCAGCTCCAGAAGGTCGGATATGTCGGTTTCAGCGCAGCCCAGGAGAGAGATGAGACCGACGGCGGCCCCCGAGTTGGCCACCGCCAGCAGGGTACCTCTGTCGCCGTTGCAAACGAGGCTGTTGAGCGCCTGCGCCGAGAAATATCTGCTAGCGGGTTCCTCCGACCTCAGAAAACTTGCGAGCACTGGAATAGAGTGCATTGTGGCGTGCTCGCTGATGATTTCTCTGTCCAGGAACAGCACCGCCAGGAGCAGAGCACAGGTCCAAGAACGGCTGTCTTCCTTAGCTTCACTCTGCCAGTTTCCAAAATCAAAGCAATCAAAATCCCAATCCACCACCCTCAGGAAGAAATGAAGGAACCGCCGGAGGAAAGATGCTATATTTGAAGGTATCGAAGCAGCTCATTTTAAATATACATAAAACGCAGTGGTCAGGAAATGTGTTATTTTCAGTACCTGTGCAGACAGGAGCAGATGCTGAGAGATTTTGTCTGTGAGGACCTCAATGGCTCCAGCCTCCACGGTTGCGCTCCTGCTTCTGTCATCGTGGCAAGCGAGAACTGAGAGGAGCCATGTGGCAATGGTGTCGCCAAAGATCACAGCCGTGCTACTCTCCCTTTCACCGTCTCTAGCCGCCGTCCGGTGGTGCCTCCGGATGCAGATATCTTCAATGCCTTCGCCGTCCCTCTTGCCTGGGTATGTTGCCGTCACATTCAACATCGCAACAAGGGAATGGACGAGATGCGTGGACAGGCTTGCTTCGTTGAGAGCTTCGATGGTCCTCAGGGTGTGCTCATTTGCAGCACAAATGAGAAGGGCGGCACCCCCGATCTTGATTTTCCTTTGGTTAGAGTTGATGACTCTTTGGGCAATAGATGCTATGCAGCCAGTGGAGGAAGCTATGGAGTCACCCAGAACAACGGGTTGATCGCAGCAGAGTCTCGATAGGACTTCAACAGCCTTGTCTTGCAGCAGCGGTGGTACCTCGGCAATGCAAGAGACTAACGGCGTTATGGTCTGAGGGTGCTCAGCGAGGACTGCCCATGGAGGCTTTATATTACCGACTGTTCCCTTTGTCCTTGATAAGAGGGCGAGTGCATTGAGAACCTCTGATGTCGCCGCACTGTCAGCAGTGGTGGATTCGAGAAGAGAGATGAGGGCGAGGACAGTCCCTGAGCGGTTTATATCATCCGAGAGAGGAAGATCGAGGGATCTAGGCTGGAGAAGATGGGCAATGGCTGCTGCAGCATGGGTCCTGCCATCAATTGTGCCATCTCGCAGCACCCTTGCAGCCGGTGGGATGATCTCTTGAGGAACAGCTTGCAGAGAAATCTCGTTGTCCAGGAGAAGGTTAGCCAGAGCTCGCGTTCCTTGCTCTGCCACTTCCAAAACAGAGGAGTTTGCGAGGACCATCACAGGTGCTAATGCGTGTCTACCAACAGCAGCAACCTCACTGTTTTGCTTAATTGAAAGGAAAATGGCAGCGAGGCAGCCAGCAGCCTCAACCAAGATCTTATCGGATTCCACATTGAGCAACCTCATCACTGACCAAAGTGTCTTAACAGCGATATGACTCTCTCTCAGGTCCTTCCTGCAGTGAAAGAGTCCTGCAAGAGCTGCGGCTGATTTTGCTTGAGTCTCTTCCTTTGTGGAGCCGAGAATTTTTATCATCGTTTCTATGGCATCATTCGCAGCACTACCTTCAAGTAGTATGTCATTAAGTGGCGCAACTGAGAGCAAACTTCTCAGAGCATCCAGGACATATACTTTGGATTCAGGTTGATCACTAGTCAAAAGGGCCGAGAGCTGACTGATAGTACCTGTATCGGATTTATGAATGAGATGGTTCAATGTCTTTGCGGCGATTTCTTTGCCATCGTCGCTTCCATTCTTCAGTAGCCATAGTAAGGCAGGAACAGCATCGGCACTTTGGACACATGCACGTATATCTTCACTGTGATTGCATAGGTTGCCAAGAATGGTTGCAGAATCTTCCTTTGCTTTCACAGATCCCGTCTCTAGTATTTGAACAAGTGGCGGAATCCCTCCAGCTGCGGTTATAGCCCACTTACTTTCATCATTTTCACTGGACAGGAGACTGAGAAGAGAGACAGCGCATTCCTGTTGCTGCTCTGAGGAAAGGCCAAGAAGAGATATTAATAGTTGGACCCCTTCACGACCCTGAAACGCACGCCATAAGCTGCCTTCATCACTGCAAAGCACGAGAAGTGATCTTATCAAATAGTCCTGGACTTCACTATCTGCCATAGTGGCTAAACCCACAAGTAGATGCTTTGCATTGGAGTTGTCAAGCGTCCTTGAGAGGACCGGGTTTCCATACAAGCTAGCTAGAGCCTCTATTGTACGTTCCTGTGCAAGAAAAGGCGATTTGGTCTTTAGCTGCTTAACCAGTATCTGTTCGATGACAACAGGATCTGAGGCTCGAACCGAATCTGCTTTGGTATCATATATCATAAGTGCCGAAGCAAGGGCACCGAGCGTGTCGGCAATCTGCCCAGTTGAATTGCATGATTCAAGGCTTTCTCCAAGACTAGAAATGACGTATGACAATCCACCAGAGATGTTCGCCAAGGCACTCATGGAATTTTCTTGCAATGCTTGAGCATGTTCTCCTTGCATAAATTCCTTTGACGGAGCGATAGTGGCATTTATCAGGGCAGGGATTCCATTAGAACTCGCTATTTCCTTCCTTGCCTCCTTACACTGAGCAGAAAGGGATTTCAGAGCACCGGCAGCCTCGGCTCTGACAGAAGCCTCACTCCCAGGTCCTAATAACTTGAGAAGTTGTTTAGTGGCTCCTGATGCTAGAACAGCAGAGCAAACTGAAGAATCTTCCATCATAAGGCATCCAAGGAGAAAGCAGACATTTCCCAAGGTACTAGCCTCCCCACTTGCAAGCAACTTCACAAGAATCTGCACTCCACCTGACTCCATTGTTGAAAGCCAGAAGCCCTCGGTGCTGTTAGAAAGGTTCCTCAAAGTTCCAGTGAGCAGGTTGTCAACCATACTACCAGCCTCAAGCCCATTCTTCAGCTTCTCCCAAAGAACAGGCACAACTCCCTCAGTTGAGAAGATCTTTGAACCAACATGATCCCTAGCCCCACCTTGAGAAACGGCATAGATAGTTTTTGCAGCAGCAACTTGCCCTTCAGAGGAGTTAGACTTAAGAAGAGAAAGCAACGCCGGAATGCTACCTCCCAGTAGAACCTTTACTCTTAATTCATCCTCCTTGCAGAGAGAGCACAAAACTGTCGAAGCCTGAATTTTTATTCCAAATGATCCTGACCTTAGAAGAGAAACGAGAATGGGGACTGCTTGGGAATGAGACCCAACAGCACTGAAAGCATTATCACGTGTTTCAATAAGGTCTAGCAGCTGCTTTAACGACTGTTCTTTTTCTTGAGTCGTTGAAGAGGTGCGACGTAATTGCTCAATGCATTGTGCAACACTAGATAGTGTTCCATCTGGATCCTCCATGTTACTACGATCTCTGAAACATTAATGTATCCAAGTTACGCTATGAACATTGGAAAAGCTTTTCAAGCAATGTTAATAAATAATATTTCAAAAGGAAATGTTGGACATGAATTTTTTAAATAATGATGGTACTTCGTTGCTTAGTTTGCACTAGCTTAAGAATCATAGCAGTTAGTGAAAACCAAGCCAATTAATAGGATGACCTCCGAACATTATAATTAAACCCATATACCACTGAACTGTCGCAACAATTTCCAGTGTTTAAGACCCATATCCACAGATGTCAACGACACCATACCAGGACACCATTTCTTCTCATAAATGAAATATCCATATTAACATATGTCACATGAGTCAAAGGCACATGCTTAAACAACGATATCATTGGTGGAAAGTATGTTGGAATGTATTCTAGGTTTTCCGCACTATAAAGCAGAAACCACACCAAAAGTAAATTGTTTCAGGATTCACATTATTCACATCAATTTCTTATGGGTTGGTTATCTGTGCACTATAAAAAAGATATTCTGCGCATGCTGCCCAGACTCTATATAACACATGCAAATCGAATGGATCTGTCTCTGTCAGTTTTTTTTGGCTTCAGATCATCAACAAATGATTGTAATGGCGGAAATTATGAGGAAAATATGCTTAGAAATTATGGTCTCTGTATCTCCTTCTTTTTAAAATTAACTACTAGAGTGAGCCGAGTGAAAATCAATCAATATGACATTTGTAGAGCTTTTATTAACCAGTATAAGTAGTGTCTCAAAACCTATCAACTGCAGCAAGATGGAAGACTGCTTAGATACTAAATGTTTTTCTATGAGAGCAGAGGTTTTATTTCAATTTTCTAAATTCTTATATAATTATATTTGAACCAAGCATGTGTAAATATGTACATATATCTATATATCTTTATATATATATATATATATATATATATATATATATGTGTGTGTGTGTGTGTGTGTGTGTGTGTGTGTGTGTGTGTGTGTGTGTGTATGAATTGGTATTTAAGAATGTCTGTTAGAGCCACAAACATAACACACTCGAAAAAAAATAAACACAACAAAAATTCGGATGTCTCAAACCATAACAAAAAAGGGCATTAGGCAGACACTTCTAAGGACCAAAAAAAAGAGTCTAAATGCGATTCTCACTTTTCTGTAAAGCCATTAAACTGTAAAATCAATCCCTAATTATCAGACTCATAGAAAATGTTACTTGAATGTTAACTGAAATCTCTCAAGTCAGCAGTATCCCTGAATCTAGAGCAGATTCACTAAATGCAAGATTAGAGGCTATTTTAGACTACAAACTAGTTCAGCCATCGTTCTTGCTTACCTAAACCCCGTTCTCATAGTAGATGCCGGTGTTGGAGGCTCGGAGTCGTGAAGTTTAGCATCCATATTTCTTTCCTGTACGCATGAACAATAAAAAGTATTAGGAGAAAGGCGTGTTGAAATAATTAGCAAAATAATTAAATAATTGATTCTCATAAATTTGCACTACGTAGGTCGCAATCATCCAATCCAAGAAAAAAATATAACACTGAATTCTCGTTACTCAATATAAGATTCAGAATTATACAGGTTTTCTAAAAATATTATAACTGGGTTTACACAACTTGTTGTTGTAGAAATATTATGCGATCCCCAGAACAAAGAATTTGACATGCAATAAGGTAAATGATCAGCAGACACACCTCCTGCGACATTTTTACTTAAATCGTACAAGGATAACAGAAATTCATAGCCTAAAACAGCAAATAGTTGTTTTTGGCAGAGCATAAAAATGTTCAAAAAGATATCACTTGCCTAACTGGCTTGTACATATCTCACAACAGACTAGTTAGTTACATTCAAAAGAAAAAAAAAACGTCCATATCGATAAGCTCTGAAGATATGCTCTTTGCAGATTTTTACGTCAATATCGATATACTTTGTTTACAATTTATATGCACCTTGGAGATCTAAACAGTTTCACCAGAAAACTGCCCAAAGTATCAAGGAATCAAAGCAACATTCAAAGATCCAAACACATCGGCCGGACATTTCCCACATATGGATCTTCAGCTGTTCCTTCTTCCTATGGTTCTTTATGGGATATGACCACCACAGAGTGGTGAAAATCTACTCATATTAGAATCTCAGACATCCGTTATCTGAGTATTTTCAAGGTCCAACGACATTAGAAACCCAAACAAAACTTAAAGGAAACGAAGAATGGTCGACAAGCAAGCAGGAGGTGAATGGTTAGGCCAGTAATTTCTACTGAAATATTACTCAATACTGGGAAAGCAAAAAATGAATTATGATGAATATTAAAAATTGAAAAAGAGGGGAATCACCAGATCAGCAGCACCATGGCTGCTGCCATTACTGCCAGGAAACCTCCACGCAAGTGTGGCCGCCAGCTTTGCAGCTGAGTTTCAAAACCCCGCAGGTACAACAGATCTGGATGCCTGTCCCCCGTTTCCCCTGCGCCAATCATATAAATGTAGAGTCGCGCCATACTTAGATCAGGGAAATAAAACCATTACGAATTCAAGACCAGGTGCTACTAGAGAAAAAGGGACAACAAATAAATGAAATATTGAAAAAAAATCCTATTCAACAAGTGGGATGTCAGAGATTACGATAGTCGACATTCGATACCAAATGTACCCAATTAACGGGTAGGGGTTCGGATCTAGATCTGGCATAAGCTTTTCAACAGCAAAATTTATGGTACTTCTATCGGATCAACACCTATGTCACCGGAGACCTTCAAATATAGATTAGATCCGTGAAAATAAGAGACGAGCCTTCCCGGAGCTCAAAAGCGGCAGCCCTGACAGACTATGTGGATCAACCCAGCATTTACCAAGCTCCGTCCTCGGTCATTCCATCCGAGTGATTACGAGGGGGAGACAGACAGACATACAGACAGTCAGGCGGAAAGAGTGAAGGAAGGTCATTCGGATGAAACAATCCAAAATCTCGTACAATTCGCAGAAATACGAAGACAGATGGTATGGTAGATTTCACACAAATCTCCGTGGTCAACTACATTGCTAGATCCAGAGATGAGCACCGACATATACACAGCGAATGAAGCGTAGAACGCACCGTGCTGAGTTAACGGGAAGCAGCCGACTGCACTGGAACGAAGAGGAGGAAGAAGAAGGGTGGATTGAGACGTAGGATTCTCAGACTGGGGAGAGATCTGCCTACCTCCGGAGAACACAGACTACCTTCGCTTCTCTCAGAGCGTGAATTAAGCAAAGAACTGCGATACAGAGTCGGGAGACTGTGCAGATTCACGCAGCGGATCTCTTCTTCCCGGCGATGTCGCTGGGGGACGGCACGCCAACCTTCCCTTCTCCCTCTGCCTCCGCACCTCCCCAGAGCTCAGAACGGAGAAGATAGAGAGAGGGGAGAGAGAGAGAGAGAGAGAGAGAGAGAGTGACCTCTTTTTTTCTGTATTTCTCCTAATTATAATTTTAACTGTATTCCCCTGAAGCGGTGCTTTATAGTCTTGCTCTCACTTCTCTCTCATGAAGATCCAGAACGAAAACCACCGACAATCAAGGCCGCCGAGACTGGCGGCGGCTTCGGCTGCTTTTACTCCGAGTCGAGCCGAGCCGAGCTGAGTTGAGCCGATATGAGCTGAGTCGGACCGGAGAAGGTACGACGCCTCCCAAATCCAAGGGCCTTTATCGGTGCTAGCCAACTGCGGCGCCAAAATGGACGGCTCTGATTCGGCAGGTCGTGGAGAACTCACGCGTCGATTTCGGTCGTTGGATCTCTCTCTCTCTGTCTCTCTGTCTCTCTGTCTGTCTGTCTGTCTCTCTCTCTCTCTTAATATCACTAAATCATCTTGTATATTACTCTAAAAATTACGCTTATAAATCCAAAATAAAGTTTTATTATTATAATATATATTATTTAAATAAGTATATTCATTATATATTTTTAACGACGCTTTTTTTTTAAGGTGAAAGCCGCCGACGGGGGAGGAGGGAGGAGCGCCAACTTGGTGACTTGGGAGGTGGGCTTTCGCTCGCGCGTCCAGCTGGCGTGGGCCCCATCTCCCGCTCTCCCACATAATGTAGTGGCAGTTTCGTAGTTATAACTATTCTGCCGTAGTTACTGCCAGTTCGGCACAGGCCTGCATTAACCTCCACGTCGGGACGCGACCGCTCACCAAATGATTCGACCGAGTGGAGATATCGACACGTATCCTTGGGACGAACGGCTGGGATGATCCCGGCGCTGCGACCGCCCATTGTGGTCCCCCCTCCGCCGACACCTACCGACCCCCTGCTTGACCGCTACCGTAGGATCCCCATCGGGTGGTACAAGGAGACGACATTCCTATCCGTCAGATCGTGATCGGATTGCATCTATCGTGAGAGATCCGATATATATTTTACGATAATTTTGTTTTAAATGTGAAATCAAAATTATTACTAAATATTTTCAGTGACTCCTTTATTTAGGATCGTTAGTGGGCTGGGCTGGGCCATGGCTCCGGTCTTCCAAATCCATCCCAAGTTCTAAGTTTTTTCACGAGTACCGAGAGCGAGAGAGAGAGAGAGTTAATCCTCGGTGAGTAATTATAAATTTGGGCTTAGCTTTATCAAAATTACTTTATTCCCCATAAAAGAACTGAATTGAGAATACTTTTCCTTGCGAGATGGACGTGATAACTCTCTCTCTCTCTCTCACCTCTCACGTTCCATTTCTTACTTATGTGAAAATGAGGAGTATTTTTTGCAATTTCCCTTGTGTACATTATCCAGTGATGTAGGAATGGGTTGTAAATTCTATAGTTTGGGGGGTGATCCTTGAAGAAGAAGCTTTTACAGGCCCGTATTTCAAATCGTAAACTATATAAACGTGCGGAGTAATTCCCCTTGGAATCCTCAATCTGACCCGGAATCCTTCCAAACAAACGGTCGCAGCCATCGGTATCAGATAGCGGGTGCACGTGTCGGACAGCCCGTCCCTGTCGACTGCTAGGGACAGATTCGGGGGTGTCTGAATCATACCTGCCACGTGGACAAAAAAAGAACGCACATGTGAAAATTCAGATAGAGAGAGAAAGAAGATGGGCGTGGTGAACGAGAGAGAGAGAGCGAGAGCGAGAGAGAGAGAGAACGGCTGTAACATAATATTTTGAAAATTAAGAAAATAATTAAATATTGCTGAATTTATATTTCCTCACGTAAAGCGTAATACGTGTTATAATTAATTATTTTTTGTGTAAAATCTGGGCTGTGTTGGAGGACGGGTCCAAGGGGAGGTCGGATCTGAGCAGTGTAGCTGATAGGATGACCGCCCACCAGCCGTTAGGTACGCTCTCCCGCTCTCCAGCTGCACCTTTTTTTTAGATTTTGGTCTCTGACAACGACCAGCGGTGTCCTCACCTCCTTAAGTATACACTGCACGGATATTTACAGGCAATAAATATTTTCAGCCCAGCCCATTGTCACATATGAACTTGGGCCTTAAAACTAAGATGTCTGAAAATATATAGCCCAATTTATTTCCCGTTGGGCCCATTTGGGCAGCGTCGATCTTTATCCATGGATCGGCCCCAGGGGTGGGGATTTTTTTATTATCTAAATTTATTGTGAGTATATTTTTAAATTTAGTATTTTTTTTAAGGGATGTTTATTGGCCAAAATGTAGCGAATCAATCCAAATAAGGTAAGGAATAATTAAGTCTCTATTTTTTAAATTAATTAGTTTATTATTTATACTAATGTAGAAAAATAAAGATCGATATCTTAAAATCCGTGTATCCGAATCGTCTCCAAACGGTGTTCCACACCGATAGACCCCACGCAGTATCGGTAACCAGGCCGGGCTGGGTTGGATCAGTAAACGGGCCAGGATTTTCAGGCCCAGTGGAGAAGACTTGCGTATAAAATGGATTCTGTAGAACCCTTTGCATCTACGAAACGCAGCGTCTTCCCGCAGTTAGTCGTACGGGCGTCCGGCCATGGGGAACAACAAGAAGATGGGGAGGTCCAGAGGCCAGACATCGCACCGGGGGCAGTCCAGTAGGAGCCGCCAACTCCGATGGTAATCGTCTCGCCTTCTTCTCTCCCCCTGGAACGAGATGCATCTTTGATCGAACGTGTTGAACATTTCCGCGCGTATTTACACCAGATCATAGTGTTTATTTGTCGGATGATAATTACTATTTGCATTAGAGGGAGCCTTGGAGAAGGAGGGTTATATTTTCCATTTTTTTTAATCTGTTGACAGTACCGTATTTTCCTGATTTTGGATATGTTCACTGCTTCTTCTATGTAGTGTATACGCTAATTTACTCTCATGCTTTTCGCAGGGAAGATTCACAAGCGCATGGCACCCTCACGGCTTGTCAGGGTGAGTCTCTGCCTCAGAATTGTTCATTTTTGGAGTAAACTTCATGTTTTTGTGACCAAAACTTCGGAGTTTTTCCTGCTCTTTAATCTAGCGTTGCGCTGGGTCCGAACACAACTTTCATGATCTCAGTAGTTGACTATATTGGCCCTTCCTTTAAAAACTTTCATCTGTGAATGTATCATCGGAGAACAGTCTATCTTCCATCTCGGCAAAATAGTTCACGTCCTCACTATATATTATAGGGTACGTTAAGTCGCCTATGTAGGCATTCATTGCAGTCTGATCTATGGAAAGTTTCTACAAGAGCCTTCTATTGACCATATCTTAAAATAGTAGACGAGGGAAGGGCGTGTATGTGTACTTAATATAAACGTTTGAGTTTTAATTACTAGAGATCAAGATATATTAGTTGGCCGTATGTTCATATTATTTCATCCAATCACTTCGGGTCATTAAGAGAACAGCATCTGCATTCCTTCTTACATTGTGAGTATCTACTTCTTTACAGGAGGCTGTCAAAAGTTCTTGCATGATCTCAACAACAGTAAGCATATAGTGTAGTTTAGTTTTCTTCATTAAGGAAATGTCCATATGACCATCCTGGAAATCCAGTTCTATTTCTGTCAAGTCATGAAAATGGAACTGTCATGTTAAATTATAAAGTTTTCCTTTAAGGATTCCATCTTGATGTTTATTATTGTACACACCTCTTCAATAGTTTTCAATTTAGTCTCTGTCAATCTAAAAATAAATTTGGCTCTGAAAAAAATTCGTGTTCATATTATCTTCTGGTTCACGCTACTGACCCATTAAAGGACCCAGAAGGCAAGAAAAATACAATATGAGTTATTTACATACCTTGTTATGAGGTAATTTCTAAAGAATAGATTGCTTATGTAAATTATCAGCTGATTCATCTCGTCATCTCCATGGAAAAAATCTGAGGATTCATAAGCAAAGATATAGATGTGAATTTGAGGTGTTAAGTACAAATGCGTCATCATAGATTATTGCTCTTGCTTTTTCAGAAATTAGCTAATAAATTGGGTTTCTTAAAATACTTTCCCTGCAGAAGATGATGACGAGGAGGCAGTTGCTGTTCCAAAAATTAACCTTGCAATGTGGGTAGGTAACATTGAAAAATCTCATATCCGCATTCAACATAAACGGTGGTTCTGACGTCTGTGCGTGAATGCCAAAATACATTGCGTAATTTAAGGGATTGTCATGGACTAATTCATTTGGACGTAGGATTTTGGACAGTGCGATGTTAAAAGGTGCACAGGACGCAAGCTGGCAAGGTTCGGTTTATTAAAGGAAATTTTCTGATCCTGAATACCCCGTGTTTATTTTATTTCCTTCACTTTATTGAGAAGTTAGGAACCAGGTTGTGTTTGGTCTTTTATTTTTTAAGTCTTTTTCATACCTAGAGTCATATCTTAATGATTTACGTGAAAACTGGTTTGTCCATATTATGAGAGTCCTAAGTTTGAATTGTTCATGTATGGCATTAGTAGAGAGTTTACCTCACCAGGGACCTGACAGAGCTAGCGGCAAGTGGTGCATCGGATATCACTTTATGATGAAGGATAAAAGTGAACTGATAAGTTATATAGGGGAAATATATCATGCTTTTGAACTCTTTTGGCTAGTAGCTTCCTTCTTTATCGAAAAAATGTGCGAGGATGGCTCCCTGGTTGCATTGACTTGCTTTGATTAATAAAATGGTAAATTATTCTCTATGCGGATTACTGACAGACTGGTGCTCGTCAAACTTTCGTGGTAGAAACCTTGCAAGACCTTGTAAAGATTTGATGTCATGCAAACCAATGAAAACTTGTTCAAGTACTTGGATCCTCCATTGGACCTTAAGATGCCAGATTGATGGAATGAGGCCAATTCTATTATGATTTTTTTTTCTCAGATCATGATTAGTTATGGTTGGATTGTGTGAATGCGAGTTTTAAGCTTTACCAGCACCATTAGCTGATTCAATCGCAACTAAATCTAGAAGGATTCAGAGACTATCACTATGTTAAATTTATAGTATGAGCACTATTAGCTCCAGGGACTATCACCAAGAGGAGACTAGAGTCTATAATTATGCTTAAGCTGTGACGGCATGACTTTCTTTCTGCCTCAGTATCTAGACTAATTAGTTTGAGATACTACAATTTGGTTAATCTTAGTCTTGTGATGGCATCTTGACAATATGCAATCCCCAACCAACGTATGACCTAATTGGTATTACTAAATAAGTATAATACTTCTTTAAATTTGCTGACAATATATGTGCTCTTTCAGGAATTGCGTGTGACCACTGGTTTTGGTGGCATTGTCTTAAGGTAACTCTCAACTTTTAATTCTCTTAATTTTTTTTAATAGATGATTCATATTTTACATCAAATAAAAGAATGGAGGTTTGTAATTCGAAAGGCTGAGTTTTAGATGTCAGTATTCCCTGCTAAGTTATACAAGGTATTTTGACCTGGTATCTGACAGGACTTGCTTGCAATGCGTTTTCATTTTATTTCTTGTCACTTTTGACGAAGTGTGTATTAATCTCATCCATTTCGATGTTCTATGTTTCTGTAGTCCAGTTGGGAGGATGTGCGTTTCAAAGGAAGATCATTCTTCAGTAAGGTGCAAAGGACTTGCTGTTGTGGACTGTTCATGGGCTCGTCTGAATGATGTTCCGTTTGCGAAACTTCGTTGCTCTGGACCTCGCCTTTGTAAGAAATGAATCTTTTGCTCTATTTTCTTTGTCTATGCAGTCCTAGAAGACACTTTAAGGAATCTGGACATATGTTTGATATTTCCTTCCTAATAATGATGATGCCAATGTGAATGTACGTACCCTCCTTTTGATATTGAAGATGGGTTCCAGAGTTGAAATGAATCATGTAAAAAAAATAATTTCTAAAGAGAACTGGAAATTGAAAATGATATTGAGTAATTTCTAAAGAGGACTGGAAATTGAAAATTGAATTTAAAATCCTTCAACAGGAGATGAGCTATTTTTTTTGAGAAACAGATGGAAGTCTAGCCATTCACTACCGTCCTGCAAATTAAAAACGCACTAAAGTTTTTCTCCTTTTTTGTAGGTTTACTGTTTCGTAAAAGTTCTGATGTAAAAGAGTACTAAAGTAATCATTTATTGTAAAATCGATTGGGATTGAAACTTTTTATTCGATTTAGATAGTTTTTTTTTTACACGAGACAGTTCTTTTCTGCTTTTCATATGAGGAAACTTTTCAAATGCACAGCATTCAGTACATTATCTGAATCATATATTTTTGAGAAAGGGTGTGATTGTTACTTACAGTAATGCATTCAGAAGCTCCCCCTTCAAGAAATGAAAATATAATAGTGGACTCATTGGACTCAGTGCTTAGGCAAGAGTTTTACAACTGGGATGAGTAACTAGACAGAAAAAACTTTTTTGTTTTAAAAATTATGCTTCTCCTGGACGGGACCAACAGATGTGAGAAAGCGCAAGGAGGTGCTACTTGGTCGGTATGTTGTGTCAGATGCACTGATCTTTGTGATGATGGAACGGATTGGTGCTTAGTGTAGATGAGGAATAAAACTCCTTTGGAGAAGGCGTGGTAGTACTGGTGAAAAGATATATATTTTTTTCTCTTCTGCTCATGAAGAATGTTCGGGTTAAAGAGGTTATCTTCTTATAATCTTCCACTTTCGGGGATAGGGAGATATTGTGCATGAAGAACTCTCGTGATCTTGTTCTTCTTCTTCTAGAGGCGATAGTTTATAGATGCCATATTTCCTGGATATCTTCAAAAAGAAACTCCCCCCGCCTCTTCCGAAAAAAAAAAAAATAAAGAAAGAGGAAAAAGAGAAAAAATGTATCCTACTTTGCTCCTGTTTTCTTGACTTCTATGTGTGGGCAATCATCGAGGTGAACCACAATTCTTCAAAGTTCTGCGTGATTTAAAGGGAATAATGTGGGACTTAAATGCTGATATATGCCTCTCGATTGCAGTACCATGGTTGGTGGCAGCGAACCCGGTGAACTATGGTCGTCCGTGCGAATTATCCTGTGTTGAAGCATTATCTGCTGCATTGATCATATGGTGACCATTTCATATGTTATTTTGTTGCTGAAGTGCGTTCCATTTTCAGTCTCATCTATTTATTTCTCAAAAATATATGGTTAGCCAATTCCTTTGGTATCATTCCGTTAACGATTAGAAATAACTGCTTGTCTGAAATTTCTTTTCAAAGGTAGAAATATCATCGAAAGCTTAAAAATTATGAGCTATACACTGGAAATATTTATATTTCTATCGCATATATTATGATGCTTTCTTTAAATATCTCATCCATGGCTGCTTTGAAACCATCTATCACGCTCTGTTTCTTCCTAATCTTTACTGAAGAAGGTGTTTCTACTTTTGCCATCGTTGACCATGAGCTTAATCTTGATTGAATATCATAGACGGTGAAGCATACTTTCCAGCCATTGAAATGCATTCAACATGGATACCTTGCCCTTGTGTTCGGCTGATTTAATCATGAATTCAACTCGAATAAAGTGAATCATGTATAAGGACTATAATCATTAATCATGAACTGAGTATGCAAATGAAATCATTTCCTTTTAATTTCCACTTTTGCTTCTGACATGAACGATCTTTAATCTCGTTGTTGACAGTGGGGAGGAGGAAATGGGGAATCTGTTGCTTGGGAAGTTCAAATGGGGGCATTCTTTCCTCTCTCTTAATAGGTATCACGGGATTTTATCAAATATTTTTTTGGTGATAAATTAGTTTTTGGTGATAAATATCTCTTCAAAAGTATGTGTTGGGTGATTTTTTTTCTTTGCCTTATTTGGCAATCAAGCTCGTCAACTCTTTAATTGATTAATTTCCTTTTCATCTTGATATGCTTTCTTGTCTATTCTAGGGAACTTCTCAAGGCATATTCGCAGTGCGAGAATGGGTCCGAAGTTATTTCGGTGCAAAATTCTTGGCTCTCTTGTAACTCAAGAATCTCAAAGCCTCTTCCCCAGAACGATGGTCCTATTTTTTCTCCTGCCATCTGGAAATTATTTTATTTTTTTCTCATAATATTACTACTTCTGGCACTACTTTTTTTCTGTTTTCAGCTCAGTAATGTTAGATCTTTGCACTTTGGCACCGTTTATATGCGGTGGTTATGTGTTCATTTTGCATTATTTCCTTTTCTTTCAAAAATCACGTGTTCTAAAAAATCCCACGTCTACATCTTGTTGACTCCAGCCGTTGACGAGGAGCATCCTGGCGTTGACTCTGACTGTGATTCTGAAGACGGGCTTCCACCCCTTGAACGGAATCTCAACCACATGCACCTTGAGGAAGAAGACACAAGCGAGAGTGAAGACACTGGAGAGCTGGTAGAATAACAGTCAACGTTTTAAAATAGTAAGTTTTTTTACCGTTATTATGGATCAAGACTTGCCAAAACTGCATCCTGGGTGTCGTAATTTCCTCTGTTCTCTCCCCCCCTCCCTCATTCATTGAGAAAAATATACGTAGTTTGGAAAAAAAAAAAGGGGAAAGGGAATTTGATCGATTTCTGAAAGTCTATGCAAGAAAAGAAAGGCAGATCAGTTTCTCTCAATCCGTTCGCTGTTCGTGTGAACTTATCATCACACTAGTCCAGTTCAGACTTATCTCTCTATTGGATGCCAGGTGCTGACTACAGGGTAGATTCTAAGGTCAACGGGCTCCAGAGCTGAGATCAATAGATTCTAAGGTCGACGGGCTCCAGAGCTGAGATCAAGAGATTCTAAGGTCAACGGGCTCCTGAGAAGAGATCAAAAACTATGTAATTATAAGATTTTTGTACCAGTGTTACCTAAGTCACAATCTGACCGAACAATCTGTGTCTAACCGGTGGTAATATATCAACCAATGATCTAAGTTTTGGAGGAAAAAAACCTTGGTACATCGATTATGTATGAATTCTCTGTTATTATGGTGTCTTTTATGTGAGTTATGGTATATTTCCTCTACATCAGGACGGGCCCGGCCCGATCTCCATCTGGGCTGGGCCTTGCCTTTGATGGGGTCTGGGCCGGAAGATTGGTGCTTGTTTTCTTGCCTCATGTGAGTTTCTCTCTCTCTCTACATCCGGGCTTGACCGGTGCTCGGCCTGGAGTCCGTTTTTCAAGCTTTTTCTGTGGAGCCTATAAAGAGATAATCGGACTTGGGCTTTGAAAAGCCCGGCCCGTTAAGAGGAGCTATTAACACTCGCCAGCGTCACAATCGATACACTAGGCTACTCATTTTATAAAATAATTACTTGTATATTAATCAAAGCACGCTTAAACTCGGGGTGCATGTTGCGCCACGTACCCCCAATGGATATTATCGTCTTTTTCACTAGATCGCAGAAGAGCCACAAAAATACCCGTAATACCGCCGCGCTATTCTGAACAGGAACGAAGATTTAAGGGTATTTAAGTAATTTAAATAAATGGTACCGACAAGGTTCATCAGAGACGTCCATCCACTGGGCCTGAAATAACCATGTGGCTATTCCCACGTGCGAGATAACACGTGTGAAGCGTGATGGTCTCAATGAAGGCTAAAAAATAAGGGGACCAAAGCCACTCCTCCAGCCTCTTCGCGAGGAGGCAATCAGGAGAGAGAAAGAGAGAAAGAGAGAAAGAGAAAGAGAGCGAGAGCTTGTGTCCGTGCTCGGTTGCAAAAACCCTAGAAGAGTCGTTATCACCCATCTTCCTCCCCCTTCCTCAGTGATTCGTTATCATCAGTGTTCATCTACTTGGTCGTATTATTTTTCTTGGTTGTGTTGTTTGTTTCTTTTTTTGGTCAGGGAAGAGGCAAGGATCTTGTGAAAAAGGGGGAGCCAGGGCTTCGAGAAGGGGGGACGGTCGCGCTTCCCTGAGCCTTTCTGTCTGTGGCGTCTGTGTCAGAGTGCTGTCTAATGCCTGTTTTTCTCTCCTGGAATTAGGGTTTCGGAACTCGCTTTGCTCACGAGCTTCGAATCACCTGAAGCGGAAGTCCGTGAGAGGAAAGTATTGGTAAGCTCTCTGTCTTCGCCATTATTGGGGAGGGAGTGGTTCCTTGTCTTCCATTTTTCTTTGATCTAGGCCACCGTACGACTGTCTTTCAAGGCAAGGGTTTCTTTATGGGCTTTGAGCGGGGATGTTACGTGTGTAACACTTTGTTTCCGTTCATCGATATGTAGTTTGGGAGTTTTAAGATTCATATTTTTATCGAGGGCAGATGATCTTCAGACTCTGCATGTTGTGTTACTAGTTTTATCTGATGATTCCTCGTGCTGTTGGTTCATATCGTAAACCTGCCCTTGAGATTAGTTTTTTGGGCATTGGGTGACCCATTCTATTTACATCCAGGGTGGCAGAAGGATTGTAGGCATTTGAAGAAAAAAAATGCCGACAGGGTATTCTATCCTCGACAACCGACCTCTTGATCATTGGAAAGTGACTGAGCTGAAGGAGGAACTTCGGAGAAGGAAACTTACCACAAAGGGTTTGAAGGAGGACCTAGTCAAACGGTTGGATGAAGCAGTTCGAAATGAGAGGGCGCTGCTCAGGGGACAGGAACTGGTCAGCCATTTTGATCTTCAGCCCAAGCCACAGGATAACCACGGAGTGCTGGATCCCCACCCAGTAGAGAACGTTCAAATAGAAAAGAATACAGTTGAGACTGTTTTACATTTTGGTAGTAACAGATCTGAAAATCAGGTGGTCATGGTTGACATCAACGCTGACATTCAGGATTCTGATTTTGGAATGGAATTCCATCACGAGAAGCCTGTGGGAACTGTTGATTTGGATGAAAAAACTGAAGAGAAAGTGGCTTGTGGAACTGAAACAGCAGATAGCATCACCGAAAAGGAACTTAATGTCAGTAAATCAGAAGCAAACGGTGCAGATTACAGGGACGAGACAGAGAACATGTATTCAGAAACTTCCGTTAAAGACGCCAAACTTGACACGGCTGTGCAAGAAAACCAGGTATCCGAGGTCAGCCTTGACTTAGGACTTCAAGTAAAGTGTGACTCAATTTCTACTGATTCTGTATCATTAAATGAAAAGATTGTACTAAAGGATGATTTGAATGCTAATAATTTCCATTTAGAAGAAGAACTTGTTAAGACAGAAGTGGTGCAATCATCTTCCAGCCATGTTGCTCCCGTTGGTGGTGACTTGCAGCCATTGAATGTTGATCAAGAGCCAGATGATAACAAGGTGTCTTTTGAAGAAGAAGATGATATTACAGACACCACAAATGAGGACCATAGCAAGAAAATTGGTGGTTCTCCTGAAAAATTAAACTTAGACAGGAGTTCCGGTGATGAGTCGATGGAGGAGGATGTTTTGGATACTAAACAGATCGAGGCCAATAATAATTCTGATGAAGTTGGTGATGTGCAAGAGGTTCGGGATCTTCATGTCGTGAAAGAGGAGACTCCAGCTGATGCTGTGCCAGGTGGATTCTCTCCTGATAAGAAAGATGTTGTTTCTGAGGGAGAAATGAGGCCTGTGGTTTCAACAGAGAAAAGAAAACTAGAAGGTAATGTTCTTTGGTAGTCGCACTATGAATGTTACTCATATCCTTTAAGTCATATTGTGTTTAGGTTTTCCCTTGGAACATGGAATTTCAAATTTACCTGTCAAACATAACCTGATCGATCGTTTTGCTAGTATATCATGCCCTTATATATTTGTAATGCCCTTTGTAGGATTACTTTCCTATAAGTTCTCTCATTATCTTGGCTTACACTTCCAGAAGATTCTAAGTTTTTGGTATGTTAGGAAAAAAATCTGCTCATAACCTAACACTTCTTATGGCCATTCCATTTTAGCCTACGGCTTCTTATTCGTACTAGATGGCATAGCAGTATCAAACTCATGTATTTTTTTAATATGTTAAAATGCTGACTCGTAAACCTTGCTTAGTTTTCATCTGTTCGTGAATCTTTGTATGTGGTAAACTCAAAAAACAAAACAAAGTAGATGTGGTATGAGCACTTGACAACACAGAGTAAAAGTATTACTGTAGAAGGAATTATCTAGAAAAATCTGTGTAGAGACAAGATATGAAGTTCATCTTGTGAAACCTACAAAAAAAATAGAAATTGTCTTGATTTTGAAGGTAACCTTGCTTCTTCTGTCCACCAGTTGCCCCTTTCTCCATTTGAAGGAAATGTCTTGATTTTGGCTGATTTTCTGAGAGTTTGATACGGGAATCGGATAAGAAATGGTTATCAGAAAATTTTGGAGTCTTTCAAATGTCAGTCTTGAGGGGGAGACTTTGGCTGCGAGATTCCAGCATGCGTTTGACATATTTATTGACACTAAAATAGACTTACTAGTTATGGGCGGCAAACAGATGGCACCGTGTATCTTACTGAGGTTTCGCTCTGTCTTCCCCTTAGACTGTAAAAGGGCCTTTCTTAGGGTCATCATATTAATTTCAGTTCGACAATTGGTGATAGGGCATTGGTGCCCCAAGTGCGGATGCCTGTATTCAATCTCTCATGTGGTTTATCTAAAATTTCTTAGCAATTTCTATTTTATCCTATAACTTGGATGACAATCACTATCTAGATTTCCTTCTATCGGAAATCATCCAGTCAACCATCTCACATATTCATATCAAGAAACTACAATTACTTGTGTTTAGAATCCTGCATTAGATTCATTAGAGTAAAAGGTACCGTTTTTGTAAGTAGGAACATGGTTTTTGAAAGAAAGATTGTTGTGGATGGACCTAGTCCATTCACGGCCTTGCTTTAAAGTGAACCGTTCTTATCTGCAAGGGGATTTGCATGGGAACTAAGGATGAATGATTTTCTGTGGGAACTTGTGATCTTCTTTATGGCAACAGCTAAACGGAATGTTTCAACACAATGGCAGTGTTGTTGAAAAAATTTCTGGTTGATTTTCATCCTTCCATGGTTGATTATCGATCATTATGTAGAACATGTTTGGAACAGAAAAAAAATTAACATTGATGTACGATTTTTCCACCAAATATTAGAAACTTTATCGTGCCTAGATGTCAGGGTCACAGGCAACTACGACATCAATTATTTTTCTTTACTCGCGCATTTTTCTTTGATTTTGTTTGTTTAATGAAAGAGCTAGAGCTGACAACATTTCTTGAAGACTGTTGTCGTCATAATTAGAGTTTGTCCACAGAAATGATCACATATTTCGCATAGAAGGAAACGTCTGGATGTTCGTTGAGGAAAAATCTAATATTCATTGGTCAGGGTGTTTGCTTTGTGAATCAGATTTGTAGTTTCTTGCTCTGGAAGTTCGTGAATAACCAAACTTGGATGAGAAATGGATAATACGTTCGTTGCCAAGGATTGCTTGTGTAGTTTTTTTTCTCTGTTTTAGGTCGTTAGACATCACATTGCTGAGCTTGAGACTGTGACTTCTGGGCATTTTCTTTTATCATCAACAATCCCCGGGCCCTCAGACGTTCTTGCACGTCAAGATATTTTTCTGCCATTATTTCGAACATCTCGAGCTTGTTCTACTGAACTCTGTTACATGTTGTATCTTGATCTCTGCTATGAAAGGCTTTTTGATCTGTTGTTCGTCAATAATATATGCGTCTCTGCAATGAAGGGCTTATTTTTTTGTATAAAAATCACCTGAGTCAAGATATTAACTCGGTGTGCAATAATAATAATAAGCTCTCCTGTCTTTCGACTGTTTTGCACAGACCAAGGCTCTCTCGGCACCGCCGAGCCCATCAAGAGGCAGCGCCGCTGGAACTCAGAATCCATAAAGATCCCCGAACCGCAACCTTCTAACCAGACCTCTGTGGCTACTACTCCCAAGGAGGCACTTCAGCCGACACCTAGACGTGCGTTGAACAGGACCATCTCAGGGCTTGATGGAGATTCTCCAAGGGAACGTGTTGGTGGGTTCCTGCCTTCTTCCCACTTTGATTTGATATCCGAGTTTTAACCCTAGTGTTGCTGTTCTAATACCCTTTTTTTCCTCTCTCTCTCTCTCTCCTTTGGCAGTGCCGCCATCGCAGAAGACGGCGACGAATTCCCTTAGGATCGACCGTTTTCTGCGCCCTTTTACCCTGAAGGCTGTTCAGGAGTTGCTGGCGAAGACGGGGACGGTGTCCAGCTTCTGGATGGACCACATCAAGACTCACTGCTATGTCACTGTATGCTCTTTTATCCTCGCCATTGCCTTTATTTATGGATGATACCTGCCCGTTGTTTGCTTCTCATCTGTGTCTGCAACGCTTTGGATCGCTGGAACATTGGTGGAAGATTGCTTCTCGGTCTGGTGAATGGAGTGTATTATTTATTATATATGTTAGTTCCTCATGGGAAGTTATCAGATCAGTTGAGGAGTGGAGTCTGCTGCCCATCTTGGGTAGTGTTCGTTGGCAGCTTCCTTGATTCAGAAAAAAAATATAGCATTTATCGCTTCTTTGATTGATCCAGGGCATCTACTTTTTTTTTTGGGAGGGGGGGGGGGGTTGGTCAACGGGGGGGCTGTTCTCCTGTTCTTCTTTGTTTTATTGTCAGCTCATCCGGCAACATTCTGCGATTGATTCTCTGCAGTACTCATCAGTGGAGGAGGCTGTGGCTACAAGAAATGCCGTCTACAATCTCCAGTGGCCGCCCAACGGGGGCCGTCTTCTCGTCGCCGATTTCGTTGACCCTCAGGAAGTCAAATCCCACGTGGAAGCACCCCAGTCGCCGGCTCCCACAACCCCGGGTGCTGCCGCCACCGCCGTGCCGTCACCCATGGCCGTGGAGCGTCCTCCTGCGCTGCCCCTCCCCAACAGGCAGCAGCAGGCTCCGGCGGTGTCTCCAGTCAACCCTCCCCCGCCACCGGAAGCTTCGCAGACGCCGCCGGCGAGGGAGCAGCTCCCCCCTCCGCCACCACTCTCGCAGAAGAAGCAGCAAGATCAGCCTATCCTCACCCTCGACGACCTCTTCAAGAAGACGCGGGCCTCGCCGCGTATCTACTACCTGCCTCTCTCCGAGGAGCAGGTCGCCGCCAAGGTGGCCGCTTCTCAGGGGAGAAGCACCGGGGCCCTTGTGTGAGGTCGGTCGGCCCTCTGAGCTTGGTGGCTGACTTTTGAGATGGGCTGTTGACTTTTTTTACTATTTTGACTGAAATCTTCTGTGTGCAGGGGTGTCGGCGTTTGACTATGCGGAGCAGACGGGGATAGGGAGACTAGGGGAGCTGTGGCTGCCAAGAGCACGTTGGACAATTTCTCTCATGTAGATCTGTTGAAATCTCTTTTGTACTCGGGGCCGGCCGTCTTCTGTATGGGGAAAAAAAAAAACGCTTTTTGATCTTGATCGTCTCGTCTTCGACCGCGGTGGCGGTTTCTCTGGGGTTTAACCTAAAGATGATGATGATGATGGTGATGATGGTGATGATGGTGACGATGATCTCTGGGCCCAGTGTTCTTCCCCGTTTGTTTCCGAGAACTGAGTTGAGCTTTTATCGATCTAATTTTTGAAGGTTTTTTATGAGCCGTCGTCTTCCCCAGTAGCCCACCCGAGAGAGAGAGAGCGAGAGAGAGAGAGATGGGTATAATTAGAAGGTGGGGTGGTGAAAATGGAAATTTTTAGGTACATTTTATTTCTTCTGGGGTCACCAGTAGTCGCCGCAGGAGCATTTGCCGTCCTTAAAGTGGTGGAACCGATTGAGGTCCCGCAGCAGAATCTCCCTGCCGAAGGCCGCGGAGATGAGCTTCGCCATGGCGTGGCAGTCCTTGCAGACCCGCAGGTTCTTCACTATCCGCAGCGTTGCCCCCGGCGGCGTGTTCAGCAGCCCGAACGCCATGGCCAGCTTCTCGCTGTGGCCCCTCAAGCTCGCCGCCTTCTCCTCCTCCGTCATCCCCTCATGCACCACCACCGCCGTCTCCGGCGCGTACCCCAGCTGCTCCGCCATCTCCTCCACCATCCGCCGCAGCGCCGCAGCCTGAGGGTGCCTCCCGTCGCCGGAGAAGAACTCGTGCACGGCGCCGCCCACCTCGATGGCGCTGCAGCCGGGAGTCTTCCCCGCGCCCTTCTCCTTCATCATCTTCCTCACGGCGCGCGCCTCCTCCCACCGGCCGGCGGCGGCGCAGAGGTTGGAGAGGATCACGTAGTCGCCGCCGTGAGAGTCGTCGTGGTCGAGGATCCTCGCGAAGACCCGCTTACCCAGCTCGACATCGCCATGGCTGGCGCAGGCGCCGAGCAGGGTCCGCCAGAGCACCGGCGATGAGTTCTCGCCGGAGAGGTTGAGGATGAAGTCGTGGGCCTCCCGCAGGCGCCCGGCGCGGGCGAGGAGGTCCACCACGCAGCCGTAGTGCTTCGTCTCCGGCGAGACGGCGAAGTCCTCCATGGCGCGGAACAGTTGCAGGCCCTCGTCGACCTTGCCGGCGTGGCTGCAGGCGGAAAGGAGCCCGAGGAAGGTGACGCCGTCGGGCCCGGCGGCGGCGCCGTCCTCTTCCCTCTGCGTCTGCATCTCGCGGAAGAAGGAGACGGCGAGGTCGGAGCGGCCGTGGAGGGCGCAGGCGATGATCATGGCGGACCAGACCTGCGTGTCCCTCTCCGGCATGGCCCGGAACACGGCGGCGGCGTCCTCGAGGCTGCCGCACTTGCCGTACATGTCGATCACGGCGGTGGCGACCTTCACGGAGGAGGAAGAAGAGGAGAGGAAGCCCTGGTTCTGGGCGAAGCCATGGACCCATCTCCCGAGCTCGAGCGATCCGAGCATGGCGCAGGAGGAGAGCACGCTGAGCACCGTCACCTCCGTGGGCTTCACTCCCTCCGCCTGCATTCGGCGGAAGAGTTGCAGAGCTTCACCGGGCAAGCTCCTCCTCGCGCAGGCCGTGATCATGGCGTTGTAGCACACCGCGCAGCTCCCACCGCCATCGCTCTGATCGAACAGGCGGCGCGCCGCCGGCAGGTCGCCGCAGTCGGCGTAGAGGTTGATGAGTGTGGGGAGCACGAAGGGGTCGCCATGGAAGCCGAGCTTGGCGGCGGCTCCGTGCAGCTGCTTCCCCTCCGGCAGGAGCTTGCCGGCGGCGCAGGCCTTGAGCAGAGACGGGAAGGTGTAGCCGTCGGGGGAGACGCCATGCTCGAGCATGAGGACGAAGATGCCGATGGCGAGGGAAGGCGTAGGCGTGCGGGCATAACCCCGGGTCATGGTGTTGAAGAGGAGGGGATCCTGCTGGGGAGGCATTCTATCGAACAGGTGGCGGGCATACGCCATGGAAAGGGAAGACGGGTGGAGGCAGCAGAAGGTGATGAGCTTGGTGAGCACGAGGGGGTCATCGTTGAGGCCGGATTTGACGGCGGCGGCGTGGACTTGGGAGAGGTCTCGCAGGGAGCGGCAACGGGGGAGAAGGGTCAACGGCGGCGGCGCGGCGGTGGGGAGGTTGCGGCGATTGGCGGCGGGGTTGTCTGGTCTCGCCGGAGAGGAGGAATTGAGGAGGGGATTAGCGGCAATGGCCGCCGCCGCCGCCATTGCCCACCTGCTTCCCTCCTCCCCATATCACTTCTTTTAAAAGATAATACCAATTTTTTTCTCTCTAAAATGCCGCCTTCACGTTTGTAGCCCTCTTTTGTGGATAATTAACCACCTGTCCTTGCAGAAAGGACCCTCTCTCGTTCTCTCTCTCTCTCTCTCCCTCATTCAGCCCTCGTAGCATCGTAGCAACATTTTCCTGCATCTTCCTTTATTTTCCTTTTTTTATTGCTAAATTAAAGGGTTTAATTTCAAAGGACCTGCTATGAGACAGAACCCTCTCTCTCTCTCTCTCTCTCTCTCTCTCTCTCCCCCTCATTCAGCCATCTAGCATCGTAGCAACCTTTTCCTGCATCTTCCTTTATTTGTTTTTCTGCTGAATTAAAGGGTTTAATTTCATAGGACCTGCCATGAGAAAGAACCCTCTCTCTCTCTCTCTCTCTCTCTCTCCCATTCAAACGACAGAAGGCCTGATTGTAAACAAATAACGTGGGCATGATGATATTCTCGGAAAGATGTGAGTGAAATTAATGACACATCTGACTGTAAGAACACGCGTGAAATTGACAGAAAAAGTAAATAAAATCTGATAATAAAAACACAAACATGGGCTCAACGGTGATTTTTGAAATAGAAGAACGAGATCATTGACCTTTCCATGGATCACGCACAAAAAAAAAAGAAAAAAAAAAAGAAGAAGAAGAAGACAAGAGGAAACAACATACTGGTCCTGCTTTTTTTGGGAAGATCTTCCCATTGCTCTCCCTCTTTAGTCTGAATCAGAACCCTCAGCCACCGAGGACCTCACGGTCCTGCTTCCACCGAAATGCCCGCCCTCATCATCATCATCATCATCCCCCTCCCCCTTCTTTAAATTAAGTATGCCTGCCAGATATTGCCCGGATCTTAGATCCCATGTTCTTAGCACCACCAGAGCATGGAAGTCAAAAGGGGAACAAGCTCAAACCTTTCCGGATTAATATATTCTCCAATGACTTTGTTCCGAAATCATCTCTACTGCCCAGATCTTGAAAGCCCACCAGCCGATCCACAGCAATGCCCTTTCTGAACATGAGTCAACGATTGGGAGACGATCAGTGAATAATGTATACAAGCTATTATAAGAAAGTTAACGAATTTAAGGGAGGAAAAAAAGAAGAAGATGCTACCTGAATAGAATGACACAGGGTAGGGTTTTGACAGCCAGCTTTGCCACAAAGAACGGCGCATTCTTCATCAAATAGATGGAACAGATCAGCTTCACATTAAAAGAAGAGAAGAAATAATCTGGCGAGAAGATGTAGACTAACCTCAGCATCCAGCTTGATGAATTTTGCATCAACGAACCGAGGTGCGAGAGCTTTCAGATGCTTATCCATGATCCTGTTCAGTTCGTCAAAATGGACTTGAGAAATCATAATTATTGATATTTATTTTTCTTACCCAAGACCTCGTTCAGGTTATTCACAGAGATTACACCGCACATTCAGAAAAAAAGAGTTGGATGTGGGATTACTTGCACCGGTAGAACTCTCGGTGGTAGAAATGGCAAATGACTTTCTCACTTGCAGTCACTTCGCCCAGGAAGTCACCTTCTGTGATCTCCCTGTACTCTCCATGACCCTGCCTTTTCAAGGCTTCTCTCTTCTCTGCTTCTTTCTGTTGAAGAAGGAAGTCAACATGTACTATGTTGGTCAAATAAAAAAAAAGGAATCTGCACAAGAGTTGACTAAATTTCATTAATGAAGAGGACATCTCGAAGGAAGAGTAGATAGAAAGAAATGGAACCTTCAGGGCCGCGATTCTATCAGCGTGCAGCCTTTCCAGCTCAGGATCCTGAAATCTGAGCAGTCAGAAAAATAGAATCATGCAGGCAGACTGAGAAAAGGGTAACTACATGTAATTGCACTGAACCATGCCGAACTCACATCCATTAGTTCATCTAGGTCAACCTCCGGGTTGGGCTCACTGGATGACTGCATCTTCCCTTGAGCGACTAATTCCTGCGAAATCGAGCATACATTTACAAAAGGCAAGGCATATTAGAGCATTACTTACATACTTTTTCGAAGACAAAGTAAAATTTAAGGATTATTTCACCCAAATATATAGTGAGGAAGCACTGGTAACAGGAATCTTCGCACACAGAAACCCGAAGTGTACAGAATTGAGAAATCTTTTCTGTAATCCTGGTGAGAAATGCTTAGAGAGATTCATCTAACTTGAGCAAAGCCAACTTGCATTTACTGGCCGAAATTGCAGTAGGGGAGAGTCAGAATAATACAAAACGAAGGGCAAGTTGACTGGTTCAACCTTATTTCCACTTCATCCCTATGGTGGCCTGCGCCTGTGATGGTATAACCTCTTGTGAACTAGATCTAACTTTCTTGACTTCAACAGATGATACGGAAAGACATACTCCCGTTCTCAAGTTCTTCCAAAAGGTCCGTCAGCTTGAAAAAGCTATCGGGAGATCACCGTGGGAAACCCTTCCCTGGTAGCTCCACTGAATACAATCGCGTTTTTTTCCTAAAGATGATCATCCCTATCATGGACTTCAAAATCCCAAAGTGATCCATTTCTCGGAGAGCAAGTGTAGCATCTCGGATGCAATGAGTTGGATTATTCCCTTGCGGATAGAATGGTGGAAGAACAAACCAGGGGCTATTGCCCAGAGTATCCCATCAATTATTTGAACATCATGCAACGGCATTTTGAGATTAGCAAGTTCGCGTGTTACTTTTCTCCATCGTAAACTAGAACTTCAATGGAATGTTATCCCAAAAAAAAAAAAAAAAAACTCTCATATAGTGATATAATCTATTTCACGGAGAACCATCGAGGGGAAAACCATTTCCACCGAGAAGGACATCTGTTCCCACAGTGTGTGAAGATCTTCAAGAAGAAAACTGGCGACACATTTACCCGGACATATCCAGCAGGGGTAAACTGAATCGAGCAACTGCGTAATACCTCAAAAGAGTATTTGAATAAAAAAAAGGAAAACACCCTGAGCCATTGCCGCGAATCCCTAGACTAGCAGGTATCCACCTATCACGGGATGGGGAGGGGAAAAAATAATCTAGGAAAATGCATTGTCGGCGAAATCAAGTGGCAAGAGAGCAAGCGACGATCATTCCAACGAGGAAACAGAAAAAAAACCCCGCACCTTCTGATAATCGCGGGCAGCCGCCGCCATCACGTTCCCGAAAGCCAACCCGGACATGGTCGATCGGAATGCATCGGGATCCATCTCTCTCTAACCACGCACACTCGCCCGGCGATGGAAGGAGAAGGAAGAAATTCTCCGAGAATGGAAGGGAATGGAAGGGGGGAACCGTAGTCGCCAGAGAAAGATTCTCCTCACGCCTCAGTGGAAGGAGAGGGGCTCATTCGACCTAATCTCAACCGTCTAAAGCATCCTGGCCCCGGCTTGGCGTCTCTCAGATCTAATCGTGGCCGTCCAAAATATTCACGGCTGGTTCCGACGAGTGAGCCGGGCCGAGCTGCGTAGCCAAGCCTGCCCAGATACGTACTGGGCCGGAGCCTGGGCCGGGGCCCGGGCCCGGGCCCGGCCAGAGAGAGGCGCGAGAGAGAGAGGCTCCGGGCTTCCCTGGCCCACAGACAAGGAAGCGGGTGGGGCCAAGGTTTGAGCTTGTCCAGCCCACTGACGCCCCTGAACACAGCAACCATAACAACAATAATAGACAAAAAAAACAATAATAATCTGCCAAGCAAGAAGCAAAGTGGCCTTTAAGAGGACAGGTAGCTGGGTACTAGATAGATAGAAAGATGGATAGATAGATAGATAGATAGATAGAGAGAGAGAGAGAGAGAGAGAGAGAGAGAGAGAGAGAGAGAGAGAGAGAGAGAGAGAGAGAGAGAGAGAGAGAGATTCAAACAATGAAATATTCCAACATCAATGTGACATAAGATATAGGTAAGTATGCACATAAAACATTGGGGTATGACTTGAAGACATTGGATGGAAAAATACGTTGACTTCTTATTGTCCACTTGGAGGATCTTATCAGCCAAACTAGGAAGAACATATTGATCCATGCAACAATTTGAATGAAAAAATATGAGAATATATGTGAGAAATGAGTTAAGACTTCAAGTTGAAACCTTAACCTTATGCAAGGCTTTTTGAGGTACCTCAAGGTTTTTAATTAAGGATTTTTCAGCCCATACAAGGTTCTCCAACACATTGGGCTCATGGCTTATTGGCTCGACCTACTGCTGACAGCTTGTAGTCACCCTATGTTCCACATCTCTCAATTAAAACAGGTCATCCCTAGTAATTCTTAGAGCCCAATATGACCTCTATAGTTAGATGGGGATCTCTATAGGACCACAACCTAACCTAGGTACTTACGGTCCATCATCAACCCTCTAGACCTGAAGTATTGATCCAATGGTAAGATCTACCTTCTACGAAGGACACCTAGAAGTCGGCATATCTCATCTTGTTGAGACCCTAGCCACCAGCTTTCACCCACATGAGAAAAGGTCTCCAATAATACGACCCAACAATCATAACGGTTGATTGGAGGGCCATGTCAGTCACCATGGCCTAGAACTGTCCTAGGAGCAGACATGTTTGGGCTGGCAAAACTGAAACAAAGCGATAAAGCACAATGATAGTTGGGATTGGGAGGAAAGATCTAATTCCTGACGGAAATTAGTTGGGATGTGGGAGGATAGAGGAAGGCCTTCAAGGGTGATGGAGTGAGGCATCAAAGCTTCTTCAATCTTCCATGGGGAAAAGGGAGAGTGGCTCTCTCAAATCAGCCAACCCAAGGGTTTTAGTGGGGTTTCTTCAAGCTATCTTCTGTTCCTCCCAATTTTTCCTTATTCTCTCCCTTGTATCCTCATAGTCTCATTCAAAAGAGTCTTACCGTGTCTCCAATACTCTGTTTGCAGAGTTTACTAGAAGTTATGATGACTTTCTTTACCAAGCTCTCATTTTCCCCTAGTTCAAATCCATATACCCATCAACATTTACTTAATTGCCATTAGTGATTGGGCCGTTCCTCTTCCTCTTATAGGAGTACATTTGGTTTAGAGGTCTAATAATATCATTTATCATGGTGAACATCTTGTTCCTAAGATGAAGATATCAAAAATGATGTTGGACCATTACAATTGGTTCTCACATGTCCTCAAATTTGAGATAGTCCTTCAAGAAAATAAGAAATTTGGGGCTATCCAGATGCTGACATACATACATGACTTATTAGGGAGTGACTACCCAATTAAGATCACAATCATGCTAAGATGGGATGGGTTAGGCTTAATGGACATTGTCAAGAGCATTATTCAACTAAGAAACATAGAAGACATTATGAATGATGTGGGTAGAGGGTAAGAGTAATCAATGGGCTATATACCCTCTCCACTTTATGATCTAATAAGGGCTGAAGTAGCATGACAAGAGCCTCATTATTTAATTTTCTTGTCAAGGATTGCATGTGATATCATGAAAAACGTATATAGCAAATCACTTGCAAAAAACTCTACACCACACTGATGTTTGTCTATTTATAATTTCATTTACGACAATATACTAGTTAAGTTATTTTTACCAAACCTAAGATAATGTCACACTTCTACAACAATATTCTACAACCACTAATTTGGTGGACTAGTAGGATATTCTTGTTGTAGACAATTTTGAAGTGAGTCATATGAGTTGAGTGATGAAAAAATATAGTATACTTGATAAGTCTTTATTATTATGAGTTAATAATCAGTAAATAATATAGTTTTAGCCTTAACTCATGATAAATAGACTTATATTTGTGTTAAAGTGTAAAAAGTGATTTCAGTTGATTAACATAAAATTTTGACTAATTATGTGATTTTATACGAATTTATATGATTTCTACAGTCTTACTTTTGAGATAAATGAAGAAAAAGAAATAAATATAAAAATAAAAATATAGCAAAATGAGGAATACTTGCCAACTAGCTAGGCTCGCAAGTGGTTCGGAAGTGTAGTCAGAGAGGAGCCGCGACTAGGGGCTTGGGTGGCTAGGATCGATAGGGGCATGTGTGCGCCACTCCCCTTCTACATCACCAGTGACAAACTGACTGTGGGGCAAAGAGTGGTCGTACACATAGGAGAAAAGGACTTACTTGTAAATATAATATTACTATATATTCACCAAAAACTTCGGTGCATAAGAGATGTGAGACTAAACCCATGTCACACCTTCTTAGAAAGGCTTCGATAATTTTAATACTGACAATACCTTTTATTTATAATAGAGATATACCATGATGACGTCATTTGATAAGGGCATTAGAGTGTTTATGTCAATCTTTCTCATGTAGGCAGGCAACTGATGTAAGTTCGAATCTTCTTAGAGTAAAAACTCATATTTTTTATCTGATTATCATGACTTTCCTGCAGATTGTCAGTAAAAGATTAAGCTACTAAAATCGTTAGATTATCAGCGAAAAATCTCATAAATATAATTCGTGGAGCATTATTACTAAAATTATTAAACAATTCGCGATAAAAAGATTACGAATCTATCAAGTAAAGCATCTCCAATTGATTGACGAATAAGTTGTCATCGGGAAGAGAACGATCCATCGGAAGACAAGTTGCTACCTCCTAAGAGCATACTAGATACGATGAAGAGCCTCCTCTTGTTGCGTGGACTTGAGGATGAAGCTCTTTGACATGTGTCTTATCTCCATTCAATTTCTCTCCATCGGGTGATAGTCGTCAGAGAACCACAAAGTCACTATTTTTTCACTCTGCAGGTTCACAGCAGTCAAAGATGATTCGATGACCCATTTTATTGATCTTTAAACTTCACAAAAAGATCTAGAGATTACTCACATAATCCTTTTTCAAGGTAAGCCTTCGAGGCCATAGACATTACACGACAATCTGTCCGAACGCTTAGGATTATAGTACATCACTGACGCACCGCCACCGCGACACCATAACTCTATTTTCCTACTTTCAACTTAATTTTCACTTCATTTAGTGATAATTTATGTGATTTAAATTTACCAAGATTACTTCATTCAATTATGATTCTTTCGACTTTTACAGATCTTAATTTGATCAATTGAATCATCTATAATTACTTATGTAAGAATTGTTGGGCAGAACTCTATTTTCGCTTGATTCACATTCACCAAGCACTGATGTCATCCTAACATCCGCATCCTTATTTTTCTTTTTTTTGAATTTTAAATATATTTTATTTTTATTTTCTAATATAAAATTCATAGAAAATAGTATTCTTTAAGGAAAATTCTGAATAATTACCTTATATTATATTACATTTCTATGATTGACCTAAAAAATTACCATTATTTTTTAAAGTTTTATTAAATTATAATTAATATATTTTTTCATAAATACTTTTAAATATCTGAAAATTTATATTTTCTAGTTTTATAAATTTTAAATTTACTTGATTTACTATACAACGACTAAGTCACGTCAATACCTCAATTTCACTCATAGAGTTCACTTGCTTCACATGCTTGACTTATTGAAAAAAAAAATAAAAATATATGTTTATAGACACTTGTTGATAATCTCTATTTGCTCATTTATTTCAAGGTGGAAGGAGGTGATGTGCTCAAGTTTTATGTTTTGTTTAAAAGAAACTTAGAAAGAGGGAATTAGAAACTAATACAACTAAGACGCATTGTGAAGCCAGATGATCTCTTTGATGAATATTCCAACTATGACCATGGTAGAGAAGGGAGGTTTAATTGGGATGAAGTGAGTATATTTTCTCAAAAAATCCACCACCATTATTATGACATCTTTACCATGACATGGAGATTGCCCTTATATAAAAGTCAATTGATACATCCTCCCTAAATTTTTCTAGAATTAGAGAGTCTTCATCTTGTTTCAGTGACAAGTTGGACAATGGCCTATATAAGAGTTGACCTATCTTTCCATCTCTTTTTTTAATAGGTTTTGAGAAAATTACTTATAAGTATAGAAAAATTCCACATATCTGATGATGATGCCATCAATATAGTCAATGAGTACAAGAAATATAAATAAGTGAAAAAGATAGAACTAGTAGTCTTTGGCTAAGTTAATATTGTGACATTGCATCATCTCTTTGTGCCAAAGCCTGTACTATTGTTCTCAAGTTAAGGGGTCAACTTAGATCATCATTTTTATTGTCAAAATATGTAAAGAGGAGGCATGCATTACATATACTATGTAAATGAAAAAATAATTGTCAATAACTCTTGACACAATGAATACTTAACAATGACGTCAAAAGGATGATGTGCATTTGTCGTTATGTTTAAATATTTATTATCTAATAATATTTATAACTAAGACTTACTAAGATATTAGTATAAATGTAAGTCTTAAGTCCAACACATGGAGATTGATTACTATCTAAATTTGTTTATATATAAATAGTGATTTTTTAATATTTTACACTATCTAATAAAAATAATAAAATAGAAGGGTGAAGTGAGAAAAATAAAAGAAAAGAAATGGAGAAGAGAATAATAAAAAGAGAGAGTGAAGAAAGTGATTTCATGAAAGAGAGAGAAATAGAGAGGAGGAGAGAGAGAGAGATAAAGAGATAAAGAGAAGGAGATTGATCATATGAGAGATTGAAACAGGGAGAGAAACATATGAGAGAGAGAGAGGTCTAACGAGAGAGAGGGAGAGAGAAATATAGATGAATAATTAGGAAAGAGAAACAATGGTCATCTCTTTTTATAATGATTTAGTTTCGCACATAACTCAAGTTGACCATGTTTATCAGATAAATGTGTTCAAGAATTCACACACATGACATAAGTTAAGTCATGAATGTCTCCACCTTATTTTAACACTTCAATGCTTATTAATAAGTTTTTAGTCTTACTTATTTCATTTTTAAAAATAAAAAAATACTCATTATTTGTGAAATATCAAAAAAACAAATACTTTGATATTCAATTGTAAAAATTAATATAAAATAAGTTGAATATGATCTTAACTTAATCTCAGATGAGTTTTGGAGGATTCTAAAAAAGAATGAAGATAATTAATTAAGATTTGAATTAGTTCTACTCATTTCAATCCAAACATATATAAAATAGAAATACCTCGTCATAAAATATAAATAAATACTAAAAGCACATAAATAAATACTGAAAAAAGGAAAAACATTATTACTCAAATTTAATTTGAATCTTGGGCAATTTGAGACATTGGTGTGACAACTTGGTTTTATTTGGACATGTCACACCATGTTAGACGTTGTTGAAGTATCATCTAAAAATGTTATAGCACTTGCAAGAGAAATTCATCAAAAAGATGGGTCAACCATACTGTCACCATTGTCTATGAGGAGAAGGGAAGAGTTAACCGCTCGCGAGAGGTGTTGATCATGATTGTCATTCGAATTTGAAAGATAAATGATGATATTTATTTTATCAAATAATAATTAAGAATTAACCTTATATCCTTGACGGTGATACGTGTAAGAACTTATGTTTCTAATATTGTGGTGCTTCACATGCCATTAGATCAAATGTCCTTAGTCATGTGGTGTGTTCAACAACACAAGATTAACTTGTCACAAATCATTATTGATTGGGAACCTAAGTTATTGGTATTGTGGTGCTTCACTCATCATTAGAGGATCCTTTTTGATCATGTGCATGCTGAGGAGTAATGTAGGATTCACAACTCACTAATAAAATGCTTCACATTTGAGTATCGTGACAGTTTGCTCACCTCGGGATCTACCTTATCTAATAATGTGGCTTGCTAAACACCACTACATCACATCGTGCTCTAAATTACTACCTTGAAACAAATAAGATTTAGTCCAACATCAAAACTTTTTCAACAATTGAACTCAATATATATCAAAGTTACGTTATGTGTATAGAGATCTCTTATCTCGAATAAAATAATGTCCAAGATCATCTTAGGAGAAATTAATAAGTGGTTTGCCCTCACGTGATCACATGTGTACGATGCTCTTTGTTCCATGATCAGTTGGCCCCTAGGGTGTGATAAGAGAGTGACATGCATGTGTTCGAAGCAAGTCCTTAGCCACTCAAACCCAACTTGCAGCTCCCCTAGTTCAGATGCACCCACTCAAGCACATCGTTCCTCCAAGTTAGCTATCGAGTCCTAGCTTGCCAACAAGTAGTAATATTTTCTATTTAAAAAAATCAAAAATTATGTGAAGTCTTTTAACTTCAAACTTTCAAAATTAACAACATATTACTATATTTATTCTACAAGTCAACACACAAAAAACAAATAAAACTATTTAAATATAAAAAATATAAGTTTAATAACACATTTTCTTCTTATAAGATATGAGCAATTTTTGGCATTAAATTACAATCAGTGAGCCCCACATGTCATTTAGTCCTACATTGGTTGCTCCAAGTATTTGAGATGAATATAAGTTTATATATGGTTCTCTCTTTATGTTCTCTCACCTATAATAAAAATGTCTAGGACCACCTGAGGAGAGGGCTAAGCCAAATGGTCAGTCCCACATACACATGTATGAACACTCCTTGCCCCATGCCCAATTGGCTCCTAGTGATGTGAAGGGGGAGTGATGCACATGTGCTCTACGTGAGTCCTTCGAGCTTTCAACTCTCCTGATTGTGCTTTCAACTCATGTGCATCACCCTCTAAGCTAGTTATTGGGCCCATTGGCTAGCATGTCCCCCATTTTCTTATTTTTATATTTATTTTATTTTTATTCATTTTATATCAAAAATATAAATCTAAAACTTATATGATTTCACATAATTAACCAAAAATTTATATTACTAAGCTAAAAAACTATTTTTCTATTAAATATAAATAATTATATATTTATCATGATTTAATTTATAAAATAAATATTTAAACTAGTATTAAATCATAATAATAAACATTTATTAACTATTGTCTAAAAGTAAGTCACAAATTTATTGTAGAACTTGTAAGTCTAAAAATCCATTCAAAGCCATCACAATATAGTTTCAACTTTACCACAATATGTTACTAGTCTATTAATGGACACCCAATGTTCAAGATATTTTATCCTTTGCTGTCCAAATAGTTATTTCTTAGAATTTTGGTGTAGTAAATTATATTTTATATATTGATAATATGATATTTTTTTAGTGGAAATAAGATAAAAGTGTGTTTCTTTATCAACATTTCATGAATAAGTAATAGCAAGAATTTTCATATTGATATAAATTTAATTACAAATTTCATAATTATATTTTAATTTTTAATGATTTTGGGGATTAAATATTTGTTTTCTATAGTTATAATAAAAAAGAGGCTTTGGCTATAAGAGAAGGCTAGTTTAGTCTCTATACACTCATGAACCAACCCTAGTTCATCACATCCTTCATCACAACAATCAACTTTTTATATCAATATTTCATGCACGTCTTCTCTAAGAAATAATCTTCTTCCTCCTCTTTCTCAAGCTCTCTCTCTTTCTCTTGGTGTTCCTCTATTCTCTCTCAAACTTTCCCCATATCACAAGTAGAAAATCATTCCCCAACTCTTCTTTAGTTCTTTAGATATTTAATTTCTAACTTTGTAGTAACTTTTTGTAACTTTCTCTCTCTCTCTCTCTCTCTTTTGCCCTCTCTTCACAAGTGATAGGCAAGAGTAGTTCTTCATTTTTCTTACATTATTGGAGTGTTCTTCCCTTCCTCCCAATTTTTGTTTGTTATTTCTTAGTTTTCCATGTTCCTAACCCTTGCATGTAGTTATTTTGACATTCTCTAATCCCTCATTCCTTTTAGAACTTTTTGTTTTCTCTGTTGCACTAATGTCATTTCCCACCATCTAATTTTCTCCTTTTTGATGAGTTTTTTTCTCTTTCTCCCTCCTTTCTTCCCTTTGTTTTGAATGTTTTCTCATTAGATATATGTTTTTTAATTATTCTCCACAATTTTTATTCATAAAATAATTAATTTTTTCACATTAGTGACTTTCTTCCCTTTTTTTGGCAATTTTTCTCATTTTGCAATGCATTTTACCTCTTGATCTTACATCAAATATCTTCTTTCCCCCTTTCTTTTTTGTTAATTGAGTATTAATTCTGTTTTTCATTTTGTGCACTGTAGATATCAATTTTTTCAATGATTTCTCTCTCACTAATGAGTGTCTCTCTCCTCTACCTTTTATCTTTTCTTTTTCAATAGTTTTTTCTCCTCCCACATCTTATTTCCTATCATGTTTATTTTTTATTAGTTTTTGTATTTTTTGATGATTTCTTTCTACTTTATTGTCAGTAATATCTCTCACCAGCAAAACCTCTTTTCTATGAATGAGAACTCTCTAATCATACTTTTTAATTTATTTATTTTTCTCTTCCTCTCTCTCTTTTTCTCACATTTCATATTTGACCAGTAAACTCTCTGATTGATCATCTCTCCCATCTTCTCCCATCACACCTCTCTCCCTCTTTCCTCTCTCTCTTATCTCTCCTATAACCCTCATCTCTTTTTTCTCCTATCACCTCCACTATCTCCTCTCTTTTTCATGATCTTGGTGAATTTAACATGGCATCATCAACTTGTGGGTGATAGTAAAGATTCATCTTCTTAAACCCTAGCTTTTTTAATATTATTTATTTATTTTATTTCTTTAGAAAAATAATATTTTGTCTTAGATATTTTTATTTGATAATTTCATAAATTATTTACCTATGTAGAATATGATATTTAATTTGAAAATAAATCAAAGAATCCTTCTAGATTTGATTTGGACTCACTTAATATTTCATAATTATACCTTATGACTTCAATTGTAAATTTAAAATTGAGTGCATTGTATAACTTACAGTGAATTGTATGCATCAGCTATTGCAATATTTGTTTCACATGTTGGTTGTGTGGTAATATTGAGTGATTAAAATAAGTATATTATTAAAGAACACAAAAATGAATTTATAGTGGAATGGTTTAATAATTAGATTTATCAAATCAAAATCTTGAAAGGTTTTGGATGTAATAGACAAACCGCAAGGCATAACAATGAACTCATAGTACCCTTCATAGATGTAAAACGACATCTTATGTACAACTCGTTCAACCACCCTTACCACCCTTATCTAGTGATAGCTTAATCGTAAGGCAAATTATGTAAAAATTGTTGTTCAATGTGACTCATATAAAATATCTAAGATTGTAGATATAAGAATTGGTCTAATATCATGACTCAATTTAACATCTTACAGTCCACATAGAATTGTCATTTGTCATCTTTCTTTTGACTTGAAGGGATGACTAGCAAAATGATTGTTAGATGCCCCAATGATGTAGATGGAACTCATAGTCTGCTGATGTCCTTGAGCATGTGGTTTGATATTACATTTCAATTTATGATGTGGTTAATGTTGCATTGAGATGGAAGGGAAACTTTCACAAAAGCTATTATAAAGAAAGAAATTCAATCAAAAGTTTTTTAATCAACGCCTCAATCTCCATAGATGCATGATTAAATAGGTGTTCTATTGGGCTATTAGTGCTAAAATTGTACTTTATATTTTTTCAGATACAATAATCTCCTCAAGTTCGTACTCTATGATCATGATTTAAGTACCTCATCAACCTTGTAAAAGTTGAGATTCTTTTTGAAAACTTAGATACTCTTCTAAATCTTGAATCTCAATATTAATAAAGTGTCTCAATGCAACTCTATGAACATATTAAATCTCAACAATCACATCCTAAGGATGAAGTTAGTGTTGATCAGTTAGAACATGAGAAGTAGAAGTTAGCCCCTATATCTCAATGTGTAACTTTATACATATGTTTTTCTCTTTTGTCACTATATCATTGCTCATTATGATAAAGTAACTCTTAGTTATTGTTAGAGTTAGTTATAACTCAATACATATTTTGTCATAAAGTTGTGTCTTACCCTGTGGTTGACAAGACTAATGACTGAACTCAATGTGATAACTGATGTAAAGTCAAATTCAATAATCAATTCCTTTTGTGTTTTTCTTACACTTTCATGCCCTTGATCGTTATCTTCCTCTTGTTAGTCCCCCTCATAAACTAAAAAAATCTATCATTTCTACTTACAACGATGTCTTAGTACATATTTCTTTACATAATTCCTTCACCCTTCACATTTACAACATTAGTTATGCTATCATTGTTTTTCTTTTACTCTACTCGAAAGATGAAGACAAAACTCTTGCTGGTAAACTCTAACTATTTGTAGTCATAAAAAATGAGCCTCTAAATATTCTTTTATCTATGTTCTTATATGGATGAGGCTGTGCAAATTCTCCTTGCCTTCATTGTTAGTTCCTTTGAGGGTCTACGATGCCCTTAGAACCTCCCGACCAAATTGAGGTGGGGAGGCCCAGTGAGATGCACGTGGAGAGAAGAAGGCATGCATCTCAATGCACAATAATTGTGTGGACACAACATGGGAACATACAGAAAAATAGAAGAAACCTAATGGAGTAAGTTTCTCAAATCTAGAATGACCCCCACAGATCTGCAAGAGATCCAAGACAAATAGAGAAATGTGTCTATACGAGGAAAGGGGTGGAATGAAGGAAGGTAAAAAAGGAGAAGGTTATCTAGACCTCTCCCTTGATAAAATGGGGGGTACTCTTCCCTTCAGAAGAGAGATTGAAAAGAGAGAAAGAAGAGAGAGAGAGAGAGAGAGAGAGAGAGAGAGAGAGAGAACTATAGAGCTAGAGAGTGTTGGGTCTCAACTATAGGAGAGAGGAAGCTCTAGAGTGAGCATGGGGAGTGCTCTAAGGGAGCTGAGGTTGTTGCAATGTGTCAGCAACAAGGAGTTGGTAGAGAGTTGGAAGCTAGAAAAGGAGAAGAGTTGACATGTTGGGCTCTTCTCCTCTCCCACTATATGACTTTTTTGAGGTAATGTGAGTCATTTTAGTGTTCCACTATCACAGTAGGATCTCGAGTTCTAGAGGTGACATGGAGGCTGCTCGACATTAACGGAGCATTGGTTAAAGCTGGTCTCAGGTAGTTAAATACAAAATTGAATGATCCACCCATGACAAGGATTGAAAGACTATGCTTATTAAGTATTGTCAACCCTAGGGTTTGACAATACTCAATAAGCATAATATTTTTACCTCTAAAGTTATTTCCTTCAATCTCTTGGTAAACATATTTTTCATGATATTCTTAGATATTTCAAGTAAGAATATAGATAAAAACTAGAAGTCACACATGTACTAGACCATAATTCCTTTATTCTTGATGTTGACAAACTTGAGATAAAGATTGTCAAACCTAACCAACTCAAAGCATTTCAATAATTATGCCTTAAGATTATGTCAATCCTTGAATGGGTGATGGTAGTTGATCTAGTGGAACCACACTAGTGCATCTCCTTTGAAGCTCATCATTGTTGATGACATCTTTTCATGATCATTCACTTAATTCATGATGAAGTAAAGATTTATCTAAAATAAATAATCATCAAAGCTCTTTCCATAATAGACCAAAATATCTCACTAGTAAGTGTTTACTATCATAGATTAATAATGGTTTAAAGTATTCATTTTATGAACTAATTTATGATAACTATACACTTATTTACATTAAATAGAGATAATGAGTTTTTATGTGACTAATGTGAATTTTTAGATAATAATGTGATGTTATATGAGTTTTACATATTAGAGGAGCCACAACTTGGGCTTAAGTGGTTAAGGAACCCATGTAGAGCACATATGCATCACTCATCTTCCATGTCATTGAAGTCAAATTGGGACTAAGGCAAGGTATGATCATATCACATGTGTATATGTAGGGGCAGGCTGCTTAATTTAGCCCTCTCTTCATATGGTCCTATCCATTCTATTTCTAGGAGAGGTAACTTGAATATAGAAGAAGGAGCAAACTTATATTTACCTTGAACTTTTGAATAAAACCAATGTGGGACTAAAATGTGGACAAAACACATCATCAAAATAATATCAAAATTACAAAGTGTTAAGAGAAAGGTAACGTGGTCATGTGCTCAATTTTTGAAGGGTATTTAAGTAATTAGTTAAGATTATCTTACAGAGCTAGAAAATTATAAAGGTTTTAATATCACAAATACTAAAAGTTATAACTTTATTATGTTTTAACTCTACAACTTTCATGCAAAACATAAGTTAATAATAGAGTCACTGAAAGTGCTTGATCATCAATAGAATATTTATCAATAATAATTTAAGATCATTGTTAGCAATTGATGAAAGATTCTAGATAAAAAAATCATGAATTATGAGAAGAAATCATCTCTAGTTGGTCAACGAATAAATCACGGTTGAGAACAAGATAATCTACTAAGATATTTATTACAATCTCTTTAGAGTGTCTCAAATGTGATAAATAGTCTCCTTTTATTACACAAACTTGAGAATAAAGCTCTACCAAGTGATAGATGCTAAAGATATTTCACCATTATTTACCTTCACCTTCTGAACTTCACACAAAAATTTAGAAAGTGTGCTTATGTCATTCACATCTAAAGAAAGCCTTCAAGATTATGGATAGTCTCTAAAGAGAGCCTTCAAATTTAAAGAATTTTGACAATCTTCGTTGTAATGCTAGAACTCTATATTTTCTTATTTAATCTTTTGATTAATTATAGTTTGCTTGAATTAAAATTTGAAACTATTCTTTACATATTCTTAAAATTTTAATGAATTATTTATAATTACTTACATAATAATCATCGGGTGGAATTATATTTCTGCTCAAATCATTGTTCTTCATGTGCTTGACATTTGCCTAATGTCAGCACCTAAATTTTCATTTTTCTCAATTTTTAAAAACAATTTTAAATAATTTTTTGTATAAAAATTATAGAAAATAATATTATCTAAAAAATTAAAATTTTACTTGATTTTAATCAATTGAACTGAAATATTTTTGAATTATAATTAATTTATTTACACATTAAAAATGTAATAATTTTAAATTAATAATTTTTAATTTTAAAATTTTAAATTTTACATGATTTGATAAACAATAATATTTAAAAATTTAAATACTCTTCATGTGCTTGGTCCATGGGTACCCATCAGCCAAGAGATAATTCAATTGACTAATATTGTTGCTCCCCTTCTATGTTATCATAATTTTAACATTCAAATAGTCTCTTTATTGTATTAGTTGGCTGAACATAATGCAATAGGTTGTACTCCAATTGATCTATGTATCCTTGCAACTTGTCAGCATGTTCCTCCACTTCTGAATGGTTCTCATTGAGTTTCACTACCATCAACTGGCAACCTAGCTTTGATACTAATTGTTACCGACCCAACTAGGAAGAACACATTGATGTTATGATCTAAAAAAATAGAGATGAGAAAAGAGTTAGAGCTCCAAGCTGAAACCCTAACTTTAGATGAAGTTTTTCAAGATACCCCAACCCTCTTAAGATCCAAAATACTTCATCACTTTCACTAATCCCCCCCTTTTCTTCTTTATATATCAAGCTGACCACAGCATTTACTTAATTGCACTCAGCTGCAAACTTAGTCAAGCTGACTCGAACTGCTCCTCTTCCTCTTGCAAGAGTATGCTTGGCCTAGAGGCCAAATAGAGAATCGACAAACCAGGAGCAAAATGCTTCTAACACAAGAGAGGGCGAGATGCAAACAAGCAAATATTCCAACATCCAGGTGACATAAGATCTAGGTAAGTATGCACATAAAAACCTGGGGCATGATTTGAAGGCATACCAAATGGATAATGCGCTGACTTCTTACTGTCCACTTGGAAGGTTAACAAACTGGCAACAAAGTGTTTTTAAGAGAAGAGAGGGAGAGATGTAAACAAGGAAATATTTCAACAGCCAGGTGGCATAAGATCTAGGTAAGTATGCACAAAAAACCTTAGGGTATAATTTGAAGGCATTCTGGATGGATATATGCTTGACTTCTTAGCGCCTCCACTTAGAGGATCACCAAAGCGGCAGCTTCATGGATAACCGGATGATGAAGTCCCTGATGAAGAGGGGGAGGTGGTAGAGGATGGCAAAGGACCCGGAGAGGTGGCCGTAGGTGAGGTAGGGTGGTGAGTACTGGCTGAGGACGGCGCCCACCACCTTCCTGGCAATCTCCTCGGCAGGGGTTGACCGGACGCACTGGGAATAGTCAGTCCGCATGCGGATCAGTGGCTCGAATCTCTTGTACAGTTTCCACTCAGGCATGCGCTTGTAGATGGACAGGCTGGAGAGACCGATGTTTGACTTGACTGACCCAGGGACCACGCTGATGACCTCAATGCCAAAAGGTCTGAGCTCCAACCTGCGGAGGAGAGGAGTTGGGGAGGATTTCAGTGGATGGGTGGTAAGCCTGAGATTTCTGGTAGTAAGAGAATCGTTCAAAAAAAATATTCTGTCTATTTGTTTATGTATTAAGGAGAGGGGAGATCGGTTGGAGAAACACAGGATATCAGCGTGCCTTAGAATTACGGAATATATGAGGGTAAATGTATATAATTAAGGGGAAAACCTGAAGGAAATAGGTGAAATTATGGGGAGAAACCCATGGAATGGATGAATGCTTTTGTATGATGATGATCCATGGAACCTGAAGAAATCTGATATAGTTTATTTCGTTAAATTCTGTAGCATTGATGAAAAAAATATGCATGCAGTATCAATGAAAACTAGAAGAAAATCAAAGGAGCAAGAAGAAATTTGATAGGATTTTTTTTTTAAAGTCCAGGAAATAAGTGGGCAATTTATGAATAACAATGAAGGAAACCGAAAAGAATTTGATATAATTTTGAGCGAGAAGCAATAAATGGATAACCAACTAGGGAACAATAATGAAGGGAACTGATGGGAATTTCATATAATTTTCTCTTTAAATACCCGACAGTTTCTCTATGAACAGTGATGAAGGGAATCATATGTAACTAAATAAAAAAATTCCAGAAAGGCCAGGATATAAATTATCGATGTATAAATAATAGTGAAAGAATCTAGAAGCAATCTGATATACTCTTGTGCGAGAAAACCAAGAATATATGACCAATTTATCAACAATAACGAAAAGAACCAAGACCGATTTTTTTGTTCTTCGGCAAAACCCAATAAAATAGATTTCTTTTATGCAATTATGAAGTGAACCAAAAACAATCGTATGTATGTACTTTTTCTTCGAAAAACCTATAAAATCGAAAAAAATCAGAGTATTGATATTAAAGTAGACAGAAGCATTTTTTATCTGATTTTGCAGTAGAATCCAGAAGATCTATGAGCTATTTTGAACAATAACGAGAGGAACCAGAATTAATTTGATATGATTTCACGCCTGAGTTTGAAGAGGAAAAGTATGAAAGCACTAGTTCAAACCTCAAGGTGTCAGTTATGCTGTGAAGAGCAGCTTTGGATGCACTGTACGCACCAGCCCATGGTCCAGATACCAGCCCTGTAATGCTACCTACATTTACTATCTTACCCCTTTTCCTCATCACCATGTGAGGGACGATAGCTTGAACTAGTCTCAGGGGGCCTAAAAAATAGCCACAAAGGAAATTTGCAGCATCAGGAACTTCTGATCAGTTCATGAACAATAAGTGAGGTGCAGAAACAGTGGTCATTAAAACATTCAAGCTGGTATAAGATAATAATGTGCAGAAACAAAGAAAAATAAGTCTCAATCAAAGAATGAAGGATGTTTTGGTTGAAAATAACATATCCAAGAACAAGAAGCTGGGCCACTGAGATGTGTTTACTAGACAAATTCTGACCTATTGACTGGAGACACCCGAAAAAACTAGCAAAACAAAAGAAGAAAAATATAGAAAAAGAAAAGAAAACGTCCAACCGAGTTTATAGTTTTAGAAAGCTGGGGAGCAGATATGAAAATAGAAAATGTAGGTGGTACTACATGAGGATAAAGATCAGTCGGATGAAAAAAAAATCTTGGAAAAAAGGGGAAAATATTCTCCAAATTGACAAAAAAAAGAACACAGAATGATAGGGATTAAATATCACACAGAGTCTGGGAACCAGACTTATTCAAAGAGTTCACAGAATGATGGTACGAAGAATTAAGGCCAATGTTGTAGAAAAGGTGAAAACGATGATATGAAGCATTAACTGGAGAAAGAGGCCGCTTTCACTTAGTCGAATACATGCACGCCAATTATATAAAACTATTGTCTTTAACAACTGGGACATAAATAATGGGGAAAATGACAGCACCATTAAATGAGTCACGTGACACGAATGCATGAAATGATAAAGCATCAGTTACACAGAGAGAAAAACGTCAAAAGTCAGAAACTTAGCAACAGAGAATGATCAATGAACTTCATAAAATTGAGTTTCTGGTATGAGAAACTCTGGCAGGGATTTTTTTTTTAAAAATAATAGATGCCGAGCATGAGAAATGATGGATAATAGATTCCAAGCAGGAAAACGAATTCAGAGTCCGCCATGGAGTAAGGAGGATAAAAGAATGGAGCTATAGGCCATGAAACCCTTTATCTATCCTTGGACGCTCAAACAGTTATAACTAATTGGGCGACTGGGCTCCTCATCAAGGTAATAAAACATTTTGATATTTTTGAGACCCGTTAATTTTACACTAGTACGCCAGAAAATTATTTTGTGGTCGTAGCATAATGCATTATCTAGAGGAAGGTTACATACAGAAACTCTGGAAGCAATCGGGTTTTCTTTTATCCGAAATGGGTAACAGGAGGGACGATGAAAGACCACCTTATAGATCTTTGAATATTAAAGTGAAACAAGAGAGGAAAATTATTATTTTCTTCTCATTCCAGACAACTGTTCTTTTGGAAACTAGGAATCGGTAGGGGCCTTTCGCGACTAATGGATTCCAAATAAAACAGAAACAGCGGGGAAATAAGACAAGATTAAAAAAATACAGCAGTACTTGTCATCACATCGCTATGAAGCAGATCTGTGTTGAAAAATATTCACTGATCGACAAATCAGTATTTAGAAAAGAGAATATGTACCCGATCCGTAACACCTCTAATTTTATGCATTCTAAACATCCAAAAGAAAAAAAAGAAAAAAAAGAAGAACCAGCAGAACAGTGTGGTCGACAGAAATCACGACCGGGAAAAACGACGCTCACCATAGACGTTAGTGTCGAAAACACTCTCTACAGAGGACATGGGGACCTCGGCGAGGGGGGCGACGCAATGGATTCCTGCATTGTTTATTAACACGTCGATGCGGCCGAACTTCCCCAGGGAGGCCCCCACGGCCTTCTGGATGCTCAATTCGCACTGGACGTCCACCTCCTGGAGGAAGAACCGGGGGTCCCCTTCGAGGTTCCCCATGGATTCCAGCGACCTGGCTGTCGCCACCACGAAGCAGTCCTCCGCCGCGAACGCCCTTGCGAGCGCGTACCCTATCCCTCCCTCGGAGCAGCCGGTGATCATCACCACCGGTCTCTCAGTGGACACCCGCCCCATCCTCCGCTCCCTCTACCTTCACCTCCTAAGCTCGACTAACCAGAGAGCAACTCAACCAATTCCTTCCTCCTCCTCGATCAGATATTCAGACGGAGCCACCTCTGAAGGAAGGAAGGAACCCCGTGTATGGAAGAAGACGATCCCCGTGATTAGGGAGCGGAAAACCAGAGTCAGTATTTATAGTACCCTCAGCAGCTTTCCGAAACTTCTTTATTCATTTCTATCTATCCTCTAAAAAAATCAAACGTGTATTTTTTTAATGCCTGAGGCATCCACATGGGTTGGGCCCACACCTGCAACGGGTGGGCCTGAAGGAAACTGGTCGACCAGTTTCCCATACAGAGAGAGAGAGAGGGGCGGACGGGCCACATGTGGCGGGCCGGAGCTTTTATGGGTGGCCTCCGGCCCGGGAATCGACGTGATTAATGAAAGACAAGATGTACAGATCATCTTAAGGAATGTCCGTTTATTCCTCAACCCAGGATCAGAGGTGGGGACGGAATAATTAGTATTTTCTATATTTTAAATGGCGCAATAAATATTTATTGAGACCGATATATGGGTGGCGGGGGGGCACAGGTCACGTGGGCAACTTGAGTACAGCTAAGTTGCCGGGGAGAGCCGGTCACGCCATAAACATGGGAGCGACTGGGGAGGACCACCAGTTGGCACGACGTTGAACCGGGAGTTGGTGGTGGAGCCACTCCCTGACCTCGGAGCAGGTGGGACGATAGAAATTGAAGGGTTACCCGTTGTCGTGAAATGACCATGATGCCCTTTCTCTGGGGGAGGGGGAGGGGGGTTGGCGATGGCTTCATAATAGCATCTCGGGGGTGCCAATGGTCCGGATGAGCCTTAACTTTCATACTGGCCAATTTCACTCCTTGACGTTGGGATCGACAAGGAACTTCTGTGGGGAAATCAGCTTGATTGACCAAGTCATCAGCAGTTTAACATATGTCAAAACTGTGGGGTCCACCCAAATTTCCAAAGCCCAATTTTCTTACCTCTTCATGAATCACCCTAATGGTTGATAGTTCTCTCTCTCTCTCTCATACTGACCCACTTGTACACATGGTCAAAGTCCAAGGTAGGGCCTCATGGTACTCTGGATAGTAGCCAAGTGCTTTGGGCTGCTGTCTAGCCGAAGATCTTACCACATACAGGACGTTAGTGACATTGACTAAAACTCATTGAGGATTAGCTCCCACTGATGCCTTCATTTATGCACTAACTCAATGAGCAGATGATGCGAGATAGGGAAGTCACTAGCTACCCCCCTTTATCTCTCTATCTCTATTGAAAGCTTTAAACTCTCTCTCTCTCTCTAACCTCCCCCTACCCATCCGTCTTTTGCATAGTGCTGATGGGTCCACAGCCATCACTAGCAAATAAATGACATTGAATCACACTTTTATAATGTCACTTAATGAACATGGATATATTCAGTTCATGGGTTGATACTCTCTTTACACTAAATTAATGATAATTCAGTGAAAAGAAAATTATGTAAGTAAAAAAATAATGTGCAAGGAAGTCAAACCCATTTTCTAGGTGTCCAATCTCTTTTAAATGTAACAATCCAACCAAAATCCAAAAATTAGTGTATTTTGTGACAATATTTTACAATATCTCTAAATATTTCAAGGGTCACTACTTTTCAGTTGGTAAGATTTGTTACATAATTCTTTAACCAAAAATGTTTCATTTAAATTTTATTAATATCTATATTACATAGTTCCAAGTATTTCATGAGTTGTTAATCTGTATTCTGTATAATAGTTGTATTACAAGTCAACCAAAATCGAGTATTTTATATATTTATAAAATGTAAAAGGAAGGCATAGAATAAAGATAATAGAAAAGACCATCCAAAACTTTTGACGGTCAACCTTCTCACATTTATGATCTTCCTCTCAACTCAAGAGAATTTAATGAGACAATAGAAATGTGGAAAATACAATGCACTAAAATGGTTTTTAGTTTATACTCTTCCAAACTGTGTAAATGATAACCCTAGATACATTAAATGAGGAAGGAAAATTACATCCGGGGACTCCATATATCTCGCATTTGCCTAATCTCCTCAATCTTCGTCATGGGTTTTGTTGTCTATATCCTTCTCCTTCTAAGTCTTCACTTTCCTCGTTTCTATCTTCCTTGTCCTCTCCCTCGTTTCCCCTTCTTCTTCCGCTCCTCTCTCTCTCTCTCTCTCACTCCCCCTTTCTCTTCTTCTGTTGACCTCCCTATTCGTCACCCTTTCTCCTCTTTCTCTTCTTTTATATCTGCATCGCCCTATCCCTTTCCGTCTATCGATCTCCCTCTTCCGTTTCTCTTCATTGGCTACACTTCATCTTCCCAAGCCGCTCTCTAACTCCATTCCGCCTTCTTCTCCCTCTCCCTATGATATTACCTCTTCATCTTCCCTGTCTCTCCCTCTTCCCATGGTATTACGTCTCCATCTTTCCTGTCTCTCCCTCTTCCCATGGTATTACCTCTCCATCTTTCCTGTCTCTCCCACTTCCCATGGTATTACCTCTCCATCTTCCCTTCCTCTGCCTTCCATACCCTCCTCTCTCTCTCTCCTCCCTTTCTCTTCATAATTAAAAAATTATAACTAAAACTTGAAACTTAAAACATTTTTTATAAACTTAATTATTTTCTACGTACTATTTATATGATATTTAACATTTCAGTCACTCTATGTTGACTTTTGTCCATAGAAGGCTTTGAGCTTTTGGTTAATGTTGGTTGCTTGGCTAACAAAAATTAATTGGCAAAAGAAGGCAAGATGAGAATATTCTCAACTGCTATTTCTTGTAACCATTTTACTAGTCTTGGGAGATTGAATGGCTAAAAAGTTAGACTTTGTCCTACCTATGACTTGAGTCAACCATTGGGTCTAAAACTCGAAAAGCCCTACATAATATCTATAAGACATGGGGAACTAAGCATTTATGTCTTCAAAACCTTTTTGGTTTCACACACATTTATATTTCTTGGATTAGTGGATAAGCCCCCTATTTTATGAGATCCTACAGGTCCTTAGACTATGTAACAAGTTTTTTTTTAAAAAAAATTGCATTGATGAGTATTAAAAAATATGATATTACTATTTTAACAATCTAAAGAAGAAGGTACAGCTCACATAATTCTGAGCGGTGAATTCAAATTGAGTTTGTTTATATTATATTTTGGGATATTGAAGAGAACATTCTAAATTATCAACGGGTTGAAAAAATATTATTGGGGCATTGGGTTTCAATAAACGCATATAATTGATTGATTGATACAAAGTGTTAACATGGTATTAGAAAATAAATTCATGCTTATATGAATGGATATATCATTTGAGTGATATAATAGTAGTGTAGATTAGAGATTTTGTATAATAACCTGCCAGATCTGGAGAAAATTATAAATATACTATACATAAATCAATATAATGACACCCAAAAGAGTTATCTCCGATGGGGACTTTGGGAGGTGGGTCAGAGCTTGAGTAAACGATGGGGCCCCCTGAAATAGAGAGTGAACTTCCAAGGCATGTGATCGAGAGAGTGTGGGTTGTCACAATAGATAGTTAGATAGTTTAGATCGAGAGAGAGAGAGAGAGAGAGAGAGAGAGAGAGAGAGCCGGGATGGTGGCCACATGGAGCGGTTGCTGAGCTCCATGGAGAGCATCAAACATACATATTTGTTGCAACGAGGGCTTTTTCCTTTATTATTCTCCATTAGGTATGTACGGCTGTTTGTCGGCTTCGTGGCCTGGAGCAAGCTTTCGACAGGCAGCAACCACCTGGCGGCCAATCATGGAGTCGGTCAGTTGCACTCGTGAGACGAGGCAGCCCCTCATTTATGGGACAGATCGATGCTCCTCGTCGAAGATCTCCACGACCCACTGAAGAGTATCTCCACTTCCTTCTCAGAGGTTGTTTAATCGCTTAGAATTCCCTCATTTCTGCAAAATCTGCCGATAACTTCTCTCTATCTTCCTCTACTTGGAGAACAGCTGGAGGTTGGGGGGAAGAAGAGAACCCAGAAACAGTCGACACAAACTTGAAGAGCTAGAGAGAGATAGAGATAGAGATAGAGGTAGAGAGAGAAAGAGAAACGCTCAGCTGTGCACGGCCGCCACGGGGTTGAAGATGGAACGAGGGCGGGGGTCCTCGTGGCAGGCCATGGCCTCCGGCGAAGAGGAAGAGAGCGCCGCCATGGAGGAGAGGATAGAGGAAGGCCATGCCGGCGGCGGGCCTCCTCCATCGTTTTCCGGCAGCTCCGTTGCCGGAAGGAGAGGTGGTTCGACGTGGATGATCTTCAGAGTGAGCCTCCCCCCTTCTCGAGACGCCTTGAGATACTCCTGGTGCTTCACCTCTACCTCCCGCAACACCAGGCGGCCGCCGTCCTCGTAGCTCCGCCGGAGCACCCATGGCATCAGACACTTCTTTTCGCCGGCCTTCGCCACCACCGTTATAGGCGGCGGCAGTCGCCTCATCCCGCACCGCCGCCCATACGACGCCCAGCAACACCTCTCATCGCCATTATCATCATCATCATCATTATTATCATCATCATCTTTTTCCTCTTCTTCTTCTTCTTCCTCTTCTTCTTCTGATTCTTCTTCTGCTTCTGCTTCTTCTTCGTCGGAGGCAGCGGAGGAGAGGAAGTGGTCGACGGCGATGGTTTTGAGGCCGAGGAGGGGGGAATGGGGGATGGCGGCGGAGAGTGGAGGAGGAGGAGAGAGCTGCATCGGGAGTGGCGGTGGCGGGGGGGTGTCTGTGCCTCTCCTTCGCCTGAAGAGGAGAGATGAGAGCGACATTACGGCGGGGCGGCGGTGGGGTCAGGCAGGGTATAGACGGTGAATGACGGAGAAGTAATAGCGGAGGTGGGGCAGAGATAGGGAAGAGAGAGAGAGAGATGAGAAATATCTCTGTGAGAAGGCTCTAGTATAGATCGAGAAACCACAGATAGACAGAGATAGATAGATAGAAAGAGAGAGAGAGAGAGAGAGAGAGAGAAACAGTGGCGCTTTGTACCGAGAAGGGGAGAAAGTTGGCAGTGCCTGCTAAAAGAGGAGAACGTCTTAATAATGGAATGGGAAATCTAAGAGAGCGAAAGCGGATTCGAAGGCCCTTGCCCCGGAAAGAGAGAGAGAGAGAGAGAGAGAGAGGATCAAAGAAAGAAAGTGCTTTTGTCTTACTAAAAACAGTGCGGGGTTGACCTACACCTTGAAGTCCACGCGTCTGCCTCACGTAGACCCCACCCCAAGAAAATCAGCGCCATTCAAGACGAGATAAAGCGGCCCACCCCACATCTCATCAGACAGTCAAAGTAGCGTCAATATTTTGTTTTACACGTATTAAAATATTTTAATAAAATATTCTCATTATTAAGTACATGGAATATCAATCGGCCTAATTATAAAAAAATAAAAATATCAGATGCCAGTCCTTTTCTAACCTTATAATATTTAGCATATTCTGAAAATATGGCACGTCTTCTTCACGACAATTAACTAAAAAATGATATTCAAGAACTCGGGCAAATAAATAATATTTTTAGTGCTATTATTACATGATATCAAGGAACGTGTCATCATTTATAAGCGTATAATTAGCAAAAAAAATTGACCCGAACGTGGATTGGTCCGCCCCAATCTAATAGTCAACAATGGAAAGCGATAACAAACCCGGGCCACAAAAAGCCCGAAGCTCATTTCTCTCCTCTCTCTCTCTCTCTCTCTCTCTCTCTCTCTCTCTCTCTCTCTAGGTAGTATAAATATGGGAAGGCCATTGTGAGACTAAGGTATATAAGGCTTGTTATCTGGGCTCGGGACGGAAATGGGCTTTTTAAAAACCTCTCTGAGGAGTGTTGTGGGCTTGACAAGGGCTGAGCCCGGCCCGGGGGTTTTACACGCCTTGTCGAAAATTTCGTTTACTTGTTATTAAAATTCTTATTTTAGATACGTGTCCTTCTGTCAGTGTCCTCCTTGACAGGTGGCAGTGACAAGAGGGACGACCTGTCGTACGGGCAGTTGAGGGCGTCATGATGTCATTTTGACGGCTGTGATTTTCCCCTTGCACGGGAAAACGACAAAAAACTATTTTCGAAAAGACCAATACAGAAAGTATTATATTTACTCCTAATACCCCCAAAATAATTTTTTTTCTGGAATGAAAGGTGACTTGCGGAATTGCCGAGAGGAGTCATGACGGAGGTGCACTTACCGGCTGCGCTGACTCCAGAATCCGCTCCGGCCAGCTCGCATGGGGCAAGAAGCCACGTAGGATAGACAATAAGCGCGCATTAAAAATGAAGAAAATATTTCACCCAAAAAAATATTTTGTCCAATCAGAAACCGACTCATCACAGTTGGCGTCCTCGTCCTCTCTCAGGGAAAATCTTGTCGAAAAAGGCGGGTTTTTTATGAGGAAATCGCCCGAAGAAAATCATGGGTTTGCGAAGATACTCGACGTGAAATCAGGATGTTCTTTATTGCATGAACATGGCGTATTGAACGGAATTAATTCGGTCGTAAATAAATGGGATATGTATATACGTATTCATATTTATGTCGGTTATTGACTTCGAGTATTACTGAACGAAAATTTATTCGATTGAGAGATATTTTTACTCGATGATTGGTGTTTGCTTTGGATTGCGAGTGTATCGGCTCTTCATTCTCCTGCATGAAAAACCCAGGACGATAGAGAAGAAGAATGAGAGAGAGAGAGAGAGAGAGAGAGAGAGAGAGAGAGAGAGAGAGAGGAGGAGAAGACAGAAGAGAGCCTCAAGGGACCGCGGCCGAGAACGCTCTGAAAGAATCACAGAGAGAGAGAGAGAGAGATAGATGGTGATCGGGCCTACCAGGGAATGAGGAAGGATCGAGCTGGCTTCCAGCGCGTTCTCGGCCGCGGTCCCTTGAGACTCTCTTCTCTCTTCCCCTCCATCTCTCTCTCTCTCTCTCTCTCTCTCTCTCTCTCTCCCCCCTCCCTCTCTCTCGTGGGCGGTGTTGGCGCCGTTTTCTGAGCTTCACTTCCAGTCCCAGCCACGCGAGGGAGAAGAAACAGGAGGCAGAAGCGGGGATCGCGCGCTCCACAGCAAAGGCCGTGCACGTGTTGGCGCAGCAAGCGTGGGAGGAAGAATAACCCGGATTTTCTCGCTAAAAGAATCATTTTCTTTTGACCCACCAATTCCTTCCGTCCACCCTTCAAATCCCCCCCCTCCACTTGTCAGTGACTCGTTCCCGTCCCATCTCTCTCTCTCTCTCTCTCTCTCCCTCGCTTTCTCTATCTATGTATATACTATTTTTTTTATTTTGATTTGAATTTTACTTTTCATATATATATATATATATATATATATATACAATAGGAGGTCTTACACTTTTTTCTTGTGGCGTATGCTCAGTGTGGCAGCTCGAAAAGGTTCTTAGTTGCTGGGGAAGAATACGCTGAGAAAATTCTTGGATTTTGTAGCTTGCCCCGTTAGGTCATCAATTTTTTAGATACGACAATTTTCTTAATGACCAAACGATACATAAAGTTCATAAATGCCCTTGACGCTTAAGGAATGTCTTGTGAATAAAATTTTGACTTTTTATTGTTTCAAACTCGACAGCATATGAAGATATTGACAAAAACCCTTTATTGGGATATATCATTATTCAAAACCATTTTTATGATCTGTCAAGGCCTCATTTTGACTTATTTTTCTCAATATTTTTAATGATTAAACAGCCAACATAGAAAAGTTCTTGAATATTCTCAACACGGCCCCCTAAGATTTTTCATTGAAATATAAAACTAAAGATGTAAAAAATTCCTTCATTGGGTAATAACTCAGAAGTAAATCCCTTATTTGTACCAATCACATATCTTGGTCAAAACAATGAGATTCTACAAAATAAACTATCAAAGCTTTTTCAAAATGCTACTTGATGTGACAAGTGATAATTTCATGAGAGTAATCACTCACAAAATTTTATCTGAAATAATGTGATAAAATAATTATTCGATTTTTTCATTTGATTTGCTGATGTATATAGCTTGATTCAATGTGGTCGTGGATCAATGTTTTTAAGGATTAATTGAAAAATGCACATAAAAGTTGTAAATATTATTAGTTGGTTTGGAGTTACTTAATGAATTAACTCTTGAGTTTTCCCATGAACTTTGATGACTTTATATTCTCTTAGTTTGATCTCATCATTGTTTTAGATCAATGAACATTGTAGTAAATATTTTGACATAACTGTTCTACGCAGATTTGCTTGTAGGGAAATGGATTACAATATTTAATTTATTATGACATATTTCAATTTATCATGAAAACAACAATATTATATTACCATATTTTATTTAATACATATTTACAGTATACTATCACATATGTTTCCTAATTTTTTCAATAAATCTTCAACTTAGCATCACAACATCAATACCATATTACCATATCTCATTCAATATATATTCATATCATACTATGATATATGATTCCTATTTTTTTTAATGAATGGTCAATTTAGCATGAAAACATCAATATCATAGTACTATATTTAATTTCATATATATTCACAATATACTATGATATATGTTTCCCAAGTTTTTAATAATTTCCAATTTAGCATGACAACATCATTATCATATCTCCGTAGTTTACTTTGACATAGAGGTAAATTATTAGTCGGAAATTCTAAGGTTTTGAGACATTATTACTTGATAGAAGCAATAGGGTCTCAAATAATTAATCAAAAAAAATATTTAATTCAGAAAACGACTGAACAAAAATCATACAAGCTAAAGGATCCTTGTTTGATTGCCATGATTGGATACTTATTTTTCAAATATATTTCACAAAATAATTTAAAATTTAATATATCCAGCTTATTTTTTATTGTCCAAAGCCAATTTCTAAAATTTCTCATATACGCAGATCGTCTAGGCGATAAGTCTTGGTCGTCGGTAGATGACGTCATCAACAATCCCGTATATCATATTATCTGGAGCTGGCGCGAGACGCCGTCGACTCGCGAGAGATGCGCACAGCCGTCCAATAAACTCATCACTTGATCTTGATTGGAGACCCACAGCGTGACGCGTGGATACCCCCGAATATTTATAAATAAGCGAAATGGGGCCATCCTCCCGGGGGGAACCAGTGGGAGCAGGAAGAAGAAGGGAGAAAGGAATGAAAGGGCGGAAGGCTGATCGGCTTGCATCCCTCTCTATCTCGTCTTCTACGTCATCTCCGGGGGGCCAGAGGAAGCCCCTAATCCGGGGATCCTGCTGAAGGTGTTGTTAGAGAAGGGGTAATGTCTCGGCGATCCTCGACATCAGCGAATTGTATGATTAGATAAGTTTTCAGAGTCTGTGAGCTGGGCGAATTTTTTATACTCTTTATTTTGCGTGTTTCGTCAGTTTTGTGGAGGGATCCACCAATCTTTGGGTGGGTCGACAGGAGACCGTGGTGTAGGGTTGAATTTGACTTGAGGATAAGTGGTTCGATTCTCCGGAAATTTGGGATTAGCCGGTATGCTGCGTCAATTTTTCCATGTATGCTAGAGAAAGAAGGCTTAGTTTTTTCCTCTGGCGTTTTAAGTCGGCGTAGTTTTTTTTTTCTTTTTTAGTTTGCTCGAAGGTTTTCTTCAGTTTTCTCCCTTTACCAGAGGTGGAAAATTTGAGAATCCATGCTTACGGATTTTTAAATATTTTTTTCATCTTTATCCTGAGTTTTATGATGTACTGCTCTGGTGCTTCTCTGAAATTTTCTTTCAGATAATGCTATCAGGAAAGTTCGTATCTTCATTTTATTTTGGATTTGAGTACATTACAGTCTCTACAGTGAAATTCTGCTATTTCAATCCATTTCTGATAATCTCGCAAAATCATATAAGGTCTTCATCCTGTTTGTTGTTGAATAGTTGATTGTCTGTCTTGGAGCACTGATTTTGGATTTCCTTGTCATTTTTTTCTTGGATCATCATCATCCTTAATCTTTCTGAAAGTATCTTGCTCTAGGCGACCGTTTGGTCTCTTATCAGAATGTCTCATGTTCATGTGGACAGAAATTCTGAAGCATTGTTTTCTTAAGGAAGACAAACCGACGTCTGCGAGTTCATTTATGTTGGACACCTGAAACGCTTCGGCTACTGGAGTTCCAATGGGATCGTTATTGAGCTCTCCGGCTTCAAGGACCAGGGAGACTATTGATTATGAACTTTCTCAAAATGGATCTTGCAAGAGACTGAGGATGTCATCTAGCTTTGGTGATGACAGCCCAAGACTAATTCCCAGTCTTCCTGACGAGATCTCATTTCAGATCCTTGCACGAATTCCCAGGATCTGTTATTTGGATATGAAATTGGTTTCCCGCAGCTGGAAAGCTGCTGTGACAAGTAATGAACTCTTCGAAATAAGAAAAGAGCTAGGAACCAGAGAAGAATGGTTGTATATCCTCACAAAAATTGAAGAAGAAAAGGTCTTATGGCATGCTTTGGACCCTACCGCCAGAAAATGGCAAAAGCTGCCACCAATGCCAAATGTTGTTTACGAGGATAAATCTAAGAAAGGTTTGTCTAGCCTACATTTGTGGAACGTGGTGGGATCTAGCATTAAGATTGCAGATGTCATAAAGGGGTGGCTGGGACATAAAGATGCCTTGGATCGAATGCCCTTTTGTGGATGTGCAATTGGAGCTGTTGACGGTTGTCTTTTTGTGCTCGGAGGTTTCTCAAAATCTACAGCCATGAGATGTGTTTGGAAGTATGATCCCCGTTTAAATGCATGGAAAGAAGTAAATTCTATGAGCATCGGCCGGGCATATTGTAAAACAGGTCGGTTGAATGGCAAGCTTTATGTTGTTGGTGGAGTGAGCCAAGGCAGAGGTGGCTTAATGCCTTTGCAGTCAGCTGAAGTCTTTGATCCGTGCACTGGGTTGTGGGCTCCAGTGCCCAGCATGCCATTCTCCAAGGCACAGGTGTTACCTACACCTTTCTTGGCTGACATGCTAAAACCTATTGCTACAGGAATGACGTCATATAGAGGAAGATTGTGCGTTCCACAAAGTCTATACTCATGGCCTTTTTTCGTTGATGTTGGTGGGGAAATCTATGATCCTGAGACTGACTCGTGGATGGATATGCCTGCTGGCATGGGAGAAGGTTGGCCAGCAAAACAGGCAGGAACAAAACTAAGTGTGGTTGTGGATGGTGAACTCTATGCGCTGGATCCTTCTAGTTCCTTGGATAGTGGCAAGATTAAGGTCTATGATGAGGTAGAAGATGCATGGAAAGTTGTTGTTGGGAAAGTGCCAGTCTATGATTTCACTGATTCTGAGTCACCTTATCTGCTTGCTGGATTTCTTGGGAAGCTTCATGTGATCACGAGAGATGCCAATAATGAAACTGCTATATTACAGGCAGATGTGCCAAAACATCTGCATGCTCCCTCCAGCTGTTCAACGTTGCCTTCATCAAGTTCCACTAGTGAGAACATAACTGCACCAGTAGGCGAGGAAACTGATATTTTCAAGGTTGTCGCTACTAAGAATTTTGGGACAGCAGAACTTGTTAGCTGCCAGGTCCTGGAAATCTAGCTAATACTGAATCGCCAAATATTTTATCTACTTGTGAAGAAATTCACCTTGAAATATATGTCACTTTCGTGTGGCGATATTATGCATAGATCTATCTGTTCACATTCATCTTGTTCGTCTTGCTTATGTTGTGATGAGACTTTGCCTCCCCCAATACCTTTTCCTTCACTCCTATCGTCCTGTATCTCTGGTGAATACACCTTTGTTACCAATTTTTTTCGGTCTATGGGTGTAACTGCATGCACGATATAATCCTTGATTTATTACAGACGGGACTTAAATTTTTTGCGAAATTGGTCTCCAAGGTAAAAATATGGTAGCAAATTCAGGTGCCATCTCCAGAAGCGGCAGTATGGCCTCCTAATATCTGGAAAATATTAACCTAGCGTGATAGTGTGAAGTAGGCGAGGTGCATCCTTGTCCCTCAACCCAAAGAGTTGTGACTTGATGAATTATTTTGGTAAACAAGGGAAAGTATATGGCAATCGAAGTGCCATAAAATGTCTAGTCCTAAACTCTTCGTATGGAATTTGATTGACATTATGGGAAAGTTTGTCCAGTCTCTCACTGGCAGCCTCTTCTTGTTAAAAGAGGATAGACTCCATGGCCCCCTTTCCAATTTCTCAATTTTACTTTCGAAGTAAAACAAAAATCCTTGTTCTTGAAACTTTTGTGGTGAAGTCTTTGTTAAATTGGCAACATATAAGAATTGTGATGGCGTTAATAAGTAATTTGCATTAAACAATCAATATCTCACGCTGTAGAATCTATACTGTCGGTTTTTCTTCTGAGATACATCTAATGATGAGATGATAATGGGCCAGAAAAGAAACTTGAGCTGATGTCCGGATCGTAAGTGATGATAAATGTGGAAGGGAAGAACGAAAAGGAAGCTATCTGAAAACGTAAGGATATATTTTATAAAAGTAACAAGCTTGTCATTCATTTAATTTTCTTTGGAGTCTCATTTCTAATTTAGACCTATAATATTCGTTTACAAAGAAAATTCACTTTCAAGTTTATTTAAAAACAGCTTTCGTACATTATTCATGTTGTTACATTTTAGTGAGAAAAGGTGCTCACGTTACTGATTTTAAAGGAATTCAGCTTTTTGATATAAAACAGTGGGAACTCCTAGTGCTGGTCAAATATGGCAGATATAATATAAAGCTTCAAATATGTATTTCTTGTTTGATTTTCCACCTTCGAATAGCCAGTTTTACATATTTCCAGAGTGAGATCCTGTATGAACCGTGCCCATATTTCATGGGGGAATAGCCAGTCTTGGGCTTTAGTGCGTGTATTTTGAATATAAGATCAATTTTGTTGCAACCTCCCAAATATTTTACGTCTGATGAAATTCTTTCTTCTGCGATTTTTTGATTCATAAATGATTTGAAAACAATCTCAGGATTATATCACGGATATTACTTCCAGAGATATAGTTGTGTCGACTGATGAGGCAGTTTGAAAATGTCACAATGACGATTGCTTTCTCAACAGCTGTTTTAGAGCAATTTATCCGGAGATATTTGATTGGAAAATAGGGTGAGAGAGAAATTCAAGATTATTGTTGTAGGGAGAAAACATGATCCGGACTTCATTTTCTATTTTTCTTGTTTCTATTGCTACTATACTGGCGTCTGCTTTTATACTGGTTGTAGTTTGTTTTTGGTCAAGGTTACACTACTCTGGCTATGATTTCTCTTTCCTATATTTCTTGTGTGCTTTCGTGAAATTGGAAGATTCAGTGAAATAAGAATAAATACTCGTGCTCTGATAGAACTTAGTCTCCTGGGTGGCTAACTCTGTAGAAATGTCTGTCAGACGGAAAATTGGAAAAATGGAGAAGTTACTGAATGCTTTCTAGGAAACTGCAGCTGTTGAAAAAAGCTGTGCGAAGTGAGTAACGTACCTTAGAGAATTCAACAGTAAGGAATCACGACCATGGGAAAATTGGAAATAAGATAGCATGCAATGCGGGTAAATTCTCTTTTGCTATTTCAGTTTTTTATTTCCACAAGAAGGTGATATTTTATCAAGTGAAACCGATGAAAGTTGCTGGAGTTAATCCCTTTGTCGTGTTTCTGCTTTGTCAAGAAAGGATCGTAATCGGGTGAGCCTATGCATTTCGATCAACTACACCTTTTTCCAGACAATTGTTGTTGGATTCTTTTCTAACGTAGGTTTCATATAATGGTAAGAATCCTTTTTTTTATGATGGTCAAAACATTCCATTTAAGCCTATGCTACTGATTCTGTGTTATTCTTTCTTTTGGACCTTTCAATTACAAAAGACAAGAGTAATTATTGGAGATTTACAAATATTTGAGATTTTTTCTTATACTCTGAAGACAGGTCTGCGTACTCAGGATAGATTGGTTTTTTTAATCTCGGAATGCATTAGGAGAGGTACACCTACATGTGCGTTTAGGAAGGATCAGTAGTTCAGAGGATAACCTGCTGGTGATTATAAACTATGCTTTGCTTGGATTTCGCATTAGTGTTGAGATGGTTTAACTCATGAGGCATAAGTGTAGTACGTAGAGTGGAAGTGATGGATGAGGAGCATTTTTTTACCAGGCTGGGGATGGAATTTTTTTTCTTTGGATATGAAGAACTGCATGGATAGTCGCTGATTATCGGGGGAGTAGTAGATTTTAAAAAGGGAAAACACCAGAAAAGACATCGTTGGTTAATAAAATGTTTGCCATTTGATATGGGACGAGATATATGGACGTATTTCTGACCACCCATAAAAGGTAAGTGACTGAGCTCCTTTAAATGGTTTAGTTGGAGGGTGATGTTTGTCCACGATGCAAAATAGGAGAGAGACTGATAAACTTGTTAGGCAGAGTAAGATATGATGGGATATTTTGTCAAGCAGAGGGAGGATTTGAGGTTCTGGGAAACTGGAAATTGGAAACCCTCCATATGAGGTACCATTCTTCAGAATGAAGGAAATTTAGGTGAACTAATGCTTGTATCTGCTACCTTAAACGACTCTCACGTTATGTTGTGGCTCACAGAAAGCGTCTGATGATGATTGGAAGTAAAATCTCATGTATGATGAACTCTTAGTTCCCCCCCTCCAGATAATCTGGTTCGGTGGAGAGTGTCTGTGGACGTATGATCATTAGTTTTATTTCTTTACAGTTTGAGGATTTTTTTTTAAAGAAATGAACTTTATATATGAAATGATACAAAAGGAGCCGTTTATAGTTTCCTGAGCGATGCCCTGCAAAATGTTGATATACGAGGCTGGATTTTGTGGTTCTTCCTTGGCTTCTTGAAGTTTTTCTGGTGCTTGACTGGCTTTGTTTATTTTAATCACCATAAATGTTGAGAAGCAGTTATCAATTTTTTGTTTCTCTTTGTTAGAGTCGGTGGTGCCCATTAAAATATCAGACCTCCTTACCATAGATATCCAGTCAACTGTTACACCTCTTCGCATTTCGGAGAGAACAACCAGCTAGCTAGGGCTTCGTGTGGCATTTCAACCCCAACCTCAACTCATCCGTTGATATTCTTCAGGATCATTCGCTTAGGACCTCCACTTAGTTTCACCCAAGGTTCATCCTGGTCGTGGATAGATCACCCAGGTTCGGGCCCATAAGCAGTGATAATCGTCGCCCTACAACAAAGACATCGTTGGGAAGGAATGGCTGTTCCCGGATGCAATGAAATATTTGATTCATGTAACACGAATAAGGATTTCCCCTGTAGCCGTAAAGATATGCGGCCGTGAAAAGAGATTAAGTGGAACAGAAAAGATATGTAGAGTCGGTACATGCAAGTCTATTGAAACAGAAAAGCAGGATGCCCATGATTGGGTTCGGTGGGATGAACAAAATCCTAGTTGAAATTTATTTTTCCATTACAGAGAGGTCATACATGTTCGACTCCAGCCGTATATAAAACATTTACCCTTTGGAGAATGTGGGAGAGAAAAGGAGATTCCCTCCGCATTCAGCCAGGGATTCTAGTTCCATATCTATTCTCCTTTTCTCTCTAACTCAACACTTGTGCTTCTCCCGCATGCGGGCTGAAGGATTCTTTCTTCCTGTCCTGGAATTTTCCTGGTGTTCTGCCCTTCTCCGAGGATTTCTTGAAGGCGTTCTTCATACCGCCCTAGGGATTTCTTGGTGTTCCACCCTTCTCTCACAATTCGACAGTGTTCTTTTTCATGGGATCAGAGCAAGAATTGGTCTTTTGTGGTTTCCAATTCTCTGCTGTTATGATTGGGCAGGCAATTTCCGCAGTGATGGCTCTTACAACATCTTAATCGTTCCTTTTCAACCCCCCATGTTTCAACACATTTGGGAACTCAGCTCTATATCATAGTTGTGAAATTCATAGGAGATAATTATCAGGCGTGGGTTATGCCGCAGTCTCTATATTACCTGGGAGTCGGTTGACAGCAGTCTCGTGTCCTGAATTTTGGGCTGAGTGAGGAGTGATGTTCAACACCTTATTCTTCGAAAAGAGATAACAAGTGAAATATAGACACCATTAGACGAAATGTGTGCACAAAAGCAAGATGTATCTAGGATTTTTCAGTCGACTTCACAAGGGAGACTCTAGATGACGACTAGACTTTTTTTGTGGACAGTCAAGGGCAATTCAGAAGAACTGAACTTTTGTGAGGCATTTGATTGGGACACTATAGCTGATGACAGGATATGTATATCTATATATATATATATAATGTGTTTTAAAATATCGAGTTTTCCAAATGTAGATTTTATTGTTTTGAGGAGTCAAATTCTTACCAAAGGAGGTAGCAACTCTGGAGCATGTAGTTTACAATATTCTCCAGGAAGACGGAAAGAAAGTAATATTTGGAGTTGGTGAGATCTTACTAGTTATTTTAGTTGACGAAGCATAAAGTTGATTGGCTACCAGACTCAGTTTTTGGCTGAGAAAGAGGAATGTAGAAAGATAAAGGTGAAAGCAAACTGTAATGTGGTCATTGTGATCAGGAAAACCATCAAAAGAGA